TTTAATGTTTGTATAATTTGGGGAGGGGAAGAGAAAAAACAAAATGTTTAAATAGGGATACAGGTTGACCCACTGCAACAATGAGATGTAAAAGACATAATGTTGAAAAACGAACTTTACAATTTAGGGGGACAAGGAGTGTAGTTGTGGAGGTGGGAAGGGAAGGCATGGTAGAGGAAAAACAAAGGAGGCGGCAACAATGCTTGATAAGAAATGTACTCATTATCTTGCTCATGCAACTGTAACCCCTCTGTACAGTATTTTCACAATAAAAAACTTATTAAAATTTTTTAAAAAGAAAGTAAAGGCTTTGCCAGCTGGTGAATATTTTAACCTGTGTCTCATGATGTTACCCATTAGTCTTCTCCTTTCTGGAATCCAAGGTCATTGCAAGTCGACTTCAGAGAGGACCTTGTCCAGCAAAGATGGATACAAAGTGGGAACAGAGGTCCTCACATTTTGTGTTGCTTTTAGCCATTTGTTGGGGCTTGCAAATGAGAAGTCAGTGTATTTATTAAGAGCTGTTTCTAAGTACCTGTTGTAACACATCAAGGATAATTCCAGCCTACATGTTTTCTTGACTAGATCCTTGGCTTTTACCAGTGTCTTACTGCTTATTTACATTCTTCTAATCAAAATTAAATTCTTCCTAAAATTACATTTAAAAATGTGCTGTCTGAGTTCCGAAAGTTCTAAGAAAACAAGTACTGGAGTGCACAGGATGTACATAAAACAATAGAAGTATGAATAAAATTTCTCAGGGATTTTTTTTATCTTAATGGTTATGGATAACAAGGAATGAAGATAATCAGTAGAATAAAAAAGAAATGAAGATAAGTATTTAGTATTTGAATAGTGGTAATGGGTATATGTTTCTTAAGACAGGAAAATAATACTATTAGGTCCTTTACAAACATCACATTTTTAGTCAGGTAATTTTGATTGATCTAGAGTTCTTTGAAGATACATGATGCAAATTTCCTTTAAATATCAAATTTCTTTTCCAAATCAATTATCCTTAGATAATTGTATTTGTTTATAAAAAGCTTATCTCATACAAAGCATTCAATTAAACATAAATTCAACTTCAAGAAGAAATTAGTAAGTAAGGAGGACTGAATAAAGCCTATATCTACATATACATATATAAATATACATACAAACACACACACACACACACACACACACACACACACACACACACACACACACACACATATATATCCACTTTGTTCTCTGTTTCTTGTTATTCTTCAAAGATCCAAACATCTGTACATCAGATATCATTTACTAAACATCTATGTTACTTAGAGAAAACTTGAAAATTCCAGGAATCCTAGTATTTTTGATAAAAATGTGGATTTGACTCATCGATGTCCCTATGAAGGAGGCCAAAGACTCTGCCTGAGGATCTTTACACATTCACACACTGTACAATGAGACTACCATTGAGCCTGAGTTCAGATGTCTGTCTGAATAGCGGTAACTAGAATTATCATAAAGAGCTTCTAACTTTTTTGTGTTTATTTGATGATTCATCCCTTCTTGCTTTGTTGTCATTGCAAATGAAAATTTTTACTTGGCAAGAACTGATTTCCATGATAAGAGTCAGGATATTTGTAGTTTGTTCCCCCAAATCAAAAGATGATTAAGAAAGCAAAATACAAAAAAGCTGAAATATCATTTATCTTCAGAATATGAAAAATTACCCTTGAAAGCTATCTTTTAGACTTTTACCTTTTTCCACATAGAAGCATATAGGATGATCTGTACGTTTTCTAATGATGACTTTTACAGTTTTATCATTCAGTATACAGATGAGCAATGGCAATGTTATCTTCTTTCAAAAGCCATTTCCCCTGTACTAAGCATGAAAATTATGTTTTCATTGATGTTGGCATGACTATTGAATTTTTAAGTGGCATCTTTGTGCACACAATAGCTTGACATATTTAACTTGCACAACCATGGCAAGTCACATTGTAGTTAGACAAATGAGACCAGAGTGAGCTCCTATGAGCAGAGCTCAGTTCCCTTGATCATGGGATGTCTGGTTCTATAGTGTGAATAATTCAACACGAGGGTAAAACAAGAGAACGGTATCTTAAATACTCTTTCTCTTTAATGTGTTTGGTATTTATTTCCCAATGTTTCCACAAGTAAATATTTTATCACTTTTATGAGTATAATTAATATCTTCTAGAATGAATTGCAATAGCACAGAATGGGAATATTACGTATTAGGGTGCATCACAATAAATATGGGTTCAAAAATGTTATTTCAGTTTTGTGTGTTTCTTTAAGATAACAGAGGGAGAAGGAGAGGAAGAGATTAAGAAGTATTTGTTTTATGAAAAGAATGATACAAACAAAACCAATATTGTAGGTTATGGACATTAAGTGAAGAATTTTATGTATAGGTTTTAAGGGTTTATATTGGAATTTTTTTCTTTTTTTTTTTTTTTAATGTCAGTCATGCGGCTTGAACTCTGGGCCTGGGCGCTGTCCCTCAGCTCTTCAGCTAAGGCTAGCGCTCTACCACTTGAGCTACAGCACCACTTCCTATATTGGAATGTTTATAGAAGCCTTTCTTGGAATGAGTTTAGATATAATGTTGAAAGGAATGACAGCTTTTATAATTTTGTGCTTAAAAAACCATATTACTTCGAAAGTGTCTGGTAATGAAGATGGAGAGGGAAGAAGAGGCAAGGAAGATACTCAAGAAAAGAAAGTGACAGAAATAGATGGCTGATGAATAAGAACACAAAGAGACTTATAATGACTCCTCGTGTCTTTGGATAGCATATTCCAGGGAAATAGAGCTTAGGAAGGAGAGCAAGTCTTGAAATGAGCTGTCAACTGTGGAAAACAAAATACACATTGGGTTGGTGAACATTCTCTTACTTGTGTCAAGAACTGGTTAAAGTATTAGTGAATACATTTGTACCTGAATTTATTGTATGTAAAAATTGTATATAGGTTCTACCTTTACTTTTGTGTTCCCCATTTACTTTTCATCAGACATCAAAATGTGTACTTCAGATGCGTGACTCCTTCCTCAAGACCCCTACATTTTCCATAATTTTCACACAAATAACTCACAGATGATAGGGCCTGCACTAAGAGTAAAAGGCCCTAAAATAGTTCCTAACAAATACTCATTTTTACTCCATTGAACTCAACTTTGTCCAGATTAAATCAATTATAAGGGATTAAAAATGTCAGATATTATGCAGAAAGTGCTATCCGTGTACAATAGGAAAAAAATAGGACATGTCTACTCATTCACTCTATACCCACTGTGTTATTCATTTAAAGATATAATGATGCATCTCAGATGAAAGCTTATATTCTCTTATTGATAGTAATATTTTCATCAAATGTAAATTGATGTATAGAATCCTTGATAAAACCTGGTGTTCGATGTATGCTTATGAATATATATAAAATAATATGTTCGAGACTGATTTTTTGAATGCTAAAATCAAGAACATATATTTGTGACATAAAATGCTTACTGCTAAAAAATCTTTTTATTAAATTGGAAATACCTAGTATTCTTCTATAGAAAGACAGCATTAACACATAGTGTTTAATATTTTACCCATGTGGAGAATTTAAGCAACTTGTCTCTGGAGATGGATTCATTTTTCATAAGTACAAAATTATTCTAATCTGGATGGTCATGAAAGAGGATCAAATTTATTTACTACAAAAGAGAATAACTGGGAGGCTATTTAAGAAAGAAAATGACCAATCCAGGTAGACAAGACTTGAGTTTATTTATAAGTTCATATCTCCCTTTTTGAAAGGACATTTACAAAATTGATTCCAAAAATAAAAGAAATTCTGAATGACAAATGTGCACGTTTGAATTTCAATATTACAAGTATGATCTTTTGTGATAAATTATCAGTTGAAAATGCTCCAGTGGAGTTTGGTATTAATTTAACACTTCATATAAGAAATAATAAAACATTTATTTCCCAGTCTTACATATATTACTTAAAATAGATACAAATTCAGAATGTAATATTTAATTTTTCTTTTATTTCAAGCTACCTGAAAGAACATACTGTAGTGGAAAAATGTTCATTGTCTTGAATAAGTCTAAGTTGTAAAACAATCCACCCATATGTATTTAGTCATTAGGTTGGTCAAATAATAAATGCAGTTATCTTGAAAGGAAAAAAAGAAGTATTTGTTGGGAAGTAAAATATTATTTGAGGCTATCATAATATGCAAATCAAATTCAAAAAATTGGCTGTTTAAAAATCTAATATTGCACAAATCCTTAATAATTGTTTAGTTTCCACCTTTCATATTAACCTGAAGCACTGAAGTACTGAAACACACTGAAGACAATGAAATCAGATAAAGTAGAGAAAAAATGAAAATGTACATATGGTTCTTTTCTTTAATGAAGACATCCATTTGTTCAAATTCTCTGACATACTCTCCTGTCCAAATATAAACTCACTTGTTTTCCATATACACAAGTATCCTGTGAAATCCTAAATTCTGTGGAAAAAAATTGAGGTATAGCATTGAATAAAGCATCTAAATGCGTGATATTTTTGGCTGAAATTCAACAAACACAGCATCAGAAACAAGAGTTGATTGGAGTATGTTCCCAAGTTTTTCAGGTTTTTGCTCTGTGAGAAATCTTTTAGTAACATCAAATAACTGAACTCTTCAACATCAATATATACAAAAGCATTTTATTATTAATCAAAGAAAGGGAATTAGAGTCATCTGGAATTGCAACTTTTAATTTTTTTTTTTTTTTATTTTGTCTCACAATATTCATTGCCATCACAGTTCTGTCACTTATAAAAATTAACTTGGATGGAATTCAGAGACACGTGCAAGTTTTGGAAATGGACACAGAAAACAGTGTAGAACTGTACATAAAATAATTACAATTTATTAATACACATTTTTAGCGTGTCCTTATGGACGGGAATGAGCACCATTATTTTAAGGAATATATAATTTTTCTCTCTTTTTTTTCTACAGCACCAAAGAAATCCAAATAGGGAAAGGAGAGATGAAGGTCAAGAATCAAGATTTAGCCTTGTCTCAATGCCAGCCACCTTAGCTCATATCTTTTTGATTACCAAAGCTTTCTTGGGGTGATCAGTATTTCCTAATTGGTACATGTATGTATACCAAATTGTATTCTATACCATCCTTACTCAAAGTTTGCATGTGGCATAAATTGGTTTGGTGGCATCAAGGCATATTTTCTGTTGATTTTGTGTGTTCTTTGTTTAGTCTTAGCCAAGGAAACAAACTGGACCAACTTCAAATCCAAACTTCTGATTCTGATCACCAAAATCATTGATCATGACATCAATGACAGGTACTTGATCAATTTTCGGTGTATTGATTTCAATCACAGTCTTCTCATAGCCTTTTCGGGACTGTAAAATTAAGCAGAAATTTAACGTTACAGCACTATTTAACATTGTTGAGACATTATTTTCTTCTTAGTTATCTGAGTAGGGGTAGGAAGATGGCAGAGAAAAGAATACGAAGTCTGATTTGACAGTTATTATGTAGTAACACTTCTTTTATGACAGGTGACAAGTATCTATTGTTGATCATTAAATTTAGTATTTAGCTTTAATTATGTGACTATTATACTCCAAACTATTTCACTGCTAAAATGTATCCTACTAAATTGACCAGTATGGTTTATTGTTGAATTTGCTGTTGGTACTGATCCCATCATATAAATAATGCAATCTTACTATTATAGGTATTTGAAAATTATACCTATATGTATAATTACATATAATTTACAAAATATGCCTATTATATATAATATATCTATAATATATACAATATATGTATAATATTATACATACACATATGTACATTGAAATTATCTTAAGGAAAATTGAAACACGGCATAGGAGGTCGAAAGCCAAAATATTCCTATTGCTATTGATTTTACAAATAGTTAACAATATACTAAACTAGGAAAGTTGTCCACAGTTTTTGAATCATTCATTTACTTCATTTTCTTTTCTCGGTTTTACTTGTATGCCAATCATTTCTTTTTGTGTGTTTGTTTGATCTGCAAAATTTTATTAAGCAATAGCTGGACAACTCAAAATTTCAAAAAGCAAAAGCTCACTTAATTGTACATCATTTCCTTTCAGTCATTACTATGGAGCTTAAGCAATTAGCTACCCAGGGAATCCGCATGGAGTGTTCTAGAGTATGGGAGCAAAAATGAGAGTAGCTTCCAAGCTGATATGGCAACGTGACAAATAATAAGCTCTACTGTATAGATGACAGAGTGGTTATTTGTTTTTCTGTCAATTTTAAACTCATGGATCAAGGCAGTATAGGCTACATCACTTTAAATTTGGCCTTCTATGACATAAAAATGCATGGCTGTTGTATTTTAGAGTGTCCGGCCATGCACAAAGCTACGTGAACACATTGCATCTTCCTGTCAGTGATAAGCATCAGCTCTTAATAATGACTAACATCCGTTCCACGGGAGAAATCTGTCTTCCCCAGGAAGTGGGTGGTTCCCAGCTTCTTCCCATCTCTGTGAACGAAGGCGGCAAAGGTCACACTCACCGCGCAGCCGTCATACAGAGCCTTGATGTAGGGGCTGTTCTCATAGGACATCTCCTCATCATTGGACCCCAGGAACCGAAGCGCTTTGTCATAGCTTCCCGAGGATGCATCGTACCAGGCAGCTGACTGATGACAATTGTAGGTGAAGTTCTGCCGTGCAGAGGCCGTCAGAAGTTTCAGGAATGTCATTTGCACCATATTAATAGAATTGCCTTCAACATCTAAATACGAAAGCTGGGAATAAAATAAAAACAATAAAAATCACCTCAAGACTCTTCTTTGATGACACCAAGGATCAATCACTGCTGACAGTGACGTGAGATGCCAGACACTTCAGAGAAGCAACAGACCATTTTATTCAAATGAAAAATGTGTGCCACTATGGAGAAAACACCTGGAGACAGGGATTTTAGGATCTGAGGATTGCAGCCCCTGCTCCCATGTACTGTGACTCTTACTCAACTGGTCAAAATCATCTTACCTGCCTGCATGCTCTGATTACTTATCAGTAAACACTACCAGAAAGCAAATGCTTCTGTTTCTAGGAAATAATAACATGTTTGTACAACTTTTTAACAGTGTTAAACAAGCCAGGCACTGGCTCACGCCTGTCATCCTAGCTAATCAGGAGGTTTGAATTTGGGGATTGCAGTTTGAAGCTAGCCTGGGCAGAAAAGTTATGAGACTTTTATCTCCAATTAACCACTAAAAAGCCAGAGAAGTGTAGCTGTTGCTCAAGCAGTAAAGTGCTAGCTTTGAGCAAAAAAAGCTCAAGGAGTCCTATATAATTTCATGTTCCTGTGTGTGTGTGTGTGTAAATATATATGTAAACATATATGATTACTATATACATAAATATATGTGTATGTATATCTATATATATATATAAATACACTAATCATTCAGTGTGTTTACTTGTAATAAGCCCATTCTAGCCTATATTTCTTCTGTTCTGGCTTACTTCACGTAATACAATTTTTTCCAAGTTTTTCCATTTCCTTATGAATGGTACAACATCATTCTTTCGGATGGGTAAATAGAATTCCATTGGGTATATATACCACATTTTCTTGATCCAGTCATACTCTAGACATTCACACACTGAAGCCAAAGGAGGATATGCATAGGAATGGTTGACCAAGACTCAATAGCCATGTGCATATGATCATATAAACTGTTATTTTATGAAATGAACTCCAAGGAAAGGAAACAACAGACATTTTTAGTTGCCACTGTTGCTGTTTTTGTTTTCTTTTTCTTTTGTCTTGCTTGTTAATTTGTTTGTATTGGGGAGGGTAACGGAAGGCACAGAAAAGATGGAACAAGGGTGAGCACATACAACAGTGGTACTCATAGACACTACATGGAAAATGAACTGGTTATCTTGAGGGTGGGGATAGGAGGGAAAGTCTGGGCAAAAGTGACAGAAGGGGAGACATGGTTCAAACAGAATTGTTCTCATTACTCATTACCTGACTCATGTAACTGTAACCCCTCTGTATATAAATGCTGCAACAACAATTTTTTTTTAAGAACTCAAGAGCAGTGAACTCCAAGAAAGGGACACAAATATTTTTTTTCTTTCTTGCTAGTGTTTCTAACATAGTTATAAAGTACCATGTGGTTTTTTTCTCTTTGTAGTATGCTCCTCCCTAACAGGTAAAACTCCTGTTTTCACTGTTTTTGATGTTGGTGCCTTGCATCTTGTCTATACAAGAGGGGAAGGGAAAAAACAAAATGCTTAAATAAGCCAGGACCAAAGAAACATAGGTTCTATGGTTTCCCTTATTTGCAATAACTAGCATGTGTCTACGACAAGCAGAAAAGGTCAAACGCTATGTACATATGACCAGATAAGATGATGTTAAGCAAAATGAGCCCCAAGATAGGGACGTAAGTGGTTTTTTCTTTCTTGCTATTGTTCCTAACGTATTTATAATGTACCATATAATATTTCTGTTTCTTTGTATGTTCCTCCCCCACAGTATAACCCTGGTTTATATTTGTGTATTTGATGTTGGTGCCCTGTATCTTGTATATACATTTTTCTAATTTGGGGAGGGGAAGGAAAAAAACAAAATGCTTAAATAAGGATACAGGTTGACCCATTGTAACAATGAGATGTACAAAACACTATGTTGAAAATGAACTTTACAGCTGGGGGGAGGGGTAGTTGTGGAGGTGGGAGGGAAGGAATGGTAGGGGGAAAACAAAGGAGGAGGCAACAATACTCAATAGGAAAGGTACTCATTATCTTGCTCGTGTAACTGTAACCCCTCTGTACACCATTTTTCCAATAAAAAATATACAAAAACAATAGCCTTGCTGTATATAAACAACGTACAAGTTGAGAGAGAAATCAGGAAAACAATTCCATTTGCAATAGCCTCAAAATATAAAATATTTAAGAATAAACCCAACCAAGGAAGCAAAAGACCTCTATCTTGAAGACTATTAAAAATCTGAATAAGATAAATTATATTTCATATGCATTAAAAGTTTGTTTTATTTAAAAAAAAAATAGTAGTCAGATCTTGACTCTAAGCCCCAGTATTGACACACACATAAACATGTGGTAAGAAAGTAAAATAATGAAAATGGTCTAAAGTCAATTCAATGCAGTATAGTTTCTAACTGCTGTTATGTTGTCTGATCTTACCTAAGTCTTTCAAAAGTTTCAAAACATATTCACTCAAATCTTGAGTCCTGTCCCTCGGCTTCATTTTCAACATAAATGTGTCTTTGTCCATTCTTACTTTACTATCATTTTACCACCAACATAAGCATAGTGTCCAAAATAACACAACTGAATATTTGGATCAATGTATAATATATAAATATATAAAAAAATTTATAAATGCTTAAGTAGCCAAATAAGAAACTTTGTACCATATTCATAAACTATCTTATTGGGCATATTGTCATTCTCTGGTTTTAGATGAAGTATATAAACTTAAATTAAAAAATTAAATTCATCTATATTATAGATTAACTCAGTAAAGTGTTCTTTGTGACTGCTTCCTTGTAAATCAGTTTATGTATTCTTTGCTGATTAACCAGATGATGGGGATCTTTGTGAGATTAAGAGAAATAAGTTTGAGAAACTCACTGTAGGCCATGCAAAACAACATTAAACAAAATAAACACAGTTCCATCTGTGTATGTTTTTAAAACTCATACAAAAGTAAGAACATGGATATTTAGTATGTAACTTGAAAACTGAACTAGAGAATTATAACTCAGGTACAATGCTTCACTAATAGCCATTATTATGAGTAGATTTGTTCAAGAAAAATAAACACAAGTTGTCATCAGGGGATCATAATACTTTTTTGAAGAATAATGAATAATTCATTATTGAAATAAATGGGAAATACATTAATTTGAATAATCCTTAATTAAACATATTTTAAACAGCTTCTGATATGAAGTTAATTTTTGCATCAAATCTGAATATATCTTGAGAAAATGATTAAAGTGAATTAAGTAATTGTAAAGCATTATTTAAGTAAATGTGAGCTATGATCAGTGAGTTCCTTCATTTCCAAGATAACAATGAGAAAAGAAAACATACATTCTAAAATTCTTCATGTAAATCGAAATAAAAGAATAAAGTTGGTTTCAAGTAAACACAAAATTAGCACAGAGGAAGCCAGAGACACTTATATCTTGTACTTTAAACAAAATCCACTCAATAATACGTACTCAGCTAGCTAATGGTTTGTATTCATTATGAAAGCTAACTTTTAGTAAAATTTCATGTAAACCCTGTATTTTAGTACTAAAACCTTTAGATTATTTTTAGGTAGCAAAGTCATCTAAGAGATGATATCAGATGGATAAAGTAAAAATCACATGGAGCCTGTTCATTATAATCTATACATGCAAAAAAAATCTAAGCTGTCCATAAATAATTAGGTGGAGGTTAAGATAAACCATTTCATGTTGAGGTTATAACATACCAGTTTTCCTCTTTTAAATTCACTAAACCAACTTCCTGGTTTCTCTTTTGGCCACGAGGAAATTCTTACCTGTTGAAAAGGAACAGAAAAATTAGTAACTAAATTAAGATTATAAACAATATTGCTCATGGATAGATCAGAAAATTGAGTCTTGTTGAAGACAACTGTCTATTCTGTTTTATGCAAAATGGGATAATGAGCATAATTTTAAATCGATCTTGTGAATTTCCTGTAAATAAGATTAAGTCATTTCCTTTTGGATATCTTTCCTAGATTAAAAAATGAAGGAAGAGAACCAACAAGGAGGGAAAAAAAAGAGCTCTTAAGACAACCATAGAAACCTTAGAATCCCACTCAGAATCAGTCAGCAAGGCAAGTAGCATCAGCTTTCTGCAGCAAAAAGGAGGCATTTTGAAAATATTTAACCAGTAAGGAAGGCATGATCTGGAAAAGTGATTGGCAGAAAAAAGACTAAAAATTCCCTACTGGAAAGAACATGTGGGATCTAACATTGATCTGATTTATTTATTCTTTTTTGTAAAAATCAGCCAACTATACTTTATGAGACCTCTCAGTTGGGAATTTGAATAAATGGTCCAAGGCAGGCATTTCCCATTTCTTTGAGGTCAGAGGCCTTCTATTATGCTTTGTCACATGTCACGTGAGCTTGGGAAAGTAAAATTGTTTTTCTCTTTCTCTTCCCACCCAGTCTTCATTCACAAACTTAACTTTTCTCTTGGAAAAGATTAACCACATAAAGTCATCTGCCTTAAGGAGCTCTCCTTGCTGTAGATACCTACAGTATTTCATTTTTTAAAAAGAAGAAAATGTTTTATGAATATAATAAACAGGTAAAAAATGTTTACTTATAAAGTACCTATAAAATACAATTATACTCGTGAAAACCCATTTTTTAAATTAATGATTCAGGTGAGGTTTTAGAAATACAAAGTCGCGCACGTTGCAAGTGCTGGGTGGAAAAATATTGGTTTGAATAGATCAATTAAGAACACATCTAAAGCTGGAGAACATTCATTTGATAATGAGATTCCTTCTTTATAAAATCTTGCATTTTGAGTGTCCTCTGCAGCTGTGGGTCTGTCATGTGGTAATTTTGAAGAGTTCTGTGCATGCACTACAATGTGAGATTCAGCTGTGTCATGGAAAGGCACAACATTTTAGAGAGCAAGCAGGTGCCTACAGAATACATCTGGGTGAAAATAAAGGAAAGAAGTATTTGTTAACTCTGTGTATCACTTTGGTGCTATATTCATGTTTATGCAAATGAAATGTTCTAATTACCCTGTAAGAAAAGCAGATAAATGAAACTATGACAGTATAATTTTCCTGTTTAGTTCAATATTGCAAAAACATGGCAGGAACTGTCAACATTCACCACCAAAACAGATTGCTACTTACTCCCTCAGACTTTTTGTCCGGATAAATGCAAGTCTCACCACCAGATGTGAAATTACAGTAAACTTTGAAGGAATCTCCTGAACAACCTTGATTTGGATCAATCCAATATTCACCTAGAAGGGAGGGAAGAAAGATAAGCCATTTGAAAATGTATTGATACCAAAAGGAAATGCTTTAGATACCAGATTTTATCATAAAGATAAAGGAAATGAGTTTTCATACATCTCTTTCCCTTCTTATGTTTTGGGCATATGAAGATTTGTAAATTATCTTGTGTTTCTCAGCCCCAAATCTTTACAAATGGCCCCCACAGTCTATCTGAGATACTCTTTATAATTCTTCACTATTAATCCTTTTCAAGTTTTACCTTCTGGTATCAGCTTTCCATGTAAGAAACATTTAGCACTAAACATATAAAATGTTAAAGTTCAAATTGATTTGTTTAGCACTGGAATTCTCAAAAGCACAATCCAAATACTTAATTATCTTCTACTACAAATATATAAATGGGGATAGCACTTTAATCATCAACAAATTTACTATTTATCAAGTAACTTGGATACCTTATTTAGCACAAAACATTCCTGTTTTTTTAACATAATACCAAAATGGGCAAAATATTACTATTTTTAGTAATAAAATTTGAGAGTGGAAGAGTTTATATAGAGAAATTATTTAATATTGTATTTAGAATTATAAACTCATTCAATTAAAAAGAATGGCAAAAAATAACAGCACACAAACGAAAACCCTAAATGTACACAAATTTTCAAATAAGCCATGACAGAATATTTTATAGTATATAATTTCATTGATCGTGTTTTTTTGTTATTATTCTCCAATTTTGGAGAATGTTTAAAAAATATTTTGGTGGTACTGTCTAGGGGTATGATTCAGTCTTCTGCTAGGTAAAAATGAAGGGTCAGAGGGATAGTGAAATATAGTAAAGCAGCAAGTGTATTAAAAATGAAAGTATAGACTCTTTAGAGAAGGGTCCCAGAGCTAGAAATCCATTGGAATATCCTAGGGAAGTAGCCTTTGTGCTTAATTCCTCTCCTACCCTGGGATATGATTTGTCAATGAGGATCCATTGGTCTCTAGCACTGGGTATGAGTATAAAAGTGAGTCTTTGGCCATGCCCAATCAAGCTTAAGTATGGAAGTGGATTTGATTAGCCATGCCCAGTCATGCACAAGCATCACCTCACCACTGAGGTAGGATTTTGAGACCTTGGACATTATGGGAGAACAAGCAACATTTTGTGCTGGAGCCCACTGCACTATGCAATCAAGAAGCACCATGATGGATCACATGTTGTCGGCTACATGTTAGGTCCACAATTTTCTATTCCTAGCTACGTAACATTTCCTGCTGGACCAGTGACTTAAATTCAGGGCCTGGACCCTCTCTCCAAACTTTTTTTGCTCAAGGAAAGTACTCTGCCATTTGAGCTACAGATCTACTTTTAGCTTTGAGCCACAATCCTCACATCTCAGCCTTCTAAGTAGACAGGACTATAGGTGTGAGCCACCAGGGTTTGGCTAACAGCTCCCTTTTCTCTCCTTCAGTACAGAGGATTTAACTCAGGGGCCTACGCTTGCAAAGCATGCATACCTAACACTTGAGCTACACTCACAGCCCTTTTTAATTGTTTATTTCAAAACACTGCAACTCTTCTGTACCCATTTCCTGGACTGACCTTGGAAATCTTATCCTGTGTGTCTCTTCAAGATTTTAGATTAAATAAAATTCTTATTTGCATAATAACTATCACAACATTTATGTCTATTACTTATGTTTGTTTCCCTTCTCTATTCTGTTAGATAAGGGCATTATTCTTTCTATTCATCTATGAATCCCTGTATGAAAAACAGTACTTACAACTGTGTAAATAAATATGTGAGTAATTAAATATTTAATCTTATTTTATCAGTACATAGTAGGATAAATGAATCTGGCTGTTTTATAGAAGGTGCTGGGAAATACAGTCCACAGTAAATTTACCATTACTAAAGTCATGATAGTTTTCTTATCTGCTCTGTTTTTAAATCATGCCTTTATAATGCCATCTTTCACATTTGATTTTCAGTTGCATATGATTACCTTAATCTGAGCTCTGACAGATAAAACAGACCGTACCATCTAGTTATGTATTCCATATCATCATCTAAATGCTATAGGAATTCAATTTGTTGATCTATAAGTATTTCTATTTGGGGGAATAGAAAGAGACATTTTCCAAGTCAGATTCAAACTAAATCATCTACGTCTTTGATCATATAATTCCTGTTAAAAATAAGAACCTAAGCCCGGTGCTGATGGATTATGCCTGTAATCCTAGCTACTCAAGAAACAGTTCTGGGGATTGCAGCATGAAGCCATCCTGGGCAAGACAGTTCTCAGACTCTTATCCCCAAATAATCACCAGAAAACTAGAGGTGGAGCTGTGGCTCAAGTGGTAGAGCTCTAGCTTTAAACAGAAAAACTCAGGGACAGAACCCAGGACCTGAATTTAAGTCTTAATACTGGTACACGCACGCGCACGCGCGCACACACACACACACACACACACACACACACACGACTGTAAATCACTGAAGTAAACATATCAACATTTGAAAATCTTGGATACCAGTACACGTAGGATCCTTAACATTCCTTTGTTTTGTGATGTCTTCCTTGGACTTTTTTTTTTTTTTTTTGGTCCGGTCATGGGGCCTGAACTCTGCTGTCCTTCAGCTCTTCAGCTCAAGGCTAGCGCTCTACCACTTGAGCCACAGCACCACTTCTGGCTTTTTTCTTTTTGCTTATGTGGTGCTGAGGAATCGAATCCAGGGCCTCAGGCATGCAAGGCAAGCGCTCTACCATTGAGCCACCTTCCCAGCCCCTTCTTGGACTTTTATATCTGCGTTCAATTCTTTAAATCATAGTTAGGATCTTCATTTATAGTTGATAATGCAAAACAGTACTTTCTTAGGAGCAAAGAGGAGGCAAAGTATTTCCGTATAAAAGAAGATTTAAGATCAGATAATTATCTATTGCTAGTTAGTTTGTAAGTGTATGACTTAATTATCTTGGCATACCTAAAACGGTTTCTCCTCAGAAAAAAGATAGATATTTAGAGGTCTTCTCAAACAGTAGGCATAAAAAATTGTGCTGATTATTGCTCAAATGCAAGCTGCTCATAGTTTTACAAGTTATTTATGCATCAATAAGAGATAATTTTTTTGTCTGAAGCTATCCTGATTCTTAAACATCCTATTCATTAACTATTGTTAAACTATTATATCAAATATTTATCTGTTTTGCTATTTTATCATATTTATATATGTCCATGAACAGTTGTAATAATTGATGTTAATGCACTAATACATCAATAATAATATATATCAACATGAATAATTTAATGTAACAATCACAGATATAGTTAATATGCTAGTAACAATTGTATCATAACATGGAAATGTGTGTGCACATAAAAGTTCCATTCTGTGAGCTATTTATAAGGCAAACTAAAGCTATGTTAGCTATAATCATCCAAAATAATCCTTTCACAATTTAATAAAACCTATAACACACAAGGATGGGTTTTTTTTTAAAGAAGATCATGAACTACACAGTGCAAATAATATTTTTCAGTCTATAAGGCTAGAACTAATAATTGTTTGCTTTAGTGTTATGGAGAGACTATATTAATTACACCAACTGAAATTAATAAGCAGACAAGGCACTTGAGCAACTTGGTGACTCAGTATGTTTGCTTTGCCACGTATTATTCACATACCATCTGGGAAGTCAGGATGGCTGAGTTGCAGATCTTTGCATGTCCGAGCTGGATTGCTCTGAGTGCCCATTGGAAATTTCATGTGCTCAATGTCTTGCTTCAGAGAACTGAGGGAACCAAATATCTCCTCCATTCCATCTGAGTAGTCAAGAATGTTATCCACTGCATCTGCCTGCACACTCTCAGTATGTCTTCTTGTTTTCTTGGGTGACAGGATTGGTAAAGGTTGAATGACTTCACCAGGTGGACCCTGTAGATGAGATAATGTGAGTGTCACAGTTCCATAAAGTAAAATGCTCTTCACATTTAGTGATTACTGACTGTGCTTTATAGAAGAAGGAATTATGTAGCTTTTCAGTTGCTACAAAGTATATAATATATAAAAGTTTATAAACATATATATTTAAGTTTATAGATATAGATAGCTAGATATCAGTAAAGATATGTTTAGGATGTGAAAACCTTTGTGAGTTCTTTTCTAAAAACCTAGTAACTTCTAGTGCTTTATATGTATCGTATCATATAGTGCAGATTCATGTGGAAATGTTACATACTATACTCTTATAGAGGAATCAGCCCTAATTTATGCCATCTCACTCCACAACTATAGATTTAATGTCTCTGGCATATATAGTATATTAGTATATATATATACATATATTAATATATACATATATAGTATATACATATATGTATATGTAGTATATACTGTATATATACTATATACAGTATATGTATATATTCTACTATATACATATATTGTATATAGTATATATACAGTATATACTACATATATACATATACATATACTACATACAGTATATATACATATACTGTATATAGTATATATACAGTATATACTACATATATACATATACATATATACTATATATGGTATATACTATATATACATATATACTAATTCATATATATGTATATATACATATTTATGTATTTATATGTTTATATGTATATACATATACTAATATATGTATATATACACATATATACATATATACTAATATACTTTATATATTAATGTTCTATGCTTCCCAGAAAGCTATAATATTTCATACCAATATACTATGAAAGGTATATTTCATATATATTTATAATCTAAGTATATATCTAATATATAATCTAAAATTTTGTTTTTTAACTTTCATACATTAGCAAGCATCATATGCCTAACTTAAATTTTTATAAATGAACACTTGACATAAATGCATTCAGACTTGACTTTACATACATGTAAGTGTAAAACCACACCAAATAGTTATAAGCTGAATCCTGCCCCACAGATATATGCTATGTTGAATTCTAAACCTTCAGTACAACAGAATCTGATCTTACTTGGGAACAGCAGAAAAGGATTATTCGTTAAAGTGCAGTCATTTCATGGGCTCTAGTCAAACTTGACTAATATTCTTATGAAAAGGGGAAATTTGGTCAGGGAAAAACAGGGATGATCACGAAAAGAGACACATAAAGAAGAATGCTATCTGGAAGTGAAAGAGAAAAGTTCAGAACAGACCCTTCCGTCCTCACAGCTCCAGAAGGAACCAAGACTAATGACACAGTGATGTAAAACTTTCAGCTTCCAGAACCTAGACATAACACATTCTGTATCCATTCAGGTTATCAGGGTAGCCTAATCAAATTTATCTATATGCAGATTTTAACTCAAGAAACAATAAACTTTCCTTTTCACAGACCTGTGTTTTATTCATTCATCTATTTCACGTATTGATTTTACAGAGCTGAGTACTGAATTTAGGGTCTTGCACTTGCCAGGTGCTCTTCCACTGAGCTAAATCCCCAGCCCTTAGAGTTGTATTTTAAATCTATCATTCAATAGTGTGTGAAGCTAGGGAATTGTCAGTATTAATGAGGGAGGGTAATTATTATTCCTTTTTACTATTGTCATTATATGAATTAGACGCCTGCATCTTAACTCTCTGCAGGTATAAATGTATCTTTGTGGCATATAAACTGTTGATTCCATTAAAATGTGACCAAATATATATGATTTTCTTTGAACAGTCATAAGTATCTAATTATAACTTATAATTAAGGTATCTCAAGATTTCAAGAGTAAAATCAATTCACAGGTATGTCTTGGCCAGTTGACTGTATTACTTACTTGCCATAGTTGTGTTTCTATAAAATCAGCACCTTGGACAGATTGTGCTTTTGCATTCATCTTACGAATTCAAAGAAATCAATTCCACTCTCTGGATACAAGTTATCAGAAGAACATTCTCACTGACACTCACCGGAGGTCCAGGCGGTCCAGGAAGGCCACTGTCACCCTTCTGGCCTGCAGGTCCCTATTAGAAAGAAAACAGGACAGACTATAAATAGGAGCAAAACAATCTAACAGGATTTGTGGAAAATCTAAAATGTCAAGGAGAAAAGTACTTACGGAAGAGCCTTTGTTACCCTTGGGGCCTTGAGGACCCTAGAAAGAAGAAAAACAAAAACACAGATAAAACACCGCAGCATTTGTGCCCATGGTATATTTGCAACTTGACCTGTGCAATTCATTTGCTGCATACTTACTGGTAATCCTGGAGGGCCAGGGGGGCCTATGGGGCCAGCAGGGCCTGGAATTCCCTAGTGGAAGAAGCACTCAATTTAGTAAGCTTTTCTATTTATTCCTTTTCCATGTTTTTCATATGCAATACCAATTAGAAAATTTGATAACACAAATATGATTAAGAACAGTCTAAAAATTTACCATTGTGAATCTAAGAAATAACTTGTGAGCCAGGCGCCGGTGGCTCACACCTGTCATCCTAGCTAGTCAGGAGGCTGAGATCTGAGGATTGCAGCTCAAAGCCAGCCTAGGCAGGAAAGTCCGTGAGACTCTTTTCCCCAATTAACCACCAGAAAACTGGAAGTCACTCAAGTGGTAGAGCGCTAGAGCCTTGAGCTGTAAGAGCTGAAGGATAGCGCCCAGGCCTAGAGTTCAAGCCCCTGACAAAAAAAAAAAAAAAAAGAAAAGAAAAGAAATAACCTATGAAAAGTAATCCCATTTGTCATGATATAAAACTCTCTTATTATACGTCTGACTCTAATGCTAAAGTATGAAGATCTATCTATCTATCTATCTATCTATCTATCTATCTATCTATCTATCTATCTATCTATCTATCTATGCATCTATCTATCTATATCTGCAGCATGCAGTTTAGGATCTATATATGATGAGGATTCAAGATGTTTGTACACAAGCAACAAGTGGACTCTTATTTTATCTTAACTTAGATAATAGGTTTAACCCAGTAATGCAAGAACATTTCTCTGCTGACTTTATCTTCTACTTTTTTTTTTCTTTTTGTCAGTCTTGGGGCTTGAACTCTGGGTCTGGGCATTGTCTCTGCACTCTTCAGCTCAAGGTGAGTGTTCTACTTCTTGAGCTACAGCGCCACTTCCGGTTTTCTAGTGGTTTACGGGAGATCAGAGTCTCAGGGACTTTTCTGCCAGGGCTGGCTTTGAACCATGATTCTCAGATCTCAGACTCCTGAGTAACTACAATTGATAGGCGTGAGCCACGGGCGCCCGGCTTCTTCTGCTTATTTTTAAACAATTTGTGTTATCTTTAAGTAATTGTACGAAGGATTTGCCATGCAACACAGCCATGGATGAATGCTTCTCAATCAACATCATCCTTTTCATCATTTTTCCCCAACCCTCCCAACTACACCTCTTCCCTCAAGAATATTTTTTAAACATCATTGACAAAAGCCCATTCAATGAAATATGATGTAAATTACTTCCCTGGCCCTGTTGAATGGATGTGTGCAAATATGTGGACCTATGTACGTATTATTGGAAAGAAGGAGGAAGGTCATCTGCTTTCACTCACCCCATCTCCCTTTGCTCCTGGAGATCCCTGAGTACCAGGGAGACCCCTGTCACCCTTTTCTCCTTGTTCCCCTGGAGGACCAATCAGGCCAATTAAACCAGGATGTCCCTTTGAGAGAGAGAAAGAGAGGAGAGAGAGAGAGAGAAGGAATTTAGTAACATATAAGCTATCATTATATCTTAGTCATAATATATTTGCATATCAAATTCAAGAAACAAAAAGAAAGCATAATTTAACTAAAACTATGAACGGAATTTGAGAATCTCCTCCAGTGGACCATTCAATATTACTATTAGGTCTTTATTAAGGGTTGAGGATATTTCTAAACAAAGTGATTTCTACAAATATCATCTATAAGAAAAGCAATGATAGCTCATGCATACAAGTCCTGGCTACTCTACAGGCTGAAATCTAGAGGATTGTCCTCTGAGGCCAACTTGGATAGAAAAGTCCAAGAATTTCCATTTCCAAAACAGCCAGTGAAAAGCTGCTCTGGGATCATGACTCAGAAGGTGTAGTGTTAACCAAGCAAGTGCAAGGCCCTAAATTTTAACATATTTAAAATCATCATCAATGTTACATTTGAAGTTCTTTAAACTTAAGAGACCAACAAAATGCATATATAATATTAGTGGCATAAACAATGAAAAATTCTTTCTTTAAAGAAATCTCAATATAAAACAAATCCTGGGGTGGGAAGGTGGCTCAGTGGTAGAGTGCTTGCCTTGTATGCATGAGGCCTTGGGTTTGATTCCTCAGCACCACATAAGCAAAAAAGAAAAAAAGCTGGAAGTGGCGCTGTGGCCCAAGTGGTAGAGTGCTAGCCTTGAGTGAAGAGCTGAGGGACAGCGCCCAGGCCCAGAGTTCAGGCCCCAGGACTGGACCCCCGCCCCACCCCACCCCCAAAAAAACCCAAAAAACAAAAAGCAAAAAAAAATCCTATTTTTAAGGATTCTGTAGTTTTGAAAAGACATTTGTAGGCTTAAAAATAACCCAACCAATGTTAATGACATTATAAATATGTCTTATTTCTGTATTTGTTGCATTAAAGAACCATTTTTGGAAAAAAATCAAATTGCTCCTTGAAAGATCTTTCTACTTTGTTTTCAGTCTTGAAAACATAAAAGCAGCCATTTCATTGTTCTATTTATTTTCTGAATAGCTATTTTAGTAGAACCATATGTTTTCACCATATGGTTCCTAAATCTTGCTATACCTCACTATTGCTTTGAGTCCTTTCTCTTTTCTAACTACTTCTGGGAAGCTGAGAATATGTAGTTTTCTGTGGTCAGAATCACAAAAAATGTGTTAAATTTCCATTAGTGTGGTTTTAATCAGAAAAAAAAAAGCAAAAACAGTTGCTACTATTATCCCAGTTGTTTTGCCACCTCTTCTCTTACCTTTTCTCCTTTGGAGCCAGGGTCACCTTTGAGGCCAGGTAAACCAGGAGGCCCCTAAATAAGAAGAAGAAACACAGGAGGATAGAGTCAGCATGGATTTTAAAGGATAGAGTACATGGATTTCCAAAGCCTCTCAGTAGTCAAGGAGCTAGTTTGGTTTTTGCAATACAGAGTTCAAACAAATTAATAATTAGGATTCTGGATGAATGTGTATTTTAAAAAGCATGATTTAGTCCTGGCACTGATGGCTCACAACTATAATTGTAGCTACACTGGAAGCTGAGATCTAGGATCACGGTTCAAAGCCAGCCTGCGCAAGAAATTCTATTTGACTCTTATCTCCAATAAACTACCAAAAATCCAGAAGTGGAACTGTGGGCCAACCGGTAGAGTGTCCTAGCCTTGAGCAAAAGAAACTTAGGTATCATTCACAACCCTGAGTTCAAGTACCAGAACCAGCCCAAAACAACAACAACAACAACAATATCAACAACAAATATGATTTAATATGGAATCATAATATTGACAATTTTGGTTAAATAAATGTGAGATCAGAAATAGGTCATGTTTTAATGTGGATAAGTAGCTGTCAAGAAAAATATAAATTTTGAAGTATACCGGTTTGGGTAGAAGTGGATTCTAAATTACATACCGAGATAATCAAATCTTTCTAGGCCAAACCTCAGTTTTAAAGAATACAATATTTTCAGTCAAATTTTCAACAACACCCCTCAAACTTCTAACAGTCATTTGATTTTTTTTATAAACTACAGGACAAATTAGAGATTTTAATACACTGGTGTGTTTATAATTAAACAGCAGCTCATGGCCTGCAGTATTTGTAAATATAGTGATGGAACCAGATATACAAAGACAACTTTGTATATACTAACTTAAATTTGGGTGCTGTGTAATTCTACAAGGAGAAGAGCTAACTTTCTGGATTCTGATATCAATTTTTGTTTCCTGTTTTTTTGAAAATGAACAACTTTCATTATAATTATTCGAGAGACATATACACTAAGAATACTTAGTAATCCCAATGACATTTCAGATATTAACAGTATTTTCAATATTCACAATACTGATAAAGTAGATTGTTGGCTCCTCTTGACTTGGAATAGAGTCATTTATCATGAGTATCAAAGCTGGCATTCAAGTCTAGGTCTCTGATGTGCAAAATTCTTTTCCCATATGACACTGGATTTCTTAAGAGTGGTAAAATGAGCAAGGATATGATAGCGATCAGAAAAGAAATAAGAAATACATTACAGAAAAGTAAGGCAATTTAGCAAACTACTAAAGAAAGTACATCTCCCAGGAAGTGGACTTATTTAGACTTCAAAAGCTTTGAAGGAATAAAGGCTTCTGTGAGGCTCTTTCTTTTGTGCTCAATATCCCCAGACTCTATTAAAATAAACAGTCATGCAACTTTGTTGATCCACAGACAAAAACGATGCTTTGAGGAAATTACCTATTTTTATTTAAGTATATGTTAATGGTGTCTTTCAGCACCACAACTCCATCTAGATTTAGAATAACCTTGTTATTTGATCTCAAAGAGTAGTCTTTAAAACAGCAGTGGTAGCTGTAAACATCTTAGGTAGCACTTTCTTCCACCTCACTAGACCAATGGAATGACTGTCTTTGGGATACAGATTAGTACTCTGTCCCATGCTTCAGATGCTCATTAAGGTTTAAGAAACACAGCTTCAAAACTCACTGGTATGAGGTGCCAAATTCAGTCACATCAATATGCAAAACAAAAGTGCATAAAGGATCTGAGGTATCTTAAAATAACACATGGTCTAATTAGCTTTCTAATTTATTAATTGTATGATTAAAGTAGTACTGTTTTTACCTTTACTATTTTCTGCTCTCATCAGAAATGCTTGGCGAATTATCAATCGAGAAAAGAAAATAACATTACCTGATAGCATGCATTTCAACAAAATCTTTTTGTGAGTTGTAGTACCATGTTTTTAAATAAACAATATCAGCATTATACTTTCCAAGGTCATGGCACCATCAGGTAAATATCAGACTCTGTGTCAGAATAAAGAGGCCTAGAATAGGCCCAGAAAATAGTTCTAAGAGAAGTGAAATCGTATCACAGAACTACATACTTGGAACAAGAAGAGGAAACATTTAGAAATAGTGCTTAAACCTGACCTATGCCAATTTTACAAATCAACACATTACAACCCAACACCTTCTCTAGATTGAAAATAAAAATCTATGAAAGAGATTGTATTCTTTTCTTCATTCCTGATTTTATGTTCAAACTCCCACATACCTGATACATTTAGCAGTGAGAGAATCAATGGGGCATGTTGTCTGATGAGCATGAATATTTCAACCACTGCCACAGGCACTAATTTTCAAGTGAAATATAACCTACATATCTCAGTTGTATCCACAAAATATCCTAAAAAGTGATTGTGTGCTAACATTATAATGAAAGCAAAATTAGGATAATAAAAACTGAGTAAACAATATAGCATAATACATATTCATTATTTTCCTTAGTTTTATTCATGCTACAGATGGGTATCTATCAACTTTCTCATTCCATTGTACTAGAAGACATTAGTATTTGTAATTCAAAGTGCTCATGTTTAATATAAAACATACTAAACTTTGAGTTGTAAATGCATTTTCAAGATTTTCCACACATTATTGGTGGATTTTAAAGAATTTTAATTAATAAGCTCACATGGAATTACAGTATGTATGTTCTCATATAATGATGAATTTGCCAAGCAAACACAGTTTTTTTATTTTCCTTAGGTAAAGTAGAAATTGGTAATATTATAATATTGAGAACCTTATAAATATCCCTCTGAACCTAGAACAAATAAAAAACATCAGCTCTGTATATAAAAATGTAATTCCAAGTATATGTTTTCTATTTGTTCTGAAAGTTATTGTAAATTGAAAACCCTTAGGGAAATTCAGAATTCATAGGCAATAAAGAGAAAAAGAAAACAGGGATCATACATTCTTAAGTTTTGAGAATACACATCAAATATTTTCCCGTCAACACTATGAATTATGGAATATTTGCCTTGATCTGTATCTCAAAACTCTAGTGCATTGGTGTTTAAAGAAAGTACAGATCCCACACTACATTTAGAATATAAAATCATAGCAAATTGTTTATTTTGGTGAAAAGCAAATGCTTTATTATATACAACTATTTAGTCATTATAAAATGCTTTGCATCTCATGCCTGTTTTCATGTAGCATTAAAAAAATCAGTAATGCATCCAGTCTTTTATTCAGGCTATTACTGCTTGAAAAATAATGTTCTCAGATATTTATTATTTTGTGGAAAGTAAGAATATATGATAACATTAAGATAATCTTGTCACAAGGTAAAACAATATTGTTTTCATACACTGGAATGAATAGGTTCTTAAAATAAAATAATATGAAACTAAAGCCTAAGACTAAAACAGATGATAATTCTGCCTCCAAAACATCAAATATATTTGTGAAGTTATTCAATTATGATAATTTTGCTTTTGCAGCACATGCATAATGCATTCAGTATTATTCTTCCTTTTAAAATAGTATTATTCTCATTTTGTCTGCTGACCACCTACTCAAAAACCATCAGCTTCTCTTCTTTAAAATGTACGTGAACAGAATTTTTTATCCAGGATCTTCATTGTACTTAGCTCTCTGTTCATGCTCCATGAACTACTTATCTACCCTTTTAGAATATCCACCCAATGTTTCTAAATGATTCTAAATGTGTGTCCATATGCATAATGAATTAATGCATGTGGCGAGATTTCAAAGAAATTTTGTTGTGAGAAAAAAAATAACTTTTGAAGCAAAAACATTACTGTAGAACTCCAACAGAGCTAATGACAGAGTGAGCACTGAGCAAACAGAATTTTTTTTTAATTTTCTTCTCAAGAAGATTCTGATACAATTGTTAGACAGTTAGCCATGTGTGGATGCCCTGTTTCATAGAATTCAGTTGTCTAAAGAGGCAACAGCCATTCTGGAAAGATGAAAGAAGGTAAGATTACTTGTAGCTAAGTGTTTGTTTAAAAGCGGAGAGAAATGGAAAGACCGAGCACCTTTGAAGAGAACATTACTGCTACAAATTGCCGGTATCTATGAGGAGAAGAAAAAGAGACCAATAGGTAGCTACTGAACGCTAGTGATCAGCAAGCTGTAGTCTGAACAGACATCAATGTGACAGGGAATGTATTCCTATTTACAATGAGGCAAAAATAAATTGTGGAGAAAGTGTTTATCATAAATGTCACACGGCCTCTCCTATTGGAGTTTAATGCTCACTTGTATCTTGTATGAGTTTTCAAATTTCTTGTTTGTCTCACTTCTCATATCCACACGAAAACATTCTTTTCCAGCTTAACTAGTCTGATCATACTTGCAATCAGGGAAGAAGCTCCAGAGTGGATGACATTTATGTAGCTCCACTTTGGGTGTACTTAGAATCCTCTGCTTAAAGTGTATTACAGTACTGTTGATACTGTGCTCTAATTGCTGCTAAGCGTATTTTTTCATATTTTTTATTTGATTTCTTTTAGTTTAGATTTTGGTGCTGGTCCTGGAACTTGAATAAGAGTCTCATAGACTTTCCTGCTTGGGGTGGCTTCGAACCATGATCCTCAGATCTCAGCCTTCTGAATAGCTAGGATTACAGGTAGGAGCAACTGGCACCAGCACTTTAGTATGCTTTTATAGCTAACTACTTCTAACCCAGATTGTTGGGTATACATAAACATGAACCTCAGTCCATGCTTACTTTTCATCATAATACAAAATCGACTATTTAAACAATATTTGTCATTGTACTTTCAATTAGTAATTACTTGATGCTCAATGGTTCAACCATTTTTTTTAACAAATAACTCATTTAATAAACATAAAACTCCCATACAGTAGAATGTATCAATATATCAATTTTATTTGTTTACCCTTCATAGCACTTCATGGGACAGTTGTTAAGACTACTCCCATTTTACACATAAAGAAACTGAAGGTAAAATACAAAAGAGAGAGATACTTTCCTGAGGCCATCTCACTAGATGACTGCACTCCGTTTTGAAAACAAGGAGTTTGGCTTGAGAGTTGAGGATCTGAACCACTAAGTTACTTTTAAGCACAGCAAATTACTTTTCACTCATCAAATTAACCAATTCACTTTACTCATAGCTCAGTTGAAAAGCTCATTATGTTGCCATGAATAGAATTTGAAGATGGTTTCTCCATCCACACTCACCTCAAAGCCCTGTGGGGCATTTCTGAGTGACTGAGAAATCATACTCATTATATCCAGAGCAATTATCAAGTTGCAATATGTCCATCCATGTGCTCCTCAACAAAACCCAGACAAGGAAGCGGACCCATGCTGCTTTCTCTGTTGTTAAGCATTCCAATTTGCCTATAAGGATTTTGGTTGCTCATCCTTCTCATCCAAGGAAATAACATTTACTTTAAGACTCAGAAACATGAATTTGCCAAGCTGGAATCAGCCTGGAATCATCATGTCTGATGGTTTTATTTTTATTTTTAATATTAATTGAAAGAAAAACATGGTGCTTTTTTTTCATCTGCAGAAAGGTCATAATACTAATGGAAAATGCAAAATAACAAGGAAAAGACCATCTCTAGCAAATTGGAGGATGACATTATGTCAAATTCTCTTTTCTTCCAGTCTGAGTCTGCAGCTAGGAGTTCACCTTATCTAAAGATAATATTCCCTAAATAATATTGAGAACCCTGAGCTGAGATTGTTTCAGTCAGAGCCCTATTTCTATGATGATGATTTTGTAGGCAAAACTTACTCTAGATAACCTCACGCTTTCATTCCATTAGGAACTGACATTTATGCAGTTGCAAATAAATAATCAGCAATTCCAGTTTAAAAATAAGCCCTTAATATTTATGAAATATGTGGTAAGTAAGCTAGAGGAAATTACTACAGAATCCTTATTAAGAGGAATAGCTGAAATTCTTCCTAATTAATTGGTATTTTGAATCCAGGTCTAATGGCTGAGTATGTACTATGAACAAATGAGATAATTAGTGAAGTTCATAAGGGATACTTGAATAAAGCTCAGGTTACTTTACGGAAGACTTGACCATTTAACCTATTTGCATTCATGCTTAGTCCTCCAAGCATTGTTTATTGTTTTGATTAATCCATTGTGCATAATAGTTTAGAATAATCCATTTCAAGTGTCTCTACCACCAAATAGAATCTGTGTACAAAGCAACCGAGGGACCTACTAAGCAAGTGTTTTGAAGGACAGGCTTTCCATTCTCATTTTCTGTCCATATTTTAGTAACCTTAGCTTGGGAGCCTGTCATAAACTGCTTACCAACTGAGGCTTTATTGCATTTCTCAAATGTAGAGTTTATTAGAGAGTGAAAAAATGACATTGTTTAAAATGATCATCTCTGGTTTTTTTTTTTTTCCTTTTACTCCCGAGATTTAGTGTCTTATCTCTCAGCTTATTTCTCTCATAAAGAGAACCATCTGTTTGGTCAAGAAGTCACTGCCTGTTTGTGCCAACAGTGCTCTTTCAAACGGACTGCCAGGAAACAAAGTTTAATTGCATGCATTTGGGGGAACTGTCTGTACCAGGAAAATGATGAGCTGGGCCATTAGTGACATTTTATTCTGCGTAGAAATAATATGTTTTCCTCAAAGGGTACAAGAAAGAAAAACTAATCCACCATGGAAATCCCCCAGTTAGATCAGTTGTGATTATTTTCCTCACTGTAGGACTGATGTATGAATATATTTCTTTTGAGTGTAAGACAATGTACATACTAATTTGTAAGCTAAAATTTCAGGAGTTTGAACTTGTAAGCAATTTGGTTTTAAGAATTCTCTCTTTAACCAATGATGAAAATGATAGATACTCACAATTGGGCCTGGAGGTCCATCTTGACCTGCAGCTCCTGGAAGACCTTGTTCTCCCTACAGAAAAAGAAAATGATAATCTTTTAAATTCACAGAAGAGTATTACATTTTCATTTTGAAATGTCAAAGAAGGGAGTAAACATCACCTACCAATTTATACTAGCTTAAGAATATATATGCTGGAAGGAAATTTTTTTTTTTGGGGGGGGGGTCTGGTCGTGGGGCCTGAACTCTGGGCCTGAGCGCTGTCCCTCAGCTCTTCAGCTCAAGGCTAGTACTCTACCACTTGAGCCACAGTGCCACTTCTGGCTTTTTTCTTTTTGCTTATGTGGTGCTGAGGAATTAAATCCAGGGCCTCACGCATGCAAGGAAAGCGCTCTACCACTGAGCTACCTTCCCAGCCCCTGGAAGGAAATATGTGTGTGTGTGTGTGTGTGTGTGTGTGTGTGTGTGTGTGTGTGTGTGTGTGTGTGTGTGTATGCACGTGCGCGCCACTTCTGGGGCTTGAACTCAGGGTCTAGGCTCTGTCCCTGTCGTTTTTGACTCAAGGCTAGTGTTCTACCACTTGAGCCACAGCTCCACACCCAACAGTTTTGGTGGTTAATTGGAGATAAGAGTCTCATAGACTTTCCTGACTAGGCTAGCTTTGAATTGTGATCCTCAGACCTCAACTTCCTTAATAGCCAGTATTCCAGGCATGAGCCACCAGTGCACAGCTTTCAGTGCAGTATCTTTTGACTGTGTGAATACATCTATAGACATGTATGTGCAGGCAGACACGCATTCACACAAAATTTACATCTGTGAGATGTTAGGCTTACTTGTCTCTTTTGCTTTTATAAGTTAATATTTTACTGTCAACTCATTAAATAGATGGCACTCTTAAACACTGTAAGGGCATCTGACATCATTACGCATTATTTAGTGAGTTCTCATAAAACACCCTTACTACCACTCAGGAAGTCATCCCTTCATAAACATTTCCCTCCGCTGTTGAAGAACTAGAATGTTCTATTCCAGTAGAGATGCTCACCACGGGCCCAGGGATGCCACGAAGACCTTCAGGACCAGGCTTTCCAGAAGGGCCTTGAGGACCCACAGGACCAGTTTTCCCAGGGGGACCTTCAGCACCTGCCTCTCCCTGTTGGAAAAGAAAATGTGACCAGAGTCACAGTGAATGAATTGTGAATGGTGAGCATTCAGTGTTCTGATAGATTGCAGACCCAGCCTTTACCTTAGCACCTTTTTCTCCTTGCCGTCCCTCTGCACCTGTAGTACCAGGAGGACCCTGGAAAGACAAAGGTACATTTTAGTTAAGTGCCACCTAGGAAATGAACACCACTGAGAACTGATGGACAAATACAGTCCCCTTACTGGTAACAGACTCCTGGGTTGGGAGTTAATTGGTGGTAGATCTAAAACAGTTTCCTTCATTTGTGGTAGATAGAATGTACCTGTAAATCTCTAAGTAGACATGATGGGTGGTATGGAAGTGGTAACAAATGAATTTCCTGAAGTAGCTCAAACAGGATAATCTCTCAGAAACACCAGGTCAAAGCCCAACAAAACTACTACCAGGAAATGGGTACCTTTTGTAAGGTACCAAGGGCCAAGGAGGGAGGGTTAGAAGGATGAGTAGGGGGGAGGAATGGAAGTAAGAATGCAGTCAGGAGAATTCATTGTATATAATATGAAATTAAGAAAAGGAAAGGAAAGGGTAAGTAGAGGAGAGGGGAGGATGTTGAAGAGAAGCATATTCATAAACTTCTTTGTTATATGGCACCTCCTTTGTGCAACTACTTAAAGACAATAAAAAGAAAGGAAAGGTAAACACAATAAAAAATGAGAAACAATAAAGCACATGGTTGACCACGATGGAGGGGTTATATTGATCAACCGGCGTTGTGTTTGTAATGCATTGTATTTGGCTGTGTTGAACTGACACTCCTTCACACTACTTCAAGATGATAAAAAAAATAAACAGAAAACCACAATATTGAATATCACACAATGGCTTACTTTTTGGTGAAACTGGGGTTTGAATTCGGAGCCCCAAGCTTACCCTGATGCACTATCACGTCACTGAGATACCCCCCGCTTCTTTTAATGGTTAATTGTAAGGATAGGGTCTCGCTTCATGCCAGGCAGATGCCACCAGCCTACGGTATCTTCTGTCTACTTTTAGGTTTGGAATTGGCAGGATCACAGGCCTGTTCCTCTAGGTCCAGATTCCTTACTATGAAAGCAGAGCCTCAGGGACATTTCTGCCTTCGCTGGCCTGAACATATGGTTCTCCAAATCTCAACTTCTCGTGTCATTCTGGATGGCAAGCACATGAAACAGAACTGAGCTATGCACTGCAAAGCAGGTCTCACAAACTTTTCCGCCTTGAAAAAAGCAATAGTTCCAGCTGGCCTTCAGCTACAATCCTCCCATTCTTAGCCTCCCAAGTAGTCTGTATTGAAGGGATAAGCTGCCAACAACTGGCTCTCAGAACTACCCTTTTACATACAAACTTTCACTTAGAATACTAAAGATAGAGTACAGAATTTAGTAGACTACAGATAATCATATACTATCAACATGAGCCAACATAAAGGAAAGCTTAATAAATACTGATGAATTAAAATATATTAAGTGCCCACATCCACAAATCAGCCAACGACAAATGCTGGAGGGGATGTGGAGAAAGAGGAACCCTATTACACTGCTGGTGGGAATGTACACTTATACAACCACTTTGGAAAGCAGTCTGGAGGGTCCTTAGAAAGCTAAAGATTGACCTCCCTTACGACCCAGTCATACCACTTCTAGGCATCTACCCTGAACAACAGGAACCAATATACAAGGACACGTGCACCTCCATGTTTATTGCAGCACTGTTCGCAATAGCTGGGATACGGAAACAACCTAGATGCCCCACCACAGATGAATGGATCCAAAAATTGTGGTATCTATACACAATGGAATATTATGCAGCCGTTAGAAATGACAAAATAATGGCATTTGCAGGGAAATGGATGGAGCTAGAAGGAATCATGTTGAGGGAGGTAAGCCAAGAACGAAGAGACAAACGGTACATGGTCACCCTGATAAGTGGATGCTAAATCCAAAATGTTAGGTGATACGACAAAACTAACAGGACTTAAGAAACAAAGAACTCCCACTCATCTGGTTGAACCACTACTAAATATCCCCATGCTGCTGATCACAAATATGGTATATAACATGTGAACACTGTTATATATTACAGACTGTGGTAGACAATTTGCTCCAGGGAAGTTAGAATGAACTTGTGACTTTGAAATTATGTAATCACTTAATCACAATAAAAAAAAAAAGAACCTCGGGGAAGGGAGGGAGAGAGGGGATGGTAGGGGGAAAACAATGGAGGGGGTAACAATGTTCAAGAAGAAGTGTACTCATTACCTCACTCATGTAACTGTAACCCTCTGTATAGTATCTTTACAATAAAAAAAATATATATATTAAGTGAAGTAAGCCAGGCCCAAAGAAACATAGGTCCCATGGTTTCCCTTATTTGCAATATCTAGTATATGTATGAGTCAAGCAGAAAAGGTCAGATAATGTGATGTTAGGAAAATGAACCCTTAGATATGTATTTAAATGTTTTTTTTCTTTCATGCATTTGTTTCTAACGCATTTATAAGATTATTTTTTTGTTGCTTTGTATGTTCCTCCCCCACAGTATAATCCCTGCTTTCACTGTATTTGATGTCGGTATAATTTGTGGAGGAGAAGGGGAAAAACAAGTCCTTTAAGGATACAGGTGGACCCGTTGCAACAATGAGAAGTACAAGTTGTCATGTCGTAAACGACTTGTGGGGGGGGGGGGGGGGGATTGGGTAGGGGGAGGCTGGGAAGGGATGTGAAGGGTAAACAAAGAAGGAGGCTGCAATGCTTGATAAGAAATGTACTCATTATCTTGCCCATGTAATTGTAACCCCTCTGTACAGTATGTTCACAATACAAAAAAAAATCACAAACAAAAAAAATAAAATATTTCCTATGAGTATAAATACTGAGCTATCATTTATTATGTGACACTGAAAGCTAATTACTAGAAACTAACTGAATATACAAAATTTCTCTTCTATCACACATTTGTTTTAGGAATAGCCTCTTTCTTAATCTAAGAAGATCTATATGTTTATTTTTATGGGATCATGTTGCAGCTAAAGAAAATAACATTTACAATTATGATAGCAAACATACCTATTCATGTTCTGTGGAACTGTGTAAATCACAAATAGAATTAATAGAATAAAATACCACTTTTTAATTTCTAGTATGAGAGTAAGGATAGTAAACAATGAAAAACACTCGTTATACTTAAGAAATAACATATAAGCTTAAGTACTGGGACACTAATTAGAAACTTAATGATCTCAAAGAAATTGCATTTAATTTCCTTCCATTTCTTCTTGTTCCTCATCTGTTACTCTCAAAGTCATTAACTGAAATTGTGGTGGGTGGATAGAAGGAATAATTAAAATTATGTCACTTGATGAGGCAAAGTTGAGGAAAGCAGCTCATGTTTTAGGTGCTCTTTTTATATTCTACCAGTGGATACAATATAGGCTTTCACATCAGATGTTAAAGTCTTAGTTGAAATGAGTATCAAGGATCTCATCAAACCCAGAGAATTCCATGAACTTGTTTTCTTTTAACAGACTTATGAAGATATCACTAGCAATCACATTATTTTCTATATACAAAATTTATTGGGCCTTAATCCCAAAGTATAAAGGTATAAATTCTATGAAGTATAAATGCATAAAGGTGATAGAAATATGATGAACAAAAATAGAAACATAAAAGCTCTTTATAAAGTCTGTATTATTTATATAAAAGGATTTCTGTATTGAAATATAAATACTGAATTTTTCTAGTGGTTAAATATTAAGCCATAAAATAGTAACCAAATATTAGCCAAAAGTAACCTATACAAAGTAAAATCATTATAGTGACTACTATTTTGGAAATAGAAATAATAAGATTCAATGAAAGGATAGGTAATTATTCAGCAAAGATGACACAAAAATATTGAAATAAGTGTCTGTTGTCTGTTGCCTTGACCTCAAAATACTGTACTTAGACACATGAACTTTATAGTGTAAGATTTAGGAATATCTGAGCTTAAAAGAAGAAACACATCTACTTACTAAAAACACAGGGATAAGAGAGGAAAACTATCTGAGTGGGAAGTGCTAAGAGAAATTTGACACAACTAAACTACAGCATGCCACAAATCTGTAATAAAAACAAAGGGGTTCTCCACTTCCAAAGGATGTCATGCAGAGAGTCTACATTAAAGGACTCTTCTATTCATATTTTCACGTTTTCTTTCTTTTTTTTTTGGTCCGGTCGTGGGGCCTGAACTCTGGGCCTGGGCGCTGTCCCTCAGCTCTTCAGCTCAAGGCTAGCGCTCTACCACTTGAGCCACAGCACCACTTCTGGCTTTTTTTTTCTGCTTATGTGGTGCTGAGGAATTGAACCCAGGGCCTCATGCATGCAAGGCAAGCGCTCTACTGAACCAACTTCCCAGCCTTCATGTTTTCTTTTTAAAAAATTTATTTCTTATTTTTTTTACCCCAATGCTATGTAGGTTGGTTTTGATTTTACTAAGATAAAAGTAGAAACCCTTTTACTAGGAGAGTTAAAAAATTACTTTTGTAGAATCTTATTGTCTTCTATTGTTGAGTGTCTTGAAAAGGCAGATATTGTGATTTTTTAAATAAATACTTCAGAGAAAGAGTTTGGTATTATTAAATTTACTGCCACATCAGACATGGAGGGCAGCAAGACAAATGAATCTAATCATTTACGGGACAGATCAGAGTTCAAGTTCCATTTACACGATTAACTCTTCACAGCATCCCTACCTGTTCATGTGCCTCATTCACCCAACAAATGAACAGAGTGGCTGTAGGATTACACAATACTTTATGTTCCCAACTATTTCCTCTCTATGACTCTCAGTTTAATTATTTTTATTCACAAGTTGTTCCTAAATTGCTTTTGTTTGGCAAATCTATTTCAGTTAAAAAAATAAAATGCAACTGCTATGAATTTAAATGCTCCCACTTTTGCAGTAGTTTTCCTGGGCAATCTCTTTGTAATATGTTACACGAATTTACATTTAGGAATACTCTTTTTATAGGTAACTGACATTTTTTAACAGACTTACACTATCCTCCTTTATTTTTAAAATATATTTAATTATTATATTAATGGTATTTTCTTTATGCATTGCTCAGTTAGTTCAGCACTGATCATTGTACAGCTAAAATAAAGCAAACTTCCAAAATAAAAATTGCATTGGCAAAAGTTACCAAAATATGTATTGCTAATAAGCTTTCCTATAACTTATATACCTGGGAAACTGGCAGAAAATGTTTTAATCTTGATTAAGTTGACACACAATTTTATTTGGCAACATGTTTATTTAACTTGTAATGGCCCAATTTGAAACTCTATGTCCGTTTTAAGAACAGCATCCACTTCATATTGGTGACAAATCCAGGCATTTGGCTTTATGCTTTTGCCACACACCACATTCTGCTAACTTACTCTCTTTAGCTTTAGAAATTAATTATTGTGCCCATTTATAAAATGAGAAAACCAAGACAGAAAGATGAGTTATTGTATGTCACGTTTTTTCCTTTAACAAAACATAGATTTGAAATCAGACTTGTCTGATTCTAATGCACTTTCATTGTCATCTATTTTTTGATGATAGTAAGATATGAAAAGTTTTATCCACTAAGCTGAGAAAAGCTCAAGCAAATAATTTCTCACTTAGCCTAAACAAAAAGGTGGTTAGAGAGAAAATAAATCATATACCTTTTCCAGTTCAAAATTTGATGAAGAATCATAGTGCGGTTCTTGAAAAATGCCATATATATATATATATATATATATATATATATATATATATCATATCATATGATCCATGTCTCCTTTGGATTTTATATATCCAAAGGAAATAAAATCAGTCTACCAAAGACATATACCTGCACTGCATGTTCCAAACAGCACTTTTCAGAACTGTTAAGAGAAGGAGTCAACTTTGGTGTCCACAGGTGGATCACAGGAAAGAAACAATGAGTATGCAAATCTCACATGTGTACCCTGAACATGATGACTCTGTTTGTCCATCCTCCCTCGCTCTATTTGCCTGGTCCACTTTCCTTTGACTCTACCATCTCCCAATAAAGGATGTGTCAACTTCCTGGTATTTTTGTATGGTTTTTTTTCAATTGTAAAAATGCTGTATAGAGAGGTTATAGTTACATGAGCAAGGTAATGAGTACATTTCCTATTGAGCATTGTTGACTCCTCCTTTGTTTTCCCCCTACCATTGTTACAATGGATCACTCTGTATCCTTATTTAAGTATTTTGTTTTTTCCCTTCCCCTTCCCGAATTAGAGAAGTGTGTATACCAGAAACTGTAAAGTTGGTTGTTCAAAGGAGTGACAACATTGGAATCCTCTCCTGTGCATGCCATGGTATAGTTTGTTTGTGTATATGTGCATGCCTCTATGAGTCTTATGTACTTTACTTAACCTAATATTTTGTACATCCACGCATTTCCCTCCAAATGACACATTATCATTTTTTCTGATGGATGGACAAAATTTTAAATAAAGCTTGGTTATATCAGTGAAAAGGAGAGCACTGAATGCCTATAAGTGCAAAGTTTTGAGTAGAATTGGCATTTCTGGTTCTTTTTTAAATTGATTACTTAATTAATTTTTTTTTGTAAAGGTGATGTACAGAGGGGTTAAAGGGAGGCTAATGAGTACATTCCTTTCTGAACAGGGTCGCCCCTTCCCTCCTTTTCTTCCAGGTTTTCCCTCCTGACCCTTCTCCCCCACAAGCTGTGTGGTTCATTTTCTACATAGTATCTAGTGAGCATCACTGCTGCTGTCTGATTCTGTTTTTGTTTGTTTGTTTGTTTGTTTTCTGTGTTTTTCCCCCTCATCAGTGGTTTTGTTTCTGTACTTTTTGTCTTGTATGTAAGTGTATCTAGTTTGAGGAGGGTAAGAAGGAACACAGAAAGGATGGGACAAAGGGTGAACACATACATTTCTTGTAATTCTTGCAGTTAGGATGAAATGGCTAAAGTGTGTTTGCTTTGTTTCAGGAAATATTTTAACGTGTTTAAGGCACTATATGATATTTTTCTGCATGTCAGAACTTGCCGCCTACAGCTTACATACATAATACATGTGTAAACATACATTAGCTAATGAGCAGAGATTTCAAAGAAAAAATTCAAGAAACTTACTCTTTTTCCAGGAGGACCTGGTGGGCCAGCCTCACCAGATGGACCAGGAGGACCCTATAAAACATACACACACAGCTGTGAAACTCTTCTTTTAGAAATCTGAACATTATGGGACTGGGAAGGTGGCTCAGTGGTAGAGCGCTTGCCTTGCATGCATAAGGCCCTGGGTTCGATTCCTCAGCACCACTTAAGCAGAAAAAGCCAGAAGTAGGGCTGTGGCTCAAGTGGTAGGTTCTAGCCTTGAGCTGAAGAGCTGAGGGATCGCACCCAGGCCAAAAGTTCAGGCCCCACAATCAGCAGCAAAAAAATCTGAGCATTATTTCATGGCCCACATCATTTCTTAATATCTCAGCCAGAATGAATCTTTCCTCATTTCTACCAATCCATCTTTCCTAAAACAGGAACAAATCAACAAAACTGAACCCTATTTAATATAGCTAAACTTCTTGTAGACATGTTTCAATAGAGCTAGTAAGTTCATATGGAAAATATCACTAAAAAACAATCATATTCTCTCTCTCTAAAGGTGACCTTTTAGAAAGTACTAATTTATATCCACAGCATCTGCCACAAACATTTATTAACAGAATCTTACCATTGGTGATAATACTAATAACATATAAATTAGACATATACAAATTGCCTCTAAATTTCTCCCTGTAAAACACCAACATTTTTATACCGAAGTGACAGACCAGGCCTATATCTCTACCTGCAAATATTCAGGACATATGTGTTAGGAATAGAGTTCCACTTGGTTCCTACTTAAGTTAATGCCTTCCTCTGCTTTCTTCCTAAATAATCAATATGGTCAAATTACCCTCTTGTCTCATTCCAAATCTGAAAACACTGAATAAAAAGGTTTCTATTATACTACCTTCATTTACTTCCTAAATGAATACTGGATGTTCCTGGTAAATTACTAACTTGACTTGCTCCATCGGTCTAACTTACATTTCTGAAATAATATTATTTAACACAAAATGCATTTCTTATGGCAAAATTATGAGCATAAGTATGGTTTTGATGAAATCTTTGCTGTTTATATTTCTTTGTTGCTTATATTTATTCCATGGAAGACTGATTTTCAACTAAAATTCAAACATTTTTGACAATTCTTTTAGGAAATCAGAAACACATTGAACTCTGCTTTTGAAAAGCTGAGTGCTTCTGATTATTTCTTTAAAAACGAAAGAGAGAGAGAGAAAAACCCAACTCAAGACTAGTCGAAGATGGGAAAAATAAGTGTGTGTGCTCACCGGCTGTCCGGGGTCTCCATCTTCTCCCTTATCACCTCCAACACCGTCTTGACCCTAGAATAAATTGGCAGTAGAAAATCAACCCAAATATTTCTGTGATTTTTTTTTTCTTTTTTCAGGGGGAAAAAAAAAAACTTTGCTAGACTAAGTGCATTCTTGCGATAAAGTTTTATCTGATGGGCAAATAAAATTACTATCCTTTATTTTCTTAGGATTGTAGTGCCTCTCATTCTCCATAAAGGTTTGTAAAACTGATTCACCATCAAAATGGAAAATGCATGAGGTTCTTGATTCAAAGAAAGGAAAAAGATGTGATTTGTGTCAGTCCTCTTACCAGATAAGGTGACGTCTAAGATAGGGTTTCTACTATAAAAGAGACGAAGACTAAAAACAAAGATCTCGTGACTTCAAAATAGCAACAGCTCTACTTAGAGTTATTTGTACAGTTAAAAAGGAGAGGGAAACTAATAAAAATGAAGACTTTAATCATGTAATTTATGCTACATCTAATAGTCTCCAGTGGCAGGGATGTTCTCATAGTTATGATTCCCATTTGCTTTATTTGCCTTTCTGTTTTTAATCAAGAAGGGATTTTTCTTTCTTTATTAACCCTAGCCAGAATGGAAAAGGAGCAGCAGGTTGATCCCTTTCTTTTTTTCATGATACTTACTGCAGGGCCGGGCTCCCCAGGAGGGCCGGGGTCTCCAGGAAAACCAACAGGACCCTAGAATGAGGTTTGTTAGAGGAAAATAATTAAGTGCAAAGTGATTTTCTTAATAATGTTAACATATCTTGAAATATCAGGCATTAAAAAGCTTGGGTGAGCATATTTGTTCTCCCTAGATGGAACATTTCTTGCAAGTGAAATCAATTAATAATGGTTGTGAATATAGAAAAGGATAAAACGTCCATGTCAGCAAATAGAAGCCAGAGTCTCAAATGTCTACTCTTCTCAGAGAAACGCTTCAAAGTGAGTTCGGTGTGAATGCCTCATGAAAGGGGACACAACTCACCGGGTTTCCCTTAGGACCATCGTCACCCGGTGGCCCTTTAGCACCTGGAGGTCCAGCAGCACCCGGTGGGCCAGCTTCTCCCTTTTCTCCTCTTTCTCCTTTCGGACCCTACAGTGCACATGAGCGCAGAAGTTACTTTAAAAGCTTACGATCCCATGCTCCCCACATTACCTCTCTCACTATATTGGTAGCACTAAGGTAGGAACTCTCGATCTTATGCAACTTAGTCCTTGAGTCCACGTGTTTAATGTTAGTACACATTATGCCAACCAATTCTTTGTGGTAAGAATCTGTTATATATTTCCAAGTATGCCCAATCTAAATTCACTTAATGCCAATAGCCACCACATCTTCAAGTATGCCAATCAAAAATGTCCCTAGATATGGTCAAGTGTTTCCTGGGGTTTGGGAGGGGGTTAGAAAACCCACCCCTTGTTTAAACCCATTTATGTTATAACAAGACATCCCGAAAGAAGTCATCAATATATTTATTTGATGCAGCAAATAAATTCAATACAAAAAGTAGAGCCCACCAGTGAGAAAGCAAATGGTAAACACCTTACAGTTTTTAATGCTTTAATGTTTATAGTTTTTGGTACAAATGTGATCTTTTTTTTTCAACTACATGTGAATCAAGATATACAGAACAAATGCACAGTTATTAAATATGAAGATTCTGCACTTGCACTTGTGAATACTTTTAGTGGGTGGGAAAAGGAGAATATAAAATGAAGTTACAACTAGGTAGTAAGCTACAAGCTTCAAGTGTCTCAAGGGTATTCTTTGTAACAACTGCCATCCCATACTGACACCAAGACAGCACTTACACCAGAACCTGCTTCACCAGGAGGTCCGGGGTTTCCTGCTTCTCCAGGTTCACCCTACAAAGGAAAAAAATAAATAAATCAAGTGAGGCTTAGAACATAGCAATGATAAGTTGCATCTGAAATGCTTCCTTCACCTCTGGCCATACCATCCATCGGTATACTGTTCAAAAGGCATTTAACAAGTTGAGTAAGCAAAGGAACTTTTTTGCCTTGTTCACAACAATGTACTTCTGTTTCTCAGGTGAGGAGATAGAACCAGACAGGAGGATGCCACATTTCTTGCAGATTAATCAGTGCTCTTCCCATTAAACCATGTTAACACCATATCATTATAATAATACATGTCTGCCTGTTTCCTAACAAACTATGTACTTGGTATGGTATAGAAATTCATATTATAACCAAGTGTACTGCTCAAACCTCCCAAGTGCTTGTTTTCTTTCTTTCTTTCTTTCTTTTTTTTTTTTTTGAGGTAAGGGGTAGGTTTATTCAGTAGACCTGCTGGGACCAGGCAAGGTTGGCACTCCACGTGGCTGGGAAAGGCCTGGGAAAGAGTGAGAGCTGGGAAAGAGAGGAAAGAGAGAGAAAAGAGCTACAAAAGAGGAGAGAGAGCATAGAGAGAGCCCAAGTGCTTGTTTTCATAAAAATATAAATTTTAAATGAGCAAATAATTTGCTAGTGTATTGATATTTCTGTAGAATATGCTTAGTAGAAATCTAAAGGATATAGAGAAAAGAATATGAGATCTAAAAGGTGCTTAGATGAAAATTAAAATTAGGCAATTTGAGTAATGTATGTTATATATTTGATAGCTTTTTATGATTTCTTTGTTTAGATAGCAATGGTTAATTTTTAGGTCAGCTGACTAATTAGGAATCTCCTAGATTAAAAGGTCTTAGTGAAAAAAGTCCAATTTTAACGCCTCAAATTTAGGAATGTATAAAACTGTAACTTTCTCAAAGGACGTTTTAGTGAGTTCAAGCAATACAACATTTTGCATTTCTTCCCAATACTATGGGACTGGAAATTCTAGAATTGGCGACTCTAGCAATCTCAAAAATCAAGGACTGAATTTTCTGAATTTTTTTAAAACTCCAGCATTTCTAATATTCCCATCCCAAATTTCTCCTAAATTAGGATTTGAAATTTGCTATATTAAATATAAACTTACTTGTAGGGACAATTTTGTATATAAAACTACTTGTTCTTTGAGAATAATTAATCACATTTTAAATTCTTACATTATCTATATCATGTCAGAAGACTTTCCAGGAATTTATTAGTAGTAATATTGCGTATGAATTTTGGCCTCTCACTAGATAAATAGGAAATATTTCCAATATTTTTGTGTAGAAATTTATGAGTAAAATATTACAGTTACATTATTTATAAAGAAAGTAATCATTCAGCCATCTCAGATGATGGAATGAACTATAAGTAACATTTTATAAGCCATTATTCACATATTTGAAATAACTAGTTTGCCATTCAAATCAACTATCAACTACATATTTTATATTTAAAGTCCATAAATTATTTAGAAATACAGGGAATTTACTGAATATGTACAATATATTTTCTATGTACAATACGATTTCATGGTATTTTAACAGAAAGTTAAAATTAAAGGCAGAAATATTAAATATTTTTAGGCAGTCTCTAAATGGTTGTTCTTCACTTTGCAAATGCTAAGTTAAAGCTATATATTGAATATATCACTTTGATATCTTCAAATAAAGGGTAGATGGTGACGAGGTATGTTTTAAAAAACAGTCACAATTTAAGAATGAACTTTGTTTACTACAAAGTCTCACCATATTACATGCTCACAGCAATGCGTGAGCTTGAATTTCTCCACATCTTCCCAATGGATGTTGTTTTCTCTTTGTTTGTATTGCAGTATTGATCATTCTAGTTGGTATGGGATGATACTTCTTTTTTGGGGGGGTCCCGTTGTGGGGGCTGAACTCTGGGCCTGGGCGCTGTCCCTCAGCTCTTCAGCTCAAGGCTAGTGCTCTACCACTTGAGCCACAGCGCCACTTCCGGCTTTTTTCTTTTTGTTTATGTGGTGCTGAGGAATCGAACCCAGGGCCTCATGCATGCAAGGCAAGCACTCTGCCACTGAGCCACCTTCCCAGCCCTGGGATGGTACTTCTTTGTGGCTTGATTTAAGTTTATCAAAAACTTAATTGTTGAGTCAATTACCCTTTTATGGCTTTCTATCATTGAAGAAATGTCTGTTCTTTGGCTTATTTTTAAAAATTGCATTTTGTTGTTGTTTTTGAGTTGTAGATATTCTTTGCATGTTTTGATTGTTAATACCTTATGATTAGTACTTCATGATTTGCAATTATTTTCTCTAGCATCATAACTTATGTAAAATATTTAGAAAAAAGAACAAAATGAGCACTAAATATTTTTAAAATGAAGAAATATTTTAAAAATGAAGAACAATGTATAAAGGCCCTTTTCTCATAAAGGACTTGGAAAAACTACCATTATGTATATTAGAAAAAAACATTCACAATATAAATAGTAATAATTGAAAACAATATTAATGTTCCCTAAAGTATCCATTGTGTCAAATCTTTTGAAGCTAGGTAGGGCATAAGTACAAGTAAATACAACAATGCAACAAGATTATATTATGTTCATTAAGACTATGTTTACAGTAACAAGGAGATTACACATTACACATTCTTTTTGTTTATTTTTGAGGGCAGACTCTTGGTCTTGAATTCAGGGACTGGGTGTTATCTCTGAACATTTTTGCTCAAGCTTAGTACTCTACCACTTGAACCACACCCCCACTTCTGGCTTTTTGGTAGTTAATTGAGATAAGAGTTTCATATAGATAGAGTTTTCTCAGATCTCAAGCTCTTGAGAGGCTAGAATTATAGGCATGAGCAATTAGCCTCAGCTCATTCTTAAGAATAATAATGCCAGATTGATCATATGATTTTGTACTGGTATGTAGGTGATACACAAGATTGTAACGTCCTCACTACTCACCAATTATTTAAATTTATGTCATTATCTAATATGCTTGATTAGGTAAAGTTTCTTTTAGATGCAGCAGTAAATCATTTTGTCTAGAATTATAACCATGGAGTGAATATTCAACAAAGGTGTTGATATGCTTGATTCAAGAAATTTGAAGTGCAGATGCCAGCTAGAGAAAATTTACACTACATTGAAAGAAATTGAATATCTGGGAATAAAGTATAACTAAAGGCTTCTATTTTAGTAAAGTGTCAATTCCAAAATAGGAATTGAAACATTTAATGAAAACCAAAGGAGATATCAGAAATCTGCATAATCTGTAGCAAATATTATACTACCTCAGACTCATATTGTTGTTTAGAAGTACTGAGTTTTAAACTCAGGACTTTGTACTTATTGGGCAAGTACTCTGCACCCAACTCTTTTTGTTGTAGTTATTCTTCAGATGGTGTTTCCTGACTTTTACCTGGGCTGCCCTTAGACAAAATAACCCTGTGTCTATCACCTACCAGGATTACAGGCAGCCTTACCATGCTCAGCCTCCCCAGATTCTTAAAAATATATGATTCAAGGCCTGATTATATCCTGTTTTCTGTCACATGGAAAATTGTAAATAGAAGAGTAAATTAAAACCGTGTTGTGTCATGTAACAAATTTGAGACAGGACTTTTAAGGATGTAGGAGTTAAAATCACCCAGGGGAATGAATCTTTTTCCTAAGATACAAAGTGAGCATAGTGTCACTAAACCAGGTTTTAACCAGAATGAAACTAAATAGAACTTCCCTCAAACTCCAGACACCTGGCATCAAAGTCGTCTTCAAGTATCACAGAAGCAAGAGCATAAAAATAAGCAAAGGAAGTACTTAAAACTACTCCCTCTGCATTCAGAGTCTTTAGAGATGAGTAAAATGCGCTGAGACAGCTACTAAAATAGACTATTTCTCACAACTGTCTAGACAGAGTTGGAGCCAAGAGGCGCTGGAGAAGGGAAGAGGGAAGGGTGCGAGGTTGCCTTGCTTTGCTGAAACAGCTGTATCCGCAAAGACCTACTTAACATTGTCACCTGTGCCATTCTTCTTAAGACAGCTGAGCTCCGTGAAAAATGATCTTAATCCTACTCCCATATACCAGAACAGTTTCAAGACCCAACCTCCCATTTAAAATAATAAAAATTGAGAGTGCCAAAGGATCTATACTTCGTCCACCAAGAACATGAAACTCTCAATATTTTCCAATTTAATAATTAAGAAGCTAGTTTGAATAATCATATAAGCTGAATTATAATAATGTGAATATGATTAAGCCTAAATTAACAACAAAATAACATACTTATATTGTATTTTCTGAAGGTTAAATTCTTTAATTAAAATCAATGAAGTTAGCTGGGTGTTGGTGGCTCAGGCCTGAGTAATACAGCAATACAGGAGGCTGACATCTGAGGATCATGTTCACATCTGTGAGAATCTTTTCTCCAACTAACCTTCAGCAAGTCAGAAGTGGAACTGTGACTCAATGGGTAGAGCATTAGCCTTGATCAAAAGCCTTGATTAAAAGAAGCTCAGAGCCCAGATCCTGAATTCAATCCTCAGGACTGGCAAAAGTAAAATAAAATAAAAATAAAATAAATGAATTTAGCATCATGATAAAATACACTAAAAAGAATTGAGAACAAAAAACAAAGTCACTTTTAAGAAAGTCGGATAAATCTGTACCACTGATATCCTTTAGTACTTAGTAAATTCAGAAAAAAAAACCTTGGTTTTTCCTATCTTAATGTTATATGATATGGCAGTTAAGAATTCTTCACTCCTTCAAAACTGTCCATTTAGTTTTTAAATCAAGCAAGTATCGATGATGGCTTTCTTGAAAATTCCATTAGGACATGAGCATGATGCATAAATAAGCAATCAGTGAATCATTTTGACATTTCCATGAGAGGAAGACCAGATTTTTCTGAATGAAATCATGCTTACCAGAAAAGAAAGAGATTCCAAGTCAGTTGCTATGGTCCATGCCAAGTACTTTTAGAAGTGCCAAAGACAAGTGGTAATATTGGTAATGGAAATATAACTCAAAACATGACAAAAATCAATGGTCCATTGTTCTAAGATGTGGAGAACTGTTTTCCCCTTTTAATTCAGTTAGATTAATTGATCTATTTTTCTTTACTGAATATTAGTACTGAGAAGCACTGTGTTCTCAGATATTGGTGGTTTGGAATGGATGCTCATTTAGTCACATTTTAATGATAAATATTAAATTTTGATGAGATGACTCAATGTCGAAATCTCAACTTTCTAACTTTCAAAAGCACATAATGATGTTAGCATCCTCATGAAGTAGATGCATTGCTTAAAATGTAGCCCACACATACCATTCAGTACAGAATAAAAAATATATATCATTCAAATCATTTCAACTTTAGTTAGTGCAAACAATGGAATGGATGAGATGTGAGTCTTACAAGCATATGTAAGATACTTAGAACCACACTACTATTAGAAGCAAAAAAAGTGCCCTAATATTATCAAAAGCCCTTCTTGATATTTCAAATTGTATTATCATTAAGTTCCTTACCTTTTGCCCAACACCACCAACTGAGCCAACAGATCCTGAAGGTCCTTGTGGTCCCTGCAGTGTAGAAAATACAACAAAATTATCATTATTTCTATAGTGAAATAGTTGAGTTCATGAATGTCTCCCTAGTTCATTTTTCAAATACAAATATATGTGAGAATAGTATGCAATTTGAGAAATGGTATAAAACCCATGAATTATTGTGTTCACAAATTTACTGATGGTCAATATTTGATTGCATTGCCTTTCAAAATCACTAGAATTTTGAGCATAAAACACCAGTTTCTTACAAGGCTCTGGATGTTACATGGACCATAAATTCCATCTCTCTGCCAATAAAAGTCAGGTCCAGGTCACAGGATTTGAATTTATAATGGATCAACAATGTGACTGCATCTAAGAATTACATAATTTATGTAAAAAATTAACTTAAAAACTGTCAGCCTTATAATTACTTCAAGGAAATTATACCAAAAAGCTCTTTTTAATTCAACTATTCCTAGGATGGTTGATTGAGTTCTGACCTCTAGAATTTAAATGCAGACATGAAAGCCAAGCCAAAAGAGATAGTGGCACAGACTCATTCCTTATTATCCAAACATGAAGTGAGAAGTCACTCAACCTAGAAATCCCTTAATGGTTTGCATTTCCAAACTCTAAAACACTGGATTAATTTCAGACTGGGAGAATATCTTCTTAAACAATAGCAAATCCTCCAAACTGATAAGAAGCCCAGTTAGTTACGTACTACCCTAACATGTTTTCTACATTGCAAATACAAAAGCTTTTGGATTAAAGCTTTTATAGAGATGCATACGTGAAAGAAGTTCAGAATGTAGACCAACGCCTGCACAGTTCAATCAATTATAAACCATATCTTCATGTCACTATTAGAGATGCAGCTTAAATCTGAAAGAATTCAGCAACTGCTATTAAACAGTTACTCCATGCAAAGCCCACAGTAAGAGAGTTACTCAGAACAACGTGATCGACTATAATCCAAACAACACAAGTAATATCGCTATTCTGACTATGAAACCTGTCGATGCTTGTGTGACTATTAGCTTACAAAGTCTGCAGAACCCTATAAAATGAAGCGGGGTGAGGAGGTAATCCTCAAGTCCTCATCCACTTCTCACCACACCTCAGAAAACATCTGTCCTGTTTAAATACCAATACTTAAAGCATTCAAAAACGATTAGTATAGACTCCACAGTTCTTACATCAGCTCCATTAGGGCCTTGAGGGCCTCTGGGGCCAGGAGGACCAGGTGGACCCTATGAAAGATAAAAAAGATTACAAAGACATAACTGAAATACATTTCATTTTGATGCTTTTTAAATTTTATTTTATTGTAAAGATGCTGTATAGAGGGGTTACAGTTACATGAGTAAGGTCATGAGTACACAGAAAATACATGTGTAGGATCTTTATTCGAGTGGAAGAAAAATGAAAGTGGTTAAGACTGTGAATTCATAGTCTATGAAGCGTATCAATGTGAAAGCCAATCTTGACAGAGACAACATTGTGTTATACACCATGGAAATTTGCATTTCAAAAAAGGGGGGGCAAGAAATCCTATTGCTATTATAAGACTCAATGCACTCACAAGACAATTTGTAATTTGTTTTCTTTGTGTGTGTGTGAAATCAGGGCTTGAGCACTGTCCCTAAGCTTTTATGCCCAAGACTAGTCCTTTTTTCACTTGAGACACAGCTCTACTTCCAGCTTCTTGGTGGTTATTTGAAGATAAGAATCTCATGGACTATCCTGTTCGGGCTAGCTTTAAAACTGCAATCCTCAGATCTCAGTCTCCTGAATAGCTACGATTATAGGCCTGAGGCACTAGTGCCCAGCTACAAAATTCTTTTTATGCTCTATCAACACTTGCTAATTTTGCAAATCTTGATGGAGATCATTGATTCTTATATCTCTTCTCATAAAAATCCAAAGCTAAAGGTTGAAGACTGGACAGTGGCAAATGATTAAGAAAGTGCAATGGGAGAAGTAAAAGTAGCCATGGTGCTTTTTGTAGCATATGTGTGTATTCCTATGTATATAACATATTCAGAAATGATAAACATATATAAATATTTTCAATATTTAATGACCACACACAGAGATTGAGTGAGGTTAAAAATGAGAAAGCCAATACAAAAACCATCCTAAACCTTGGACCATTTAGCCATATTGATAGTGTCTCGGGAAGATGTGAGCAGTGTGGAAATGAACCATATCCACCAAACACTAGAAATACCACTTACCATGGGGCCAACGTCACCATTTTCTCCTTTCTCACCAGGTGGGCCTGGGAGACCCTAAGAAAGTAGAAGGAAAGTTCTTGTAATTAAAAAAGTGAGTGAGGCATGTCAGCGATCCTAAATACTTGAGGTACAGATTGGCAGAATTAGGGGTTGAGGAGACCCTAAGCAAAGGTTAATTTGGACCCATCTCAAAAAGTAAAGCCAGCCATGGGGAGGCATATCTGTAAATTAATTGAAATCTTGTATTGTTATAGTAAGATGACAATAAGTAAATACATACATTGATCTTGAAATTTATGAAGACAACTATTCAATCTATGTAGCCATGGCACAACTCTTCTGAAAATTCAGCTGCCATCCACTTTAAACAGTGCGATTTTATTTTATTTTATTTTATTTTTCTTGCTGGTTGTGGGGCCTGAACTCTGGGCCTGGGCACTGTCCCTCAGCTCTTCAGCTTAAGGCTATCGCTCTACCACTTGAGCCACAGTGGCACTTCTGGCTTTTTCTGCTTATGTAGTGCTGAGGAATCAAACCCAGGGCCTCATGCTTGCAAGGCAAGCACTCTACTACTGAGCCACCTTCCCAGCCCCGCTGAACAGTGCCATTTTAAAAGCAAGCAACAGGTTGACCCATTGTAACAATGAGACATACATGAAGCTATGTTGACAATGAACTTTACAACGTTAGTGTGGGGGGAGGGAGGAGTTGGGGAAGTGAGAAGGGAAGGGATAGTAAGGGAAAAACAAAGGAGTGGGTAAGATGCTCCATAGGAAATGTACTTATGACCTTACTCATGTAACTGTAACTCCTCTGTACAGTATCTTTACAATAAAAATATAAAAAATAAAACAGCAAAACTTTTCTGAAAAATAAATATTCCAATACAGTTGCAAGGTGAAAATTTTTGACCTGTTCTTTCTTGGAATCATAAAGATTCACAAGATCATGAAACCTATGGTATTCTATTTCTTCTGCTACTCGAATTCTGTTTCCTTTATATCTAATCACATGGAAATTGCTGTATGCGATGATCTGTATTGGAACTCGAACTCATAGCAGGCTTAACTTCCTGGCTGTGTCTTCATGAGAAAGTCATTTTATTTATTTATTCATTCATTTTCATGCCTCACTTGGTCTTCCCTGTGCATAACTGTCTGTATTTCCTATTCTTTTTTCTATGTGATCTGTAACAGTGACCCTATCCCTTCTTTGTATACCTGTAATCAGGTAATCAGGGACTGCAAATGGTAGTGGTTTTTAAGCATTCATTTGTTTTAATCTCTTGCAAATGGCACTAGCCTTGTAAAAACAAGGATCTCACACATTTTTAGGGGCAGTGCATGAGATTGCTTAATGGACCATTTGTAAAATTGTTAGTAATTGCTAATGTGGCATAAATAATATCCAGATACTACATAAATGTTAAAATACATAATTGGCATTATAGTGCATTATGTTTGTTTTAGTCTTTCAGAGAATCACTGGGTAGGCACAGAATAGCCAGATGGAAGGGAAAAATCCAGATGTTTTCTGAGTCTGTAGGAATCAGAAGACATCAAGTCCAGAGGAAACCATGCAGAAGAATAAAATGTCAACCAGGTAACTTGAGTGGCTGGGTATGGTTGGAAAAGATAGGGGAGGAGAGCATGAGGGATGAGGGGGCATTGATCAAGATGCCTTGTACTCAAAATAAGCATATTGAATTGAAACCCCTTTATTCAACAATCTAAAGATAACATAGATAACTGGCCCCAGTGCAATGGACTGCCTGTGTCCAGGCATATTTGAATGAAACTTTCCCAGCCTGTAGTATTTAATTTAATATTTCCTTTCTCAAACCACCTCTATAAAATGTAAATTAGCTTTTTAATAGTAAGTTGTTTTCAACCATCAATTTACTGTTAGCCAAAAACAGTTTTCCCTATTACTGGTGAATAGCTGCTGTTCTGAGTTTGTCATTCCTCCACATGTTTTCAAATTTTGTTATGTCTTCTTAAGTACTAACTGCTTCTGATGTATTCCAAATATCTTACTTTTCATTATCAAGGACCACAAGTTTGTCATTCATTTTTGAAATAAAATAGGAAGACAGACATTAAATACACCTTAGAAACAAGTCTGTGGCTGACACATGTTCAGAGAAATTAATAATACTTGATTTTAAATCAGGAACAAGTTATAGATATTGTATATATATATATACACACACACACACACATATATATATATATATATCATACATGTACATATATATACTTAAAATGTATATGATATGTATATGAATATTTATAGTGATTATTATGGTTACGTATATACAAAGGATATATATGCTATGTTTTACTACCAAGAGGAAACCAGGTATGAGGATTGTATGAAAATGGTCAAGCCAACTGTGTGAAGAGCATCTTACCTGAAGGCCTATGGGACCAGGGGGACCTGGGAAACCTCGTGCTCCCTCATCACCCTTTTGTCCGAACATGCCCTGCTGTCCTCTAGGACCTGGTTCGCCATCACCTCCCTAAATAATAGTAAGGAAAGTTATCACATATGGAAAAGCCATTATGATAAGCTATGATAAAAAATGTGGCATTTTTAGTGTATTCAAAGCCAATCTGCCTGAAAAAGTTAATTACAATGTAGACTGAATTTCTATCATCTGCTGCGAATTCTATCATTGTTTGCTCTCAAAACATTCTTTGGTCCTGGAACATGGTTGACTTTGATTTGTAAGCCAAGTGAAGTTGTTCAAAGTTAATTTGGCATTTTTGTTCAAACGATTGTGTTCTTCAACTTCAGACATAATGTTTTAGGTTTCACTTTAATAATGTTTTTGTTTTTACTTTAATAAAGATCTGTTTGGTTCTATTAAATCATTTAAAAAGGATTCAGTGGTATGGTAAGCATATAAAATGAAACAACAACTACAAAATATGTACATGTTATATGATGGCTTATTTATTCAAGAAGCTATAAGGATTTCCCTTTGTGGAACTCAGCAGAATGAATACTTACAGCAATTCCAGGGGCTCCAACAGGTCCTTGAAGCCCTGGGGGACCAGGTGGGCCCTGTGGTACGATAAATAGCAGTGATTTTATAAGCAAGGCCATAAAAGGTCTCAACAAAATAAAACAACCCTTTGTCTCATCACAACCTATTAAACATCTGTACTTTCCTTTGGGAGAAGAGAAACATTAGCTAGAAATCTTCTGTAGCTGGAAAACCTTTACAATGGACACTGGCTGAAAACATACTCATCCAATGTACATAACTAGAAATGCATTTGTGTGCCAATACTAATTTGAAGATTCACGTGTGAAAATTTTCAGAATCTCAGGCTTGCTAATGATATATGTGTGAATCTGAGAAAGCACATGAAAAATGTATCTGTCTAGTATGTCTAACTGAGCCTCAAGATTCTAAGGCATCTATACAGAAAAAGGTAAAACATATGAAAGTTAGGAAGTTCTTTAATATATAAATTTAGTGTCATGTTTAATGTGTAGAGAATGCCTTATTTTGAGAAATATATTAATACCTGGTCAAGCTTTATAAAAAAAAATTCTAGGCACTATAGAAATAATAGTCATTGGATTGCATTGTGCTTCATGATAGCTTCCTGTTTAGGTGAAGACTTTTTAAAGCAGGTGTCTACAGAACATCAAGGAGTACATAGAAACCTTTCAGGTTTCTGCATATTCAGATCTTCCCATCACAGCTCTAAGACTTCATCATTAAGGCCACATAGACATCAGCACTAAAGATATGGAATTAATGCTTAATAAGACTACCCTCCTAGCACCAACTATATATGATAGCAACTACAATATCAGCACTGTCCCGAGAAAAACTGTCTATTCTATAAAATTGGTGTGCTTCAAAGTTCCTGCTTTGGTGTACTGATTTGGCTTTTGTTGATTACTCTGCTAAGACAGTATCAGCAAGTACAGAAAAGAGGAACTGTTTTGAGATAAGAGTCTGGAGGCAAAAACATTTGAGAATTGATGACTTCAATGACAGTCACCCAATCCTACTCAGGAGTAGGTTGTAAGAAACAAACTTTTGCAAATATGACTCTGCCTAGTGCATACAAGACTCTAGACAAATAGCATTTCTCTATTATGAAGGTAGCTAAGCAAAAATTTGAGTATGTTATTTGCTGAAGCGGAATGTATGAATTTATGTCTAGGAGTAACTTCACCAGCCACAAGCAGCTAGCTTCCTGAACAGTTTCTTATCCTGATTTTGCTGCATAAAGCCAGACATCACTGTTGCTATTTATTAGCTTAAGTTTTGTCCCACAGATTGGAAAAAAGTAACAGAAGAGCCTATTATGGGTTAAATATTGTAATGGTTTGAAGGTGGTTTGTATTTGATGCTGTTCTTCAGTTAGAAAGAAAAGAATTTTTCAGGATTTGTAGGATTTGGGGTCATTATTTCAGTCAGAACACAATCAGTTCTTGCAAATCTTTTATACAAAGTGTGGCATTTACAAATGCACTTACTAGGTGTGAGTAGCGCCTGCCTTTAATTCTCATTAATTCTGGAGGCTAAGATCTAAACATTGAGATTTGAAGCTATTTATGGCTGACAAACCTGAGATAACCACCAAACAGCCAGAAGTGGAGCTGTTGCTCAGCTGGTAGAGCACCATCCTTGGAAAAGTGAAGAGGACAGTACTGAGGAGCTAGTTCAAGCCCCAGGACTGGCACTAAATTAATTAATTAATTAATAATAAACAGTAACATCAACTCTAATAGCATGAGATGACAGATAGATCTCAGGAAATAATTATAGTGGGCTATTAGACTGCAATTGCTCAAATGTAAATTTCTATCTTGCATAAAACGTAAGTGGAAGACAGTAATATGTGCATATTAATATGTGTATTAATGTGTATAAACATATTAACATGTGCAAACACAGAAAAGGAATGAAAAATCTAAAGAACAAAATATTTCTACTTCTTTAAAGAGCATAAATTCATTAGAAAGTGGTAAAGTGTGCCAGATAACAGCATATAATTTAATCTAAAAGGGGGGGAAATTTTTAAAAAATATGCATAGACAAGGATAGTACCTGTTTAACAGTGAAGCAAAAAGTCCTAACTATATGAATTAACTGAAAATCAGAAATTATTTTGATAGAGCCATGATCTGTTAAGGAAAATTTCCAAAGTAACTATTTCTAGTGGCTAGGAACAGATTTTTTCCCATGTTAAAATACACACTGTACACATGTACATCAAAATAGTGATAATTCCTTGGGCATACACGTATACATTATTTCTCAGAATCATCTGAAAAAGTAGCTTATTTCATATCATATTAATTTGTTGTAGTGGAACTATGGGTAAGCAGCAATCTACCAACATCATACTGTATTTCATTACACAACTAGAAAGCCTCATAGATGTACATACTGTTATGGATTATGTAATCACAGAGGTCATCACTTGACTAGGAACTGAAGAACTATAATACTTGACTAGGAACTGAAGAACTACAAGGTTTGCCATGGAAAATAACAAAAGATGTTAAATGAACCAAGCCTCCTAAGGAGGAAACTTACATTCTCTCCTTTGTCACCCTTGCTGCCTTTCTGTCCCGGTTCACCAATTTCACCCTGTGTAGGAAAGAATTTAAGTTAATCTCTGGTGTGTCATACCAGCCACTGAACTGTCTTTTTCCATTTATATCCTATTTATGGAAACATAGTCAATTCCTAACAACTAAACAGAAACTTTCGAATATATAGGAGTTACAGAAAACTTTGAAAAAGGAAACATTCTACTTTCCATCTAATTTTAGGAAAATTAATTACAAAATTCATGGGAAAAAAGAACTGCATTTTCTTGAATGATTTAATAGAATAATGAACACGAACCTTATCTCCATCTTCTCCCGGGGAGCCAGCAGGACCAGCTGGCCCAGGGAGACCCACAGGGCCTTGGACCCCATCTCTTCCTGCAGGGCCTTGAGGACCTTTCTCTCCCTGTATTGAGAACCCAAAAGATCATCAATTTGCTGTAAAAACTTTTCCATTAACTATTTGCTACATGTTTAAACTGCAGTTTAGGTGGGAATGTGGATATGTTTTGGTTTTCATATGTAAATGAAAAAAAAGGTATTCTAACACTGCATTTCAAATAGCAAATAATAGTTGAAGAAATATGTACATTTTCCTTTAGTGAATTCTTCAGGAATTTTATCTTTTTTTATTTAATTCTGGGGTGAGCAATAGTAGAACTTGAACACTCTTGTGTAGCTTTTAAGCTTGAGGCAGGTGCCCTACCAATTGAGCCATACTACCGCTTCTGGCTTTTTGCTGGTTAATTGATGGTATCGCACAGACTTTCATGTTCTGGCTGGCTTCAAACCATTATCCTCAGATCTCAGCTTCTGAGTAGCTAGGATTATAGGCATGAGCCACTGGCACCAACTAAATTCTTCCTTTCAAATCTGATTTTCCTGAAACTTTGATCTGTAAAATTAATGAGGACTCAGGAATCCCTCTCAGGAAGAAAGAAATATTCATTCTCTTTACTAAATATTTCTATCAGTCAATGTAGTAATTGGTAGTCAGTTTTAGCTCCACTATCCAGAGCTACATTCAAGAGTATGTAATTTGACTGATAACTCAGGGATTTTGACTAGACCTTCTGCATTGAAATGAGTTAGTCATGTGGATAATTTTGGTTCAGGTTGGCCACGTTTTCCAAGAATCTTGAAGGTCAGGTAAGCAGACAATCATCTTGAGTTCCATGTGCTCATCATCTAATCCATTTCCTCATAGAAGCCTACATCTGCTGATAATTACATGCCATTTTAATAGCACAAGCTAGTCAGAGAAAGCAAAATTCAGAATGCATATTTAGGAAGATTTTACATTCATCCACCTCTCAGGCTATCTCTCAATTTCTCCTTGCCATGAGTGGCTCTGACAAGACAAGGCCACTTGATTTTAGACTTAATAGTCTCCAATTAAAAATATCCAATCTCTTGTATTCTGTAATAGTAACACAAAGCCAGACCCATCAGAATACTGTCACAGAATATTGAGAGAAAATACACGGACAATGAACTCAATGTATCTGCAGAGTTAACACTGCTCAATCAAGTCATATCTTTTGAAAAAATTGTTTGCTTATACTAGTTTCAAATTGGAGGAATCTGTTCCTTTTCTACACATATTTACTATATATATTTAATGAATATATCTGTATATATACATTTACTATATATGTATATATTCCAACTTCAACCCCTATCTCTTTCTCTGTCTCTCCACATCCCAAAATGATTTCAATTTTTTTTATCATTTTTACAAAAGTATTGAGCTTACATTTTTGTATATGATAGACAGTACTTTTTTAAGCTACTTTGTATTGAATCAGTTTCTGTTTTTATCTTGGAGGACAAGAGATTGCTTTTGAAAAATTAAATGACCACCATTGAATCAAAGGCAAAAACAAAAATTAAAGGGACTTCCCAGCTTCACTTCCAAAAAAACACCCTGTCAACTTGGTGAATAAAGCCCAAATCATTGAAATATAAAAGTTTAAAATCTGATAAGGACATCATGAAATAATTGGTCAAATGTTTTCTGGGTCACTTGAGAACAAAGTTCAAACTACAGGAAAAAAGCAGTTCCTTTCTTCCATACTCATTTATGAGCTTAAACAGACACTGCATTAGAGGAAGGTATTAGAGGAAGCAGGAAGGTATGGTTTTAATCAAAACTCCCAATTTTCTTTCTAAAAAAGGAGCAAAAAGAGAAGGCTTTTACATTAATAATGCTAGACTCCCACCCAGATATTAGGGTCTCATACAGTGTGCAAAAATGTCACCTCATTTAATTGAATTTGAAACGTTATTATAAATAAAAAAGGAGTTGGTTTTCTTTTTTTTATAACCCAGGCACATACTCAGAGAGAAGGCAGTGAGGTATGAGGAGCTAATATTCCTGAATAAAATGTAATAACCTGTGCAGGGCAGTCATATAGATTTTTCTCCTATGCATTACTTACTGGTGCACCTTTTTCTCCAGCTGGGCCTGGGGGGCCTTGGGGTCCCGGTCTCCCAGGCAACCCAATGGGTCCTGCGGTGCCTGCTGATCCACGTTCTCCAGGTGAGCCCTGGGAACCAAGGAAAACAGAGAAGGATTGTGTTACTAATCATGGATTATTGCTTAACGATTGCTTACCTAACCATGTGAACTTACAACCTAGCAAACGTACACACACAAAAAATGTAAAAATAACTTTGAGACAATTTTGAATCACAAAATAGAATAGTCAATCCACTTTGTGATTTATTTTGGTGTATGTGGGGGCATGTAGATGGATTCTGGGTCCCACATCTGAGCTGTTTTTGCTCATAGCTAGCTCTCTATCACTTAAGCCACATTTCCATGTCTGGATTTTTGGTGGTTTATGGGAGATAAGAGTCTCACAGGTTTTGCTTCCAGGGCTGGCTTTGAATGGTGATTCTGAGATCTCAGACTCCTGAGGAATAACCACTATTGGAGAGATGAATTCCTAGTCCTAGTACTTCAGAATGCATGAACCTTTAATATTTTATGGATGCTACCTACCATTGTAATTGTGTGCTCATGATTGTCAGTACGCATCATAAAACATGTATCCAGATAATGCCCTTTTAGAGTTTTCTTGTATCATTAGGGATTGACAGAATATTTACTTCAAACTTGCCAAATGAAAACTTCTAAATCTAGAATATGAGTTCAGAAATTCTCAAGCATAAACTTTTACCTATTGAAGAACTGAAGTTTGAAAATCTAGATGCTGGATTTTTTTCAGTAAATACTTTTTCTGATCTATCTTGGTTTTCTAGAAACATTTTGATCTTATAAGGAACACTAATATGATTCACTTTAATTTTGTCTGTATGTGTGTAGTGTGTTGTGTGTTCTACTTTGGAGGCTTTAACTAAAGACTTGTACACTGTCTCTTCACTGCTTTGTAGCTTTTTTTTTTTCACTTGTCCTAGGGATTGAACTCAGGGCCTGGGCACTGTCTCTGAGCTTCTTTGTGCTCTAGGCTAGCGCTTGACCACTTGAGCCACAGTGCCACTTCTGGCTATTTCTGAGTAGTTTATCAGAGATAAGAGTCTCACGGAGTCTTTTCTGCCATGGCTGGCTTTGAACTATGAACCTCATATCCCAACCTTCTGAGTAGCTAAGATTACAAGCACGAGCCACGTGAAGCCAGTTCGTTTCTTAGTCTTTTCACTCAAGGCAGATTCACTTTTGGCTTTTTCAGTTTAATTGAAGAAGAAGAAGAATCTCTTGGACTTATTTGCTAGTTTGGCTTGGAACTGTAGTCCTCAAATCTCAGCCTTCTGAATATCTAGGATTACAAGTTAGGTCACGGGCACCTAGTTTTAACTAATTTAAGAATATATTGAATGTAAGGTGTTGTTTGTTTGTTTGTAAATAATCTTATGGATATTGTCTATGAATTGCTTGTACAAAAATTTCAGAAAAGATTTAAGAATAAAAGAAATTCAGAGATATCTTTACTAAGTTATGTAGAGCTTGAGCAAATAAATTATTTCCAAGTTTATTTAATCAAATCAAACATCATGTTGTCTTCATACTATATTCTTGGATGGATAATTAAGTTAAATGTTATCATATCATTTCCTGATAGAATAAAATTTACAAATTAATTCCAAATAAGTTCCATTAGGAAATATGAATAACAGTATTTTTCTTCAATAAACTAACACATATAGAGGGTATCATTTCAAAACTCAGAGGAAGTTATTGGTAAAAATGGGAAATATATCACATTAGAATTTATTCACTAATATTTTCTCTGTATAAAGAATGTTATTGGAAAACCATGAATTTGTTCTCACATTATCATTCCCCAAAGAACAAATTAGATGTGAATATGAGAAATATGGTGATAATGCCGACAATTTATATTTACATAATGCTTTACAATTTACAAGTTGATTTCCATCATTTTGTCATTTGAGTCTCACAAAAGATCCAACCAACTGACAGTAATGTTGTGGCAGCTCATTTTCACAAGTGAAGGACCTGTAGTTAACTGCATTACATGTAACTAGGTCAAGGAACCCTATCCTTGAAATCTAGAGAATACTTCCTCTAAAACATCCCACCTTCTTGCTACTCTTTCATGAGGACATCAATAAATCTACTAGACTTATTTTTTATTATTTATTTATTTAATATTTTCACTAGGAAATTCTTTTTTTTCTTTTTGTCTGTTGTGTGGCTTGAACTCCGGGTCTGGGTACTATCCCTGAGCTCCTCAGCTCAAGGTGAGCACTCTGCCACTTGAACCATAAGGCCACTTCAAGTTTTCTGATGGTTTACTGGAGATAAGAGTCTCATAAACTGTCTTGCCCAGGCTGGCTTTGCACCATGATCCTCAGATCTCAGCCTCCTGAGTCGCTAGGATTACAGGATTGAGCTAGCATATTCTTTAAATTCACATCCTAATCAATTTCACTGGCCAATTAATTTATTACAAGTGTATGAGGAATTACTTTGCCACTTAATTTTCTTGACCGTATTTTCCTGACCTAATTCTCTGAGCTACATGAATATTTCCTATTTAATAAATTTGTTGATTATTAAAACACATAAAAGGAGTAGATACAGATCGGATGTTGTAAGAGACAAGAGACAAGTAAAAAATATGATGATCTTTCCCTAAAATTGTTTTCATGACTAACTGAACCACTACTTTTACTATCTTATAGTGGGTAATCTTAAATTTAGGTCAGATGAATAATTTGAAAAATACTTGCTAAAACTATGGCTAAAAACATAGTTTAAACTTGATTTAAATGACAAATGTATTTAGATCTATGTATACATGTTAACACATGTTAAGAAAGAATTTCCATATTGCATACTAATTCATGAAGAATTTTGTGAAATAACTTGTTTGCAAATCGAATACACCAAATACTATTTATGAGGACTTACAATGGAAAAATGTAGTTAGTACTTTTTAGATAACAAATGTTTACACATCCATCAATACTGATTACATTTAGTGTGATATTAAACTATTTCAACTAAGAAAATCCACAACATGTGGTATATTATAAACCAGATAACAGATTTCTGGTAAATGACTCTGGAGGACAGTGTAGAAGAAAGAAATAATTGTTAGATTTTCTTAGTATTTTATGTACAAAAAATACAGTCCTAAGTATAAAAATAACATAGATCTGTACCTAATTTTTAGAGGAAGAAAAAGAGAGAAAATTCAGGAGGAGAGGAGGCAGACAAAGAACAAAAGAATATTTCCTGAAGTAGGAAGAGTGCAAAAATATTCCTTACAAGTCTAATAACAAAAATATCCTATTTTTTCTATAAACACCAGCACTAGACAATGTGTGATCCAACTGTAGATTTTCCAATTGTCTCTGACTAAAAGCAACACCCTCAAGATTAATCCTTAGAGACAACCAATGATACAAGATGCCTTGGCTTTATCTTTAATTTAGCATTTCACTTATATAACTAGGAAAGGACATAATGCATATTGAATGCAAATAAGTTAGTATGTAAGAAAGTATGAGGATGTTAGATAAGTTTCAAAAATATAGTCTCCAAAAGTCTCATGTGAAGTCAGCATAAGTTTTCAAATTTTGCAGAACATTATAACAAATGTACATTTTCCTCTAGTATATAGAGTATCAATATTTACCAAAAAAGCATGTATTGTTTAACTGAATGTATTATGGTTGAATTATCCTATGAAAATAACTCATGGGTTTTACTAAAGAACTAATACTTGTTAAGTTAATCATGAAGTATGTTTAATAGAATTAATCAAGATATCTAAAATAATTAAGATATCTAAAATTAATTAAGACATATAAAAGTGTTTCTTTAGATATCATTTTAATGTATTGCAAGTAAGGACAGAATGATTAGACTCACTGAGAGTATATGTAGTTTGTAGCTACAATATATTATACTTTATTACAAAGCATAACTATTTTAATTTCTCCCTTAGAGCATTCATAAGATTAGATTTTTAGATTATCATCTTACTTGTGGGCCCTGCATTAAAATTAATAACAAAATATATTACTTGTCTGTGGTTAAAATATTGCTCATGATCTTGTCACAGCTCATAAACTTTTAAACAAGTGATCAAAATTCAGAGAATTTTTTTGATGGATATTTGTGCAGAAATTGCAATTGAAAGTTCCTCTTCTACTAGTTATTACAAATATTGGGCAGGCCTGGATATCTATAATAGCAGTGAGCTCTGCAGTGATTTAATTTTACACATAAATAAATGAAAAGTGAAAAATCTCTGATGGTACCAATTGATTAAACAAATAATATGGAGCAAATTCGCAAATCTTAAATATCTCCAAGTAATCTTTTTAAAGAATAAGCTTTTCAAATCCTTTAAACTCACTGGAACTGCTGAGAAGATCTATCTCATGTAAAATTAAATTTAAATCAGATATTAAAACATGGAGCCACTTACAGATTCAAAATAAATACGGTGGGAATGGTCCATCTTAGGACACTAACCATCAAGACAAAATGTATTATACTAGATGCCATCACTGAGAGACTCAAAGTGTAGATGAACTTTCTTCCATAAAGGGTAAGTACTTACTAGCAATAAATTTTTTGCATTGTTATATAGGTGGCTGTAGTAAAGATCAAAAGGTTATATAATTGTTAAATAAATGAACAAATGTATGTAAGCAAAATGTTGAGATTTAAATTTAAGATAACATAGATAATAATCAGTTCCACCAAAGAAGAGATTTCTGGTATTTTCTTCAAAAACAGAAAGCCTTATATATAAAAATAGTGTCTGAATCTGTAATCATTCTGGTGCTAGTATAAAAACCATATGAATAATTATGAATAATTGATTATGAAGAATCGATTCAGAGCCTTGTGATACTACAGACACTGGTCTTTGGTCCCCACCAAAGCAATCTTTCTCTGTAGTTCATTGCTAGTTGGATATAATTGTAGCTTACTGACATCCATGTGAACAGCATAGTGAACATATGATTTTCCACTAAAAATAATACTTGACCTAATATGAATCACAGAACTTCTTATATTTCGTAATATGCATAATATGCATTTTACTCTGCTTCAATTGTTCCAGTTACTTCAAACCTTCACTTCCCTCCCATTTGCCACTTTAGAACTTTGATAATCGTATGCCACATTATATTTCCGCTTTACCTTGGTGTTCTGTAAAATACATAGCAAAGTCGTTGGTTCTTACAAAAATTCAATGAACCTTGCGTCTCCCAAAGCATGTTCTACTTTAGGAAGAGTAGATGCTTCCATAACCATCATATTCTTCTGCCTAACATTTTCTTTATCTTAAATAGTTGTACAATCTTCTGTCATCTGTGAGGACAAGGTCTAGTGAACTCCAGCCCTGGCCTTTCCAAGGATTCCCTTCCCTGAAATCATAAATTCACTGTTATGTCCTTTCTTAGCCTGTTTCTCACCCTCCAACTTATAATAATATTAATCACATCTTTCATGTGTTATTTCATTTGCCACATATCATGTACATTGGGTCAGCACTATCTTCTGTGGTGCTTAACTGTTGCTAATTGTCAAATAAAGGATTTCTGAAGTCAATTAAATGGATAACATATTAGAACATTCCATTTGATGCATTAGTCTATAAATAACAGGATAATTATTCATGAATACTTCTATCTCCTGGAGATATACATTGGCTACAACCTCTGCAAATGCCCAGGACAATTTGCTTTCTTAATCCCTAAAATGATGGCTATAAGTCATTTAATCCTTGCTGTCATGATTCAGTTTTCAATGGTTCAGTGATTCCTGATTTAAAAATCATTTATCGTTTAAATGAGATTACTATAGAACCTGAAGGGCTGGCTAAATGGATGGCATTTTATTGGAAAATTGAAGATTTTGTGTCCAAAGTATAATTTTCCTTATTCAACAACTTACATTTCCTGGTAATATTATAGCTACTCATTTATGATTATATTTAAAATATTCTACTCAATTTTATCAATCTCATAAAATTCCAGATCTAATAACTGGAGTATTTCCTTAAAAATTTTTCAGGAGATGTCCAAAATTACATAAATCTGTGACGTTACATTTGAGTAAACAAGTCTACATTTCTACATCTCTAAGGACAGCATCAATCCACTTACAAAAAACACTAGTTACTATATCCTCAGAATCTTTATGCTTTACAAGCTCTTTTTCTTTTCCTTTTTTTATGTGCTGGTCCTGAGGCTTAAACTCAAGGCGTGGGCACTTTCCCTCAGCTATTTTGCTCAAGGATAGCTCTCTACCATTTGAGCCATAACTACACTTCTGGCTTTTTTGGTAGTTAATTGGAAATAAGAGCCTCAGGGACTTTTCTGCCCAGGCTGGCTTTCAACCAATATCCTCACATCTTAGCCTCCTGAGTAGCTAGGATTACAGGCATGAGACACCTGTGCCTGGCTGTTTTTCAAGCTTTATTTCAATATTAGTCTTGTGCTAATTTGAATAGTTAGAAAAATATGATTATTTGGGTAAATGCACAAAAGAGGGATTGCTGGGTCATAGGGAGCTCTATGTGGAGTCTTTTGAGGAACCTCCATACTGCTTTCCAGAGTGGTTGAAAAAGTTTACACTCCCACCAATAATGTAGTAAGGTTCCTTTCTGTCCACATCCCCTCCAGCATCTATTGTTATTAGAGTTCTTGATTATAACTGTTGTTATTATAGTTCTTGATTGTATGGGGTGAGGTGGTATTTCAATGTTGTTTTGATTTGCATTTCTTTTATGGCTAGGGAGGTTGAGCATTTCTTCATGTGTCTATTGGCCATTGTTATTTCCTTAAAGAGAAGTTTCTCTTTAAGTCTTTAGCCCACTTATTTATTGGGGGAGGAAAGGGGGCAGCAGGGGTGTGGGATGGGAAGGGGAAACAAAGGAGGAGGCAATAATGCTTAATAAAAAATGTACTCATTACCTTGCCGATGTAATTGTAACCCCTCTGTACGATATTTTCACAATAAATAAATAAATAAATAATAAAAGACTTTGAAGCCAGGCAAAAAAAAGAAAGAAAAGAAAAAGAAAAAGAAAAAAGATGAGTGCTATGTTCCAAGCACTGAATTGTAAACATATCCACAATAATATAGGAAGCTCACCTCTTAATGAGAGATATGATTTTTAAAATACTAATCATAACAGGAACTCTGAGGGGTTAAAATGGAGGCAATCTGTCTATAGAGAACTTAGTATTTGAACATTAGCACTTTGTTATTGAGGATTTTCACCAACAGAGTGGAGTATTTTAACAAATGGAATGGAGTATTGTAAAATTAAGGAGAGATGTAAATGCATACTCACAAAGTAGAAAATATCATAGTGATTTGAGGGGCAAAACACATGGCTAAGTACCTGTAGCTCATGCTTATAATCTTAGGTTTTCTGGAGGTAGAGACTGGAAGTATCATGATTCAAACTAGCCTGAGAAAAAAGTGCACAAGAACACATCTCCCCCAATAAAAGCCTGTGCATGGCAGCACACATCTGTCATTCCAGCTTCACAGGAAACTGGAAGTAGGTGGATTGTGGTTCCAATGTGGATGAAGTTAAAAACAAAATGGAGGGGGGGTACCACCTCAATAGAAAAAGAAGCAATCATGAAAAGACAGTTTTTATGCAATCTTATTATAACAAATTCTGAACATGGTGAGCCACATGTGTCATTCCAGTTATGGCAGGGGTGTAAAGACAAAGATGATGATGGAGGGCAGCGTGGACAAAACCAACAAGACCAGCACAACAGAAAGGAGTAGGAGCCATGATTCTAGTCAGTGGCTATACCACTGACTAGTAAGAACAAAGTCTTCAGTTAAAACCCCAGTACCATCAAAGGGAAAAGAAGTTTGATAAATTAGACTGGATAGAACTAAAATAAAAATGCCTTAAGAGAATAAAACCTCAATGTAAATAATGAATGAAAGGTTTAGAACAATGGACTCAAGGAGATGAATGAAATCACTGTCAAAGAAAGAATGAAGTATTGGAACAAATACGACCGGAGTCAGAAATGAAGAAAGAAAGATAAATCAAATGGTTTGAATGTGTAATTAATATAGATGCAATACAATGTGGATGGAAGTTGTAAAGGGATTTAAAAGAATGTTCAGCTATTCAAGATAAAGAAATAAAATCAAAAATGAGAAAGGCCATTGCATACTGGATTGTGGATGTTCTAGTGACATTTCACAGCCCAGATGGAACAAAGGTGAATTTGTAGAGAAAGCAAAGGCTGTATTCCATACTTCACTGTGCAGTATGTATGTGTGTATTTGTATATGTATGTATGTATACATATGCATGTATATGTATATATATGCATACACACAGACATATATATATATATATATATATATATATATATATATATATACATCATCAGAAGAGTCAATGTACGTATTTGCAAATGGAACTAGGATGGGTGGGGTTGGAATAACTGGGGGGAATGATGGAAGGGGTGACACTGATCACTCTTCATTGTACTCAGAATTTGTAATGAGCCTGGCACTGGTGGCTCATACCTATAATCCTAGCTACTCGGGAGGCTGAGATCTGAGGATCATAGTTTAAAGCCAGTCCAGGTAGGGAAGTCTGTGAGGCTATCCCTGATTAACCACAAAAAGCCAGAAGTAGAGCTGTGGTTCAAGTGATAGAGCACTAGCCTTGATCAGTGATCAGAAAAACTCAGAGGCACCACCCAAGCCCAGAGTTCAAGCCCTAGGACTGGAAAATTAAGAAAAGATAGAAAGAAAGAAAGGAAGGAAGGAAGAAGGAAAGAGGAATGAGTTACAACCATTTTTCACCTTATTATTTTACTACCTTATAAGATTACCTTATTAAAGGTAATAAAAATATTTATTGAAAAACAAGAAGAAATTAGGAAAATCTAATGTTTACTTATTTTTCCATTATTACATGTTTGATAATTACCATAAAACAGCACAGATAACAGAGTACACATATTTGTCATATTTGTGAGGTTTTTCTATATACCTGAAAAAATTCAAGTCTTGTCAATTACTTAGAATCAGATAAACTAAGGCTTTCTAAAAATGAATGGCAAGATATAAAAAATAAGAAATTGAGTCTTATTTTACAATCTTTTATATTACATTTTTAAATAAGAGGAAGCCCTTGAATGAATAAAAAACTTCAACCTATATTATTTCCAAACCTTCCATAATCTTGACAGAGGCAGAAGCAAACATTTCCAATTGTCTAAACCTTCCTGTTTCTGCACTCATTAGTGCATGCAATTAGTAGAAAGCAAGCATTGACTGGTTTGATTGACATGTGTTTATTTTCTCTCCCACATGCTGTGGGATCACAGCAGGAGAGTAATGAAAGAAGGGCTGTAATTTGCAACCACAGATAGCAGGTCTATTTATTATCACCATACTTACAACTGGACCTGGTGGGCCCTGGGGGCCTTCTCCTCCCTTCAGTCCAGGTGCACCCTGGGAAAGTTTAAAAAAAGAGAGAGAAACGAAGCAATGAGGAATGAATATAAATAGGAGACATAACTGACAAAATGCACCCATAAATACTATTTGACACAAATACAAACACCATGATATTCAAGTACTTAGGTTTGTATATTCCCTCTTAATTATTCATGATGCTTTAGTGAAGCTCCAAGAAAAGTGCTTCAAAGAAGAAATCTGACTTATTGGCTCATGTATATGTTGATGGTACCTGAGCTCCAGGAAGACCTCTTTCACCTGGGAAACCGCGTAACCCTGCTGGTCCATCTTTTCCTGAGATACCTTGAGGACCTGGGTCACCCTAAAAAAAATGCAACATGTATCTGTTAATTCAAAATATTTTCTACAAAAAAACTGTGATGATTTCCAACCTATAAATAAAACCTGTAAGCCAAACTTGAATATTATTTAATCATGAGACTATTCTGTGGTAGGCCACATGTATGTGTATATATATAAATACATAAAGATGAAAGAATGATATGTAGACAAGAATAAGCAAGAATTAGTTTATGGTCAGTGAGCTAATTGGTTGTATAGTACTATTTGGTAATATCTACAAATATAATAACCTTACATTAAATGTCTTCCTGACACACCTTAGTGACACTATGGCAAACTACACAGAATGAAGGGAACATGGTGAGAATTATAAGGGAAGTAAATGGATGTTCTGAGTCAAGAGGAGACCATAGGCATTCAGTACCTTGGCACCTTCTTTTCCTGCAGCACCAGGAAGACCTTGCTCTCCAGGTGGTCCAGGAGGTCCAGGATGTCCACGTTCACCTATTGGACCAGTCTCACCCGTTGGTCCCTAAATTAAACCAATCAAACTCTGTTAGAGTTTTGTTTCAATATTGTCCTTTCAATAATAAAGAGCACTGCGTATCACACAAGTTCTCTATTCTCTTTTAGGTTTCATGATAACCTTTGAAGCACATCTCATAATACAATGAGAGAATCGGATCGGGTAAAGTTCTGAGAGGATGACACTCCATCTTGTTTAGAATAACCAACCGAAAAAACATAAAGTCTGAAGAGATATTTTCTTTAATACTAGAATTGCTTCAGCGTGAGAGGCTGGATCGGGTATTAAGACTGTATGAATTTTGTTGGTTTGTTTTTGTTGGTCATGGGGCTTGAACGCCAGGACCGGGTGCTGTCTCTGTTCTCCTAGCGCTCAACCACTTGGAGCCACAGCACCATTTCCAGTTTTCTGGTGGTTCATTGGAGAGAAGAATCTCAAGGACAATCCTGCCCCAGCTGGCTTTGAAGCACGATCCTCAGATCTCAGCCTCCCGAGTAGCTAAGATTACAGATGTGAGCCACCAACTCCTGGCAAAGACTGAATTTTTTTTCTTTATAAATGCGGTTTCATCCCATTTCTCTTTTTTACAAGGTGCCAAACTAATTTAAGAATAAATGGATAAATGGCACTGGTTCCACACTGGTAAAGACTCAATGAATCCCTGCTTGCTAATAAGCCAAGATCCCTGGAAACACAAACAACCTAAAGTGGCTCCCTTTGGGGGCTCCATGAACTAGAGACCTCCCGAATGTTAATTTATATTCATTTGACAAAGAATGTGGCAGAGGCATCTGGAAGTCAGTGTGTTGGGGCCCACAGCACTTCCAGGCTGAAGGCTGTAACAAATAGCTGGCTGTTTTAAATTGCAAGCAATGCCAATGTGAAAAATGTCAGGCTGTTTACAAGTCCCCAAGTGGTGCTGTTTTGTGGTGCTCAAGTATAATAAGGTTTGAAGTATAAATAGAAAATGGTGACCAGTGGCTTTCTGTCTCCACTTAGAGCAGAAAAGCAAAGCAAAGGATTTAAGTCAAAGAGAAAGATTCCAGATGCTGTGGTCATTAAATGGTAGACTATATGATCGAAGCTGCTCTGTCATAGCATTCCCTGATTTTTTTTCTAAAATGGGAACATATTTCTAACTTTCAGTCTTGGAGACAGAAGAAATGATGACATAAAGCTCTGAATTTAAATGCCTTTATCTCTGTAATTACGGAAAATCTCCAAGGTATCATTAATGTGCAAACACATTCCCCCAAATGGCTTTTTTTTTTCCTTGAAAATCTGGACACTAAGATTAGAACTTCAACAACAAAAATTAAAAACATGTTAATTCAATAGCAATCATCACTGAAAAAACATGAGCCAGGTGCATCTTAATTCAAAAAGCGACAGGTGGAGTTAAAATTCCTTTGTGCAACTAGGTAAAGATAATTAAAAAAATAAAGATTAAAAAGTGTGCTGGGTGCTAGTGGTTTATGCCTATAATTTGAGGCTGAGATCTGAGATCTGTAAGACAATCTTATCTCCAGTTAACCACTGAAAAGCCAGAAACAGAGATGTGGCTCAAGTGGTAGAGTGGTAGTGTTGCACAAAATAAGCTAAGGAACAGTGCCCAAGTACATTCATTTTTTGTGTGTGTGCGAGAGTGCTGAAAAGTATTTTGGGGCAAAGAAAAGAGTACTTAAAGAAATTAAGTAAGACACTTATTAACTGCTCTGATTACTTCACTGAGGTAAAATCCCACCTTAATAACCTAAATCTTCTTTCCAGTCAATACATTTTGATAAAGAGGATAAGTATTATGTTCTATTCCCATGATTTATTATCTCTTGCTAAGAAATAGTTTAATTCAGGCTATTGGGCTAGATTTGAGACTGTGTCCTATCTATATTGAGCGCTACTAGAAATTGCAATTACTCATACATATTCCCCCTGCCAAAAATCTAAGATTTTCATTCTGAGGTAAATAACAGTTATAAAGTCAAAAAAAATCTTAATTTTCAAATATCTTAAAACTTAAAATGTAGTTCATTGCAAATACTAAAATACCTGTGGGGCAGTGTATTAAACTCACTATCATAATTATATTTCTAGTTCGAATTAATACTCAAAAGTTCTTATGCTATGATAACTTATGGGTGGTTAGTTCATTTAATTAAAATCCCTGGGTTTAAAATTGGATGTTACAACATAGAGGTTATGTGTTAATGTCAATTTCTCTGTGAGTTTTCTGTTTCATTATCATTATTGTCTTTCATTCATTTAGGCAAATGAAAACTATCTTTAGTGACACCAGTGAACTGAGATACATTGGATCGTGGCAACTTCCATGTATTGAAATGTAATCAGAAATCTAAAATGAGATCATTTGGAATTGTAATCAATGGATATATTTCTATGCACTTGGTAAAGTGTAAGCATACACATAAGAAATGAATCTTTAGAAAAATAAAGGAAAGCCACATACCTGTGGTCCAACCACACCTCCTGGTCCAGGGGGACCTGTCTTGCCTTGAAATCCCTAAGGAAACAAAAGCATAATCTATAAAACCTGGAGGAAGAATTAAATGTAGAGATTTAACTTGACAATGGGATTGCTACTTAAGATAAAAGAAAGTCATCTTTTGGGTAGAAACTCTTCTTTTCAAATATTAAGTATAAGTTATACTGTCCAGTTCTCCTAAAACTCAATTTGTTTTGCTCTCCCACATATCAAGTTATGATGAAGCTACCACTTTCAGTAAGCTTTTAAAAAATTAAGTTAATATGATGAAGCTGGTGTCAAAATATGGACTTTATTTTTTTTCTTTAGTAATGTAGTCCAGGCCAAAGAATATATAAAAATTTAACCTAGTGACAACATCTATATGGATGAAGTAATTCATAATTTAAACATATTGATTTTTTTTCCTTCCTTCCTTCCTTCCTTCTTACCTTCCTTCTTTCCTTCCTTCCTTTCCCTTCCTTCCTTCCTTCCTTCCTTTCTTCGTTTCTTTTTGCTGTTAATACTTGAGGTTTGATCTCAGGGCTTGTGCTGAATAGGCAAGTACTCTACCACTTGAATCCTGTCTCAGCCTTTTTTGCATTTCAGTTATTTTTCAGATATGACCTCGAGTCAGTAGTCCAGGTCAGCCTCAAACTGCAATCCTCCTAATGATGACTCTCACATAACTGAGATTTCTGTGTGCACCCTTCTGGCAAGAGTATCTATTGAGTCAGGGTTTTTGCTAACTCTTACTAGCCAGATTTGTCTCAAATATTACAGGGACCCCAAATAGATTTCTCTTATTTTAAACATCCAAAGTAAAGGGTAAGCCATGTGCTGGTGGCTCACTCCTAAAAATCTAGGTACTAAGGAAGCTGAAATCTTGAGGATCCCAGTTCAATGCCAGCTGGGGCAAGAATGTCCTTGAGACTCTTACTGTCAATTGTCTACCGAAAAAATATGGAGGCAGAGCTGTGGCTCGAGGGGTAGAGTACTATCCTTGAGCAAAAAAAAAATGTTCAGGGACAACATCCAGGCTCTTAGCTCAAGCCCAAAGGCTTGCACACGCGTGCGCGCGCACACACACACAGAACAAGACAAAAAAGAAAAAAAAAGTGACTTATTTCAAAATACATGGTCATGATAAAGGAAGATTAAAAAAATAGTTCTTCCAACTCCCAAGTTTCAAATGGAGCTGTATTCTCAATAGTTAAGCCAATTAATGCTGAGGAAAATAATAAGAAAATTTCTTTCCTGAGCCTCCACAATTAGTCATTTAATCCTTATGAAACTCTCAAAAGATAGTCTCTTCTCCTATTCCTGTAAAACTCATCTTATACAAAAGGTAATTTTCTTTTTTTCTCGGCAATTACAACACTTTTCCAATCAAATTCATTCACTTGTCCACATTAGCTAGAATCACCATCTCCCATCTCACAGAAAGACAGCCAAAACAAGTAATAAGTATGCATCAAGCAACATTAGTGGCAAAGTTCAGCCGAGTCTGCATCTCTAGTCACATCTTCAGCTTTGAAAACATGTCCTTTCTAGCTGTGCTGATTGTCCCTTTGTCTTTGAAGTGCTACACACTACATATTTGTGTGAAATGTTCACTTGATTTGCATTACCATCTTTCCAACAGTTATTCAGTAAGTGTGACTTGAAGGGGATGATCTAATTCTCAACCTCAAAAAGTTGAAAATTTTATAGAGCTTTTTGTCTTAGTAACTATGAGATCAATAGCACACAGAAACAGTTATACTAATAGATTGAAATTCATTGATTAATTAATTTGCAATCCACACATGTACTGGTATATTCATTTTCTTGTTGCCCATGTGTGCAGATCTTAGATATATACATATGTATATGTGTATATGGATATATACATATATATGTATACATATATATACATATATATATTGTAGCCCACGTGTGAAGGTCTTAGGTTTGTGTGTGTGTGTGTGTATATATATATATATATATATATATATATATACATATACATATACTTATATATACATATATATATATAAATATATATACACACACACATATATAAATACAGTGGGGAAAGCGAACTACTCAAGCTGGTATTAAAGCTTAACATTGTCCATGTGATGCTGGCTTTGCAAGCATACAGAATTAGAGAGTGATGAGGCTGCAGACATTTCCAGCCACATTTCAAGTGGTCTGGGGGATCATGCAATGTCTGCCATGGTTAGAATCCCTACCAGCGTCCCCCAGCTGGGGACTGTGAGGGGGAAGCTGAAAATGCAAGAAAGGTCAGGAAACTAGAGGTGCCATGTACATGGAATATCTGACAAGGAAAGCTGCAGACAGCAAATGAATACAACCAGCCTGAGAGAGAGGACATGAGTATTACAAAAGCAAAGGTCATAGGAACAAGGCTGCCCAAGTCATGTAGTGTCCACAGTCCCACCAGCATGTGCCTTGAACACCAAGCCCAGAGCTATAAGTTTTAATGTCTACCCCACAAGGTTTTGGTCTTGCCTTGGTTTCATCTCTTATTCCCGTACCTTGTTGCACTGTTTTGGAATGGTACTGTTTATACTGTGCAATTGTGCATCTGGAGTATGTAACATACTTGTATCTTTAGAGATTTACAGCTCAGAATCTACCTTGAGTGTAATTTGAGACAGTGTTTGAACTATGGGGATTCACTGACATTGACTGAATTAGTTTTGAATTACAAGGTGGACATGAGCCTTTTGGCTCAAGTCAAAAGGCTTATATTTGGCTTAATTTTAAGGAAGAGCTTGATGAGTGGTAAATTTATGATCTGGATTATAATTTGACCGGATACAGAGATACCTAGGAAACTGGTCAAGCACATCCCTGGATATATCTGTAGTAATATTTCCAGACAGAATTAACCACATGGGTAACACCTCCCTGAACATAGTTTTAACTATCCAATAGACGGGGAACTGGTGGAAAAAAAGAGGAAAGAAAGAAGAGTGCTCACTATGACTGGCCTTCCCCTCTCTCCTTCCTGGCATCCATGAGATAACCAGCCTCTTCCACACATGGTCCCACTGCCCCAGGTCCTGAAACTGGAGCTATGGATCTTGGATGGAAACTTCTAGGATCATTAGCTAATATAAATCTTCCTTCTTTCAAGTATGTGTGTCAGGTATTTTGTTGCAGGAATGTAATGTTGAACACAATTGGTTACAGTTGTCAGATAAAATTAAATTATATACATTTTTTTCAGTCTACATTTTCCTTTTAAACATTTGATACAGTTTCTGGTGCATTGCCCCTAATGGTTCTGACATCATCAACCATGTCATCCTTGTGGAATTGGAGGAATTGTTCTGCTATTATTCTCACAACATGCGTTTGTTTTGTATCTTTCTTTTCTTTTAGATAGGAAGAAGGTGATAAGTTTGGGAGTTATGTATCTGTCAATAGATCTCAGAGAAAGGGTCAAGGACAAACCCTGGTGGAACTATTCAAAATACAAGGGTGCCTCCCCTGTCTATTCAATCTTAAAACTCTGGTCTCAATAATAAGATTAATCATATCAATTCATACTCTGTTTTTTCCAATTTGACTGAGTATAAGCTTTGCTTTACTTATGCATTTATTTAAAGATATTAATAGAGATCCAATGCAATTCATGTACCCTATTGTCCTAGAAATGGTAATTTGATTGTTAGTGATGAAGTTATCCTTTATGACCTGCGGAGGTAGTAGAAATAGGAAATTTCAATCAAGAAAATGCTGCTACTTACAGTTTCCCCACGTTGCCCAGGGTGTCCTGGAAGCCCATCTTTCCCAGGGGGCCCCTGAAATCACAAATATTAAACACTCCATGCCATCAATAGTTCCTGGATTATCATTTAAATGCAGTATATTTAAACAGTTGTCCTTTATACCATCACTTAATGTTCTGTTTATTTTGCAGATGTTCAGGAGAATTTATATATAAGTGCATAAGTCTGCTAATATAATTCTCTAGCTCTAACTGAGGCTAATTTTTTAAAAAATAGAATATATTCCAAACATGTTTTGTAACTGGGCTCTTTATACATTGAAATAAGGATAACAGAGAAAGCTAGTGTCCTCTAGTGGTGATCTGTAGTTTTAACCAAAATAAGAAAGAAATGACAAAACAACAACAACAAAAACCACCAAAACAATGCACTGTACCCCTTAATCTGTTTTCAGTAAAGGAAACAATATGCTAGGATTAAGTCTACATGTCACCAGATCCAACTTTTCCTTCAGATTGTCTAAAATTGCCCTTGGAAAGCAAAAAGTTAAGTACTAAAGAGCAAATCTGTTGTGCTATTTATTCCAATTACTGCTATTTATGGCATTTAATGCCCTATCTTTTTCAGGTCATGGGGATTAATAAAAGAAATTATCTAATTATGTAACGCAAACTGCCAAGTTCCTATATTTTAGTGACATAGTAGCAAGAGATTCCTTCCTGATTTGTCTTGTAGATTACTTATTTGCCCCCAGAATCTGTTATTTAGGAATTCAAATGTCAAAACATGGTTAACAGGGAAGAAAAGAAATATTCTCAACTCCCTGAGAAATTGAATATGGATTCAATAGTGACACTTTTAATGATAATAGACTAATCTATTATAACATGACAATTATGGAAATAAATTTTCATATATATGTATATATATGAAATAAATATATATGTATATATTTGAAATAAATATGTATATATATATATATATATATATATATTTCTTTTTTTTTTTTTTTTGGTCAGTCATGGGACCTGAACTCAGGGCCTGGGTGCTGTCTCAGCTCTTCAGCTCAAGGCTAGGACACTACAGCTTGAGCCACAGCGCCACCTTGGCTTTTTCTGCTTATGTGGTACTGAGGAATAGAACCCAGGGCTTCATCCATGCAAAGCAAGCGTGTATGTGTTTGTGTGTGTGTGTGTGTGTGTGTGTGTGTGTGTGTGTGTGTGCATTTACACAGTGGGTCTGAACCAAAGATTTAGTTCAAAAATACTATCAATTTCACAGATAGCATTCTTGTACCAATTTCACCTAAGTAACACTTCTTTGGAGTTGCTAGTGGAGACACAGGCACTCTTGTTCTCTGATCACATCTGCATTGCACATTGTCATGGGAATTACCAGATTTAATTAAAAACTGCTTTCTATTTCACAGAAGCATGGCTTGTTCATGTTTTTCAGGACCACCGCAGTGATTCTATTGTAATTCCTCTCCTTTCAAGACTGGACTGTTTCTAATAAAGAGTGTTTAACTATATTTCTTAGGTTTCCTTTCAAAAACATAAGACAATGGATCAATGCATTAGTCTCTAGGTATATAGCAATGTCATACTCCTCTCTGCTCTCAGTTTTGACATAAAACATAGAAACTGTTCACTACTAGAATCTTTCATCTACATCAAGTTTCTCAGAACATCAAATATCAACAATTTTTCTTCTTTGTCGCTATTTTAAGTCAGATGGGAATGAATGTTTTCTAATTTAGGTCAATACTGAAGGTTTTACTAAATATAGAGCATGCCCTCCAAAGTAAATGTGGGTCCATTTCCCCCCCAATAGAAAAAATAGCTCTAAGGTGAAGTATATCATAATCACTAAACAAGAGACCCATTTCCAACACATTCATAAATATAGACAGCTAATACCTCTGCTGTTTGCTGACAGAGATGATCAGCATTAGGTTGATGTGCACTTTACGTATATTGATATTCAGTTCAAGTTATTCATGATAGTATGTACCCATGTGACTTTACTAGGATTCTATCATGATAACTAAGCATAAGAAAAAGATGTAGAACTTTATCCTGAACATCAAACATTTGAATGCATTTCATTCACTCTTAACTTTCAAAAGCAATATTTGCATTGGTTTACTTTTTTAATTTCTTTCAAGCTAGTATACTAGCTCTTCGATGTTTGACCAGTGAATAACTTCTCTTTTTCAACTCATCTGTACTTCTCTTATAAAATTTAATCCTTTAAAATAGAGATTGTAGATGTAAATGATGTCATTTAGGGATGGGCATTACAAGATGTTTAGTTATGATCTTAGTTTCAGGGAATAGAGCTAATGGCTTTAAGATTAACCATTATCATTTATCTTGACTTAAGTCTGCATTTTTAATATAAGCAATGACTCTTAATTGTAGTGGCTTGATATTACCATTTAATAAAATAAAGCAAACCAATTGTCATGAGATTTCAAAAAGTTTAAGCATTATTTAAAGGACAACTACTATTCATTAAAATCTGCTGCCTTTTTATCTACTGGGTAAAAATCAGAGACAATTCATAAAAAGAAAATATAAATAGTTGTCTAAGAATATTTCTTCTCTTCTAATTTCCAATTTTCTTAGAATATTCCTTGTGTGTGTACATGCACACACACTCATGCAAGCATGTACCTTCCTGAGCAAATTAATTCCTGGTACCATAAAGATATACTACTTAGTATGTAGATTAATCTTCTTCCTTCACCTCCATTTTTTATTTTTATGCCAAAGAGATAAAGGTATTTTTTCCAACTACATAAAAACAATGCCAGAGAAATTGTGGGTACTTCTTATTTCATGCTTTAATATTTCATTCTACAGAAAAGAGTATAAAAGCCATTCTGTTTAGCCATGAGAGCAGTATTTCTAACAGTGTCGTGTCATTCCAAGTAGGCTACATGCATCTTGAGTGTAGGTATTTATTATGCTGCTAGTACCCCTTAGAGATAAGAATGAATGCATGGTGATCAATGGCTCACCCTGCCAGAAAGACACTTAAAAGAATAGACTGATAAAAGTCTCAGGAGACATGATGCAAATGTTTCTTTTTTAAAGAATCAATATCATGTGATATCAGGAAAATAATTCATACCCACATAGGTGAGTATAAATGGAAAGAAAAGGTTGTATATCTCATGACATTTTTTGTTACTAAACATTATTGAAGCATATGGCTTCAAAATACCTGTTGTTGATATTGCAGGGCTATATTGGATTAAGAAGCTGACCAGATTGCAAATGAAAGGTAAACAATAACAGCTGAACATCAGAGACTATGCTCTTTTCCCATGAACATGTAAGTATAAAAATAATGTGTTACAATTAATTTGTAAAGAGCTGTGATGATGATATTCTAAAGAACATTTCTGTGGGATAATTTTATGAAAGAGCTATTATTCAGTAAGGGTTTTCCTTGTATTTTCTCACAATGCATTATACACACAAAAACAATATGAATGAATTATTAAATGAATCTTCACGGCATGTAAATACCAGAATGCTGAAAGGAAAACTGGGGAAATAGTAAATGAAGGAAGATGAGAAGATTCCATTTAATAATGGACAATAAAAGTGAGTTTTATAAATAGGCAATATTTGTTATCTGATAACAGTTTTACTGCCTTAAATTATATTCATTGCAATAGAGATTAGTTAACAAATTTAGATAGACAGACAGATAGATAGATAGATACATAGATAGATACCTTCAGGTGACTGGTATATTGTCAAGAGTACTTAATAAGAGGAATTTAAGTTAAATTCAGCTTAGTATTTATAAATGAAATACAGGATATGAACTTTGTACATTAAAATACATTCTTTGACACATTAAATGGAATTTTACTTTATAGAGAATTTTACCAATCTTTACATCTAAAAACTATTTAAATTGTAAACTAAGCCCTCCAAAAAGTGAAAACAATATCAAATGAAGAAAAAGAGGACCTGTGACACTTACAGGGGGGCCTTTGGGTCCTGGGAATCCGACTGGACCCTGAGGTCCTTGAGGGCCCTGAAAATTAAAACAAAAAAGGGGGGACATTTTATCAATGTGTTTAAAAAGCCATAATCTATCATGTGCAGATTATTTCTACAGACTAAATACAACATGGTGTCCAACTTCTACAGAGGAATAGAAGAGTGGTTATGCAACTTCATCATCACCCATAATCACATGGCTGGATCTTTTTCATGTGATGGAATCCCCTTCAAATCAGTACTCCTATCATAGGGATAATTTCAATATTTACAGCTCTTATATACAATGAATAGCATGTACATTGCAATGAAAAGTTTGACTGATTTGGTTTTTTACTTAAACATTGGATAGAAACATTTATGAAATATATTTCGATTCAATTCTTTAGCACTCCAAAAGAAAAATGATGTCTAAAATTACCTCTATCAAAATTCTGGCTCCAGGAACACATGACCCAAAGAAAAGTATGCAATTATCTCAACAAGATCATAAAAGATATTTCTAATTAGGCCAGCTATGTTGTGGCATTTTCGCTATCATTTATAACTTGTGTGTCTAATATATCAGGCATTTTTCTAGACAAGCTAAAAAAAGAACTTTATTGTACAATTATTCTTATTAAGATTCAATCCAAATATATATTTATATTGTTATTCCTGTTTAATGCTTAATTGGCTGTATTATTCAACTCTCACTTACATGTCTTTCAAAAGCATATAGCAGACCCAGTTACAATGATTGAACTGGGGGCAGAAAAAGAAGAGAAAAAGATAACATGTCCAAAATATAGTCCTAGTTCTCAAATGAAGATATGTAAAATGGAAGATAATATAAGTAATATTTTCTAAGTAATACAATTAGGATAGGATTTACCTATTTTCTAATTAAAAATGAAACTTACTGGCATTGGTCTTTAACAGAATTTGCTTTTGAGTTACTACTTTATAAATTAAGCTTTCATAAGGAAAATTCACATTACCAGTTCTCCTCCAATGCTACCACAGAAACCAACACAATTTTTTTTTTTTTACTATTACCAGCATTTATCCTAACATCAAAATTAATGTGACATAAAATTACCAAAGCACTGGGGAAATGTAAAGAATTTATATGTTTAAAAAATCTCATTAAACTAGAAAATACCGATTTTCAAAAGCTTATCATAAAAATCATAAACAAAAATCTATTTAAGCATAAAATTTTCAGACAGAATGCTTTAAATTTTGTGAATAACCCTGTTTTCCTAATTTCTTAAATGTCCTTGCTTTACCAAACTTTCATAGGTGTCAGAAGAATTAAATTTCATTTTAATTCCTTTAAGGAAACAAAAATAAATCTCTAGGAAACTAGATTTTGATTTGTGAATTCCATCGAAAAATGTTCACAGGTTCTTTAGTGTTAATCAAAATATAATATCCCATTCATATCTGAGGTTATACGTTACTCACTACCAGGTACCTGCTCCTAACTGTACTGTGAAAGTGGTAAGTGGAAGATTCTAGATGTAAACGATCAACATGTTTTAAACTATGCCCCATTGTGATTAACATGATGAAACCTTATGCTATGGGGTTCAGGAGAACCCCAGATGTAACTCACCCTCTGTTCAGAATATCCACAGTACATCTACGACATACTTGTCAGCCATTCAGCCTGGGCTAACATGGTACTGCTGTGTTTGTGTTCAAGCCCCCATTATTTTACTTAATAATAACCTCAAAGCACAGGAGGAACGATATTATTAATTTTTCAATAGTGCGCTACAGTTCTTCTAGTACATTTTAGTTGTTCTTGTTAACTCTTATGGTGCCTAATTTATCATCTAAACTTGATTATAGGCATATCTGAATAGGAAAAGGCAGAGTTCATTCAGTGCAGAGTTCAGTTGGCAGCATTCAGTGCTGGCTGCTGTTTCCAGTACCCCCTGCTCTAGTCTATTCTAGTACAAGTTTATAAAAACTGTGTAAAGACTGTTTTGGAACCCATTTGGATTACCCAAGCCTACTGAGAGTTGAACTGTAGGTAAATCGTGAAAACGTTTAATATGCTGTAAATCTTGCAAGAGTGTTATTTAGGTCAAAAATTACTCACTTATAGATGTACAAAACACCATGTTGACAATGAACTTTACAACTTGGGGTGGGGGAGGGAGTAGTTGGGGAGGTGGGGAGGTAGGGGCAAAACAAAGAAGGGGGTAACAATGCCTGATAGGAAATGTACTCATTACCTTACTCGTGTAACTGTAACGCCTCTGTATAGTCTTTACAATAAAAAATATAAAAAATTTTAAAAATGACTAATTTATGTAAACTTGAGTTTTATTTTTATATCTACCCTTTTGTTATTTTGGTTTAGTTTTGGTTTCCTAAATTTAGCAAACTCAGGCTAATTAGAAGCTACAACTGATACTTTAACAAAGACATAGTTAGCAAATCAGTAGTATGAGGGGTCATGTTTAACTAGAAGAATTTCCTAAAGAATTTAGATAGCTATGTATGTATGTATATATGTATGCATGATGCATTCATGCATGTTGGTAGACAGATGATAGATGTACACAAAACACATACATATGTCATATATATAGTTAACTATCGATATGTTAGTTAAAGATGTAGTAATTTAAATGGTCAAAAATAAGTGTCATTTTCTCTAATTGAATGACACTAATCTACTTCAATATACCTATTCATATATTTTAAAAAAACATTATGATATGAAAATACTTATATCATTCTTTAACTGTGTGCTTAAGACAAACTAAAATAATTCATAATATTCAAAAATGCTTGCCAATAAATGAGGTCAAGTCAGAATGCAGTGTGCCATGTAATTTGGAGAACATGCAAAACAGGTACTCATTATACAAAAACTGAATATATACAAATGTTTATTGTGATTATGTGTATAATAACCCTAACTTTGAGAGTGGTTTTACAGTTACTAGTACTTCAGCTGTTGGATTGCACAAGTGTGTTCCACATTAAAGTATAACATCATAATATAATCATTGTATTCAATTTTAAAGAGACACTGATAAAACACACAAATGTAAGACATAGGAAGAGAATAATTGCTATTTTAAATAAAAAACTAAATTGTGCTATAAATAATTCATTCATTTTAAGTAATTTAGCCGAATTCTCCCATTAAAATGTCTTAATCCATAAATATATCAAATATTTGTATTACTTATGATTTCAAAATGTACGGCATGAATAGACCTAATTAGGAATAGTTCATTGAGAATGAGAAACATTTAGTAATTTAATTTAGTAATTTAATCTAATTTATTGTTAGATGACGATGTAAGGACACTCTAATTAAATGTTTATTCTGTGACTTAGCTAGTTATACTTCTATTAACCAACAGAAACTCAGTTTCACTTACTGCTTCTTACAAAAAAGAAATATTTATGCTGTTTTAAGTTTAAAGTAACATAATACTTGTGATTTTCTGTTCATCAACCATTTTAAGTTTCAAATATGTGATAATATATGAAAATACATGAAATGCCCTCATGATACTTAAATTATTTTTAATAGAATATGAAGAAAAGTTTCAATTTTCTTTGTATGTAACAGATTTTAGATTGAAAATTCTTACAGAAAAATCTAGCTATCAAAATGCTGCTTTTTGAAAAAAAAATAAAAGCCAAACAAAGGATATGCTTACTCATCTGTATTTGAATTTATTTTACATCAATAGCAAGTCAATTTACTAATTTTTTTTCTAATTACTGGAATAGATAGATGTTTTATCCTGACTTGAATGTGTATTGATTCTGGCTTAATGGCTATGGTAGCTTGTATACTACCAGCCTAATATAGTAATGTCACTGGCAAAACCTGAGGCAAATTGACTACTAATAAGGACAAGAAGACACAGGGTATATGTAAAGGTACTTAAAAACATATTTAAGACAAAAATCTTTATTTGTCCTGAACTTAAGAGTGATGTCTTAGGCCAATTGCACATAGTATTCTTTATTTCTATAACAGAACTCAGTGCATATAACCAGTTTAACTTTTTAAATTATGGAGTAAAAACAAATAATTGAAGAACAAGAATTTCTTAACTGGGACTAGATTATGAGGATGAATGTGTGCGTGCATTTGCATATCTACATATGTGTTTCCATATATGCATTTGCATATTTTTCCCAGAATTTTAAATACTGGTACACACACACACACACACACACACACACACACACACACACACACACACACGATTTTCTCTGATACATACCCTTTCACCAGGAGGGCCTGGAGGGCCATCTCCACCAGAAGTGCCCTGGCAACAAGAAAAGAGAGAATAATAATTGAAAAGAAAGAGTCTCGGTTATTTGCCACAGCCTCCATCATCTGGAAGAGGAGATGAGGCAGGCACCCAATATGACATTTGCCAAAGTACCTTTAGGCCCGGCTTCCCAGTGGGGCCTCTGGCTCCCCTCGAACCTCGAGGACCCTACGAATGAGAGCACAAAAGAGATGTGATCTAAACACTATCTTAAAATTATTAATCCCGAATGAAAGTCAATGTTGTGAAACACAGTACCCACCGTTGGACCACGCTGACCGCGAGGGCCTGGTTTCCCAGCTACTCCCTGCCAAAGACAATGCAAACTCCATCAGTACTCAGTGAGGGTAACCACATTAGTGAGTTTCTTCATGAGAGATGGGTGCTCATTCAGGGACATTTACACCAACTAGTTCAGAACAAAGTAAGTCATACCCGTGCACCTTTCTCCCCGTTGGCACCTGGAAATCCGGGAAATCCAGTGGAACCCTAAAATTATAAAAAAAAAAATACATAAATAAAAACAAAAACACTCTACCATGTTCAAATGTGCGGGTCGTAGCTGCCATTCGTTTGGAAAGCAGTCATATGGCACAGCTGACTATATATATATATATATATATACACATATATGTGTGTATATATATATATATACACACATATATGTGTATATATATATATATATATATACACACATATATGTGTATATATATATATATATATCCAAACATATAAGTAAACATATATGTAAGTTTAGGATATCATAAAATACCTTTCACATTGTAAACAAAGTTTATAACAAGTTTATAAACAAACTTACAATGATATCTGAAATCCTGGAAGCATGGAAAAGTATGAATGGATTAAAAAGGAACACATATTTTTAGTATTTAACTTTACAAGTAAGATAATCAAATATTATCATATCTCATTTATTAGGGAGCAATTAAAGGATATCACTGTAGAACTCAAAATATATTCATTTTCTTCCATGGAAGACCTTATTCCAATTACAAGGCAGTAGCTAACTGCACTTCTCATGATCCTATTTCCCATGATCTTCCAATCCCAGATTGCCAGGGTTCCTATTATCCCTGCACTCCAGATGTCCACATGCCCTATGTATGGCCCTTTTCTATCTCACACACACACACACACACACACACACACACACACACTCACACACACACATATACAAGCATATATACACACATCTGTAATAAACATGCATAATAAGTTTAATGTTTAATATATTAATACTTTTTATTTGCAGTCCTGAGGACCAAACAGAAGGAAACTGAATTTTAAGTCTTTATTTTCTCTTTTACAAACTGTAAAGGAATCATAAGTGATTAATTTTAATGTTTTTCTAATAGGCTGAAAAACTATATAAAATAAATGAATAATTTTACCTTTGGACCTTGTCTTCCTGGATATCCTGGTAATCCTGGAACTCCAAGTTTTCCCTAAAATTAAAAAAATAATGTATCTATATGTATCTATGTATGTAAATATAACATATATAAATGCCCTAAATAGAATTGCTTTTGTCAATCTGAATCAATTTTTAGATATAGAACATCAACACTGTACATGTGAAAGCAAGATTTCCAATATTCATGTTAATGTACTTTTGTTATTCATATTCATTTTCACAAGAAATGAAAAATCACTGCCTAGGACACATTTCCAATGCTTTTATCTTGCTTAATAGTCTCTGTTTAGAAAGAAATATACCATCTTTAGAAACACAATACCCTTAACTAAAGAGATCTCACTATACCTTTATGACCTCAGAGGTATAATAGTAAAAAAGCAAATCCTAGCCGGGCACCTGTGGCTCACGCCTGTAATCCTAGCTACTCAGGAGGCTGAGATCTGAGGATCATGGTTCAAAGCCAGCCAGGACAGGAAAGTCCATGAAACTCTTATCTCCAATAAACCACCAGAAAACCGCAAGTGGCACTGTAGCTCAAGTGGTAGAACACTAGCCTTGAGCTGAAGAGCTGAGGGACAGCACTCAGGCCCAGATTTCAAGCCCCACAACCGACCAAAAAAAAAAAAAAAGCAAATCCTAATCTCTGTTATTTCAAGTCAGTTTATATAGATGGAAGCATATTTAGATGTTATAAGTAGGATTATTTCATTGTTTTGTTTTTCCAATTCTAAATGTAAGTATATGTAACTTTTTCCTCATTCAGTATAAATGATATAATTAAATATAAATATTTGTGTCAATAACATGGATCAAGAGGCATTTTCCTAATAAATAGATATATTGAACTGGAACCCCTTTGTACAACTGAAGATAAGTTTTAATAATTAATTAAATAAATAAAAAGAAATTTTGTCAGGCCAGGGGCTCAGGCCTACAATCCTACTACTAAGAAGTAGGTAGGGATCAGGAAGATTAAGGTTGGAGGACAGCGTGGACAAAAAGTTTGCAAAACTTTATTTCGAACCGTAGCTGAGAGTTGTTGTAGGCATCTGTCACTATAGTGACCTGGAACACTATGATTAGGAGGATCATGGCTCCAAGCCAGCTCAGGCAGAAAGAAAAACACTGGTCTCCTGGTGCATGTCTTTTATCTCAGCTACTAGTGAAGATTAGAAGGATTGTAATCCAGGTTAGCCTAGCAAAAAAGAAAGATCCTATCTCAACAAATATCCAAAGGGCTGAAGGCATGACTTAAGCACTACAGTATCAGTGTAGCAAGCACAAATCCTATGTCTAAACCCCAAAACTGCAAAAGGAAAGAAAAGGAAAGGAAAAGGAAAGGAAAGAGAAGGAAAAGAAAAGAAGGAGGAAGGCAAGCAGGCAGATGGGCAGAAAGGCAGGAAGGAAGAGAGGGATGGAGGGAAGGAGGGAGGGAAGGAGGGAGAGAAGGAAGGAAGGAAGGAAGGAAGGAAGGAAGGAAGGAAGGAAGGAAGGAAGGAAGGAAGGAAGGAAGGAAGGAAAGGAAGAAAAGAAACAAAGAAGAAATTTCGAATTTCATTTTGAACAAAATTTGCTTACTTGTTCAAAGATTAGATTAATCTGAATTTATAAATATACTACCTGTGGAATGCTGGAAATCAAATGCTACTTTTTGTGGAGCGTTAAATTCTTAAAATAGATACTTGAATGTGACAGTACTTTGTCACTGTACAGTGAAGTAATCTCTCAATCTAAAATAGCTGGATAAAATGTAGTGCAAAATCAGTTTCCACAACACACTACAAATACTAAGATATTTAAAACATTATTCTAAAGAAATAGCCCTCCCAAAGTTGTTACATTAGTAAAAATACAAATAGGTTGATAAATAAATGAGCTAAAGAAATGTTTGTAAAATTTTACTATGCATTGTGTTCTGCAATAAAAGTGTGCATGTATAATTTTACAAAATATTATGCCTTACAGTCTTAAAGATTAGTAACCATAAGTTTATCAACATATCCAATGAATGATAAAATAAGAAAGGCCACACACATAAAGATTAGTGTATGCAATGCTCAAAAGACTAAAAGGTGAAGAACAACTTAAAAATTGTAGTGGGTGAAGCACAGCAATAAATTCAGAACATAGTTCGTGACTTGTTATACACTGAATTAAGGAATTGTGCACAGATAAGCCATGTTCAGATGCAAAATATGAAAACTAGCCCCAAGAAGCATACTGATAATGATGTGGCCTTGGGGATATTAAGGTTTCATAGTATATTCTGTGTCACTAATGTTAAGGTTAATGAAATTCTCTGATTATGATCCCAAAGTTATCTCTGTTCTCTGATAATGGCTACATTAGAATGTGCACTCATTCGTTTTTGAATCATGGACAGGAAAAGTGGTTGTATTTTCAATAGGGTGATAGATAACTAATAAGTGGGGATGTATTAGTGAACCGTGGGCAGATGCGATTCCTAATGCCTGAGACTAGTGTGGGAAAGAAAGCACAAACAACAGTGTGGGGCTGGCAACCAGGCCAAAGAGCCTTTCACTCCAATAACTGGGCAGTAAGTGCTGGGTGCAGGGCTTTGCCGGCCCCGTGGTGGAATCAACTGCATGGTTCATCCAGTCACACATCTCAAGCTTTTTCATTTGTGAACCTTTAGAAACTGTCCCATCAGAAAACATGAGAAAATGGTTTGTTTTTCATTTGTCCCACAATCTCTATAGAATACCTATAATGATTTTCTCCTGAGGTAGGAGGTATAGAAGCGGGAAAAATGACTTCATTGAATAGCATGGAATTGCTTTATTTTATAGCATGCTCACTGTAAAAAAACAAAATGTGTTTAGAGAAGTATTTGAATTAAAGCACCAGCATACAACAACTACTTATCTTTGGCTTTAATGTGCAAATGGGATAATGCTTATCATAGATAGCTCTAGCTTATCTCTCTTCAATCTGTTGCAAACCTTTTGGACCTAGCATGTATGGTCCAGTGTGTCTCAAAGCTGTAAATATTAGAATTATCTGGGAATCTTTCAAAACATTTAAGCTGGTGTCGATAATGGCCTAAAATTAAAATCTCTTAAAGTGATTTTACCATAAATACTCTTTGTTCCAGGTTATGTTTCTATGTAACATAAATGGACCTGGACACAAATACTTCTTAAAATACTACTTGAAAATATGTTTATATTTAATTTCGAAAAAGGATATTTACAGACCAAGTACAATAAAGACAGTTCTGCTTGGTACAAACAATAAATAGATCATCACACCATTGGTTCTTTGATACTTTAATCATACTCAAATTCTCAATATTTAATGTGGAAGCTTTAACTCTGGCTGATCCCACATGAGAAGACAAGAAACAGCCTGGGTAAAAATGGAAAGTGTGCCTATTTCATGAGTGTATTCTCAGGAGTTCATGGACATGTTTCCAATATCATACAACCCTACCATTTCCTGGTGTCCGTGGTGAAAATCATTCTAAAGTGACACTACAGTATTATCCAGAAAAGAACTGGAGGAGTTCATATTACCAACCTTCTCTCCTGCCTGACCAGAGGGACCAGGGTCTCCAGTTGGCCCTGCACGACCTTTGGGGCCTTCAGGACCATCTTCTCCTCTTGGGCCTAGTTGACCAACTTCTCCCTGAAATACAAAGTAATAACATTCTCCTCACTTAAAATGCATTCAGATGTTTTGATAGGCAGAGATTTCAGATGATCAATAATGTATTCTTGGAGTCTTACGTTTTTATATATGTTTCATATGTGACCAAAAGAGGTTTGGAAATATTTGGCTTCATAAACCATTTTGTTACTGAATAAGAAACAAAGTATCTTCCGATGCTGAAAACTAATAGAATCCTGATGTTACCACATATAAGATGAATTTGCTTACTAAATTGTGGTGGGATCCAGAAAAAAAAAGATGTTGGGGAAAAAAAAGGAGAAAAAAAAAGACAGGAGAAAAAGGAATAGGAGGAAGCAAAAAGGAGGAATACGGAAGAAAAAAAGGAAGAAAGGAGATGAAAGATGATAAGGCAATTTGTTGAAAACCATTGTTTATAACACACAAAAATCATTAATTTGGACATGCTGTTTATATTTTATGTATTAAGAACTGTTGAGAAAGTTATTTTTCCCAACTGGACAAACTTTCTATACATTTAGGGAAATAAAGCTATCTCACAATATGGCTCTTACAACAGTTGTGTTGTACGATTATGAAAGTTATTGAATAAATCTTCCCAAGAAAGCATTTAATTGGCTTTTGTTTGCTTTCTAAAACTCCTTACCAGATATACTTTATTTTTCAACTCTGAAATTGCAGACCACCATAACAATGAATAATCATGAAAGTTGCTGGCTTATTGTTTTGAGGAAGCATGGTTCACTATGCATGAAATTTAGGGGAAAATAAAAAAACTACCCAATCACTTATTTGAATTAAGCAGATCATTATTTTAAAACCACCCATGAAGAATAATATCCAATAATATATGATAAATATGATATGGTAGAGTTTTGTCTGCATTAGAAATAATATTCATGAGGACCTCAGTTGAAATCCCAGTAATCCCCAAAGCAATATATATTTAATACATCTAAGCTTCTGAGATTCATAGCTAAACCAAGTCTACCTAAACCATGTTCAAAATATTTACAGTTGGGGGAAAAGTATCCAACAAAAAGTCTATTCTATAAGGAAGCGTTGACTATGTAAGTTACCAAATGAGAGTTACTAAAAACGAGAAACAAAATGATTATGTGATTTCACTATCATGAAGTTAAAATAATGTTGGAGTCAAAATCAAGTCAGAGATTATTTTTATAAACCTAGGAAGTATTTGTAAAGACATACGGACTTTGCTTTACAGATTTTTGGATTTACAGAAATAGTGAAAGAGCATTAGGTCATTGGATTTTTGAATTTCCAGGATAGGAACACAAGGTGAGCTAGTATACGTCAAAGCTGAGCAGCAACTCAGAATATGGATCTCATTCACCATGTGATCCTGAGGTGAACCAGTCATTCTCTACAATGAATTACTGTCGCTAAAGTACATGTTTAAAATTATTTGTGTGTGAGTGTGTGTGTGTGTGTGTGTGTGTGTGTGTGTGTGTGTGTGTATGGTAGGGAGGTGCTGATGCTGGGCTTTGAACTCAGGACTTCACATTTCCTCTGGGCTTTCTCTGCCTAACACACTGGTGCTCTATCACTTGATCCACAGCTCTACTGCTAGCTTTTGCCTGGTCACGTGGAGATTAGAGTCGCATAGTCTTTTTTGCCAAGTTGACATCAAACTGTGATCCTCTCATCTTAGCTTCCTGAGTGGCTAAACATGAGCCATAATAGTCCAGCTTTTCAATGCATATTTAACTTACAATATTTCCAATACAATGGATCTATGGAGCCATTACTTTATTGAAAGTAGAGAAGGATCTGTATAAAGACTTCTGTGTACAGACATGACCTATAAAAAGTTTGCAACATTGCTTCTAGAAAACCATTAAAACGGGCTGGGAAGGTGGCTCAGTGGTAGAACACTTGCTTGCATGCCTGAGGCCCTGGTTTCGATTTCACAGCACCACATAAGCAAAAAGAAAAAAGCCGGAGATGGCATTGTGGCTCAAGTGGTAGAGCACTAGCCTTGAGCTGAAGAGCTGAGGGACAGCGCCCAGGCCCAGAGTTCAGGCCCCATGACCGGACCAAAAAAAAAAGAAAGAAAAGAAAACCATTAAAACATCATCATCTTTCCAAAAATCGTAATCACTAACCTTCACATAAAACCTTAAATGAGCAAATTCTTTGGTATTATGAACATTTTATAGAACCAGAGCTGGCTGTAATCAAAATAAGAAAAGATTACGTAAATATATAGTTTTAGATATCAGTGCAGATTTTCTTGTTACTCACTCTGTCACCTTTGAGACCCATGTCACCTTTGAATCCTGGAAAGCCATCTTCACCCTAAAAACAACAAAGCAACAAACAATGAATAAACAAGAGTTTAATTCATCATTTGGTAGCATCTATATTACATATGGCTATGTAAGATAAGTAGATATGTAAGATATTAGGGGAAAGTTCTTTTAAGTCATAGGAAGCCCAGTAGAAAACCTGCTTACTTCTTTTCCATTTCTGTTCTCTTCCTTTTATCGCCAGATTCTTTCCATGTCCCTATACTATTGCTGTAAACTACAGAACTATTCACAAGTATGGCTGTGATGGCTTCTCTATCTCAAGGAAAAAACGATCTTTCTCTCATAATAACATTTATCTGATGCTACTTAAATAAAAAATAGTAAATACTTAAAATAACTTTAAAATCAATTTAGTGGATTATGAAACCTTAGCTGAGAAAATATTTTTAACCATTAATTCACTATTTATACTTCAGCTTATTTTTTAATTATTCTTTTGTAATTTACTTTTTAGATGAACCTTCTAGTTCACCTCCTACTCCATATTCTCATCTCTTCTCAGGTGAGAACTATGCAAATAAATTATTTTCTAGAGAGCGATTGTTCTTTGTGATATCATTTGTCCAGCAACAATGCTGGAAACAGGTATCTACTTGCAAAGAAGACCAAAAATATTTATAGTATTTCTATAAACAGCTATACTTTAACAATAGGTATTTATAGAGATGGAATTCCCACTGAAGTCTGAAAGCTTCAGGATCAACATCATTATTTTTTATTATTATTTTATTTATTATTTTATTATTATTTATTTTTTTAATTTCAAGAAAATACTAAATTCCTAAAGGATAATAAGTTGCATTTGGATAATATTAAGTGAGCATGAGCATTACTGTATTTTAATAATTTGGATTTACCAATGACAACGAAACAGTAAAGAATCAGCTCTAATTGTGGTACCAGGGAGGCGGAATGAGGAAATAAGCTATTAGCATAATGATGATGGTGGTGGTGGTTAGGCAAGAAGTGAATCAGAGAAGTTTTGAAGGAGGATTGGTGTTTTGCTTCCTTGAATGAAATGGATACTACATGCAGAATTTGAGGACAAAACTTTGGAGGTTGGTTATAAAAACAAAACTAGGCAGGACAGACATACATGCATCTCCATATTTATATATTTCCCAAAGTAACTCCAAATCTCAAAAGCTGATGAAGTCAGCTTTACTTTAAAAGTCCTCAATACTTCCAAACTGCCCAAATATGATGTGTGCCTTTTATGCGTTTTATGCTTTTATGTTTTTTATGCTTTTTCAGCCATTATGTCTGGAATTCCCCCTCCTTCCTCACATAAGTCTGAGGATTGACTTCTAGAAATAAACATAGAATTACTTGCATTTCCTTCACAACACACTTGTAAGTACTGTCTCTTCTCTGCATATCTGGTGATTTTTTACTTTTCATTCTTCAAGTCTCAGCTTCTGTTTATGTCTGGGAAGGATTTTCCTGATCTTAATTTTTTCCTCCTAAAACTGACCTGTCCATTATGTCTGCCCCAGATACCTACTCATTATTGCAAAAGTATGCCTTCTGGCACTTATTAGAGAGCAGAGTACTTTTGTTTCCACACAAGAAAGATTAAAACCAAGAATCATAAACAACTTGGTGGCTAATACTCTCCTGACCTTCAAAACCATGATGCTTAGTAAACACTCCATAAATATCTGGAAAACACACAGTGATGTTAACTTTCACCTACCTCTGCCTAGTTTTCATGTACTTCCCTCCTCATAACCCTTTCACTTTGTATGTAACATAGTGATGCATGACTTCTTTTTCCACCAGTTGACTTACTTAGAAGACGTTTAACTTTATATGTTACAATACATTTTGAATTTGGTGGACTTGGGTATAGAGTAAAGAAGAAATATTCCTCTGTCCAAACACTAGCAGAGCCATTCATGAGGCGACTCATATGATTTATAAAAGTTTAAGTAAACCTGGGAAACAAGACTAACACAAACCTTTGCTTCTGTCCTACAATTTAACCTTCACTCTAGGATACAAAGAGTTACTTTTTCTAAGGTTTGTAGAATACAGGTTACAAAACTAAACTTTTATTGTCTGCTACATAAATATTCAGTCTATTTCAGAAAGAAAATATAAGTTGAATAAGTTGCAATTTTATATACCAGAAAAAGAAGGAATGAAAAATGGCCTAACAATGATAAGTGTACCTTTTCGCCTTTAGATCCCTTGAGACCTCTAACGCCATCCGCTCCCTATGGAAGAAATAAGAAGTATTAAGTGTCTAGGCATGCCATGGTGAAATTGAAGAAGGGAAAAACAGCTGAATATTTACCTTCACTCCTCGGGGACCAGGGTAGCCAATAGGACCTTGGGGACCAGGAGGACCCTGCAAAGAATTCATTGCAATTTAGATATACGGCACATTGACAAGATACTCACACAAATACTATCATGTTAACCCCATATGGTATATTTGTTCCTAATATTCACATTTGGCAATATGTCTTGGTTAGTTTATCATTTGTTGTGGTAGCCAGCTATGATCGACAGAGATGAGAAAGGTGAAGGGGTCTTTGAAGGGTATAGGACTGGTAATAGGCAGCTGCTCATTGTGAGGGACAGATGTAATTATTCCCTTGGAAAAGGTTAATGCTGTGCTCCCCAGAACTAGGAAAGCAGGCAACTGGAGAAAAGCCCTCAGTCTCCTCTGGCTTCATCATTTGATCCCTTTGTCTCTCACACATTGCACTTACTTTATGAAAATGGACATTTTGTGGTGCAGCACAGAGGGCCTCCACAGAGACTACACTGTGGGATCACTTTCCAAAGTATAAGCTGATTAAACCTCTCTTCCTCATACAGTACCTAGCATGCAACATTTTGTTATATCATATTAGGAAATATATCCATATAGTAACGGAACTAATTCATTTGAGTGACAGAAATATCATTCTAATGAATCACTTAAACAATTCATATTTAGATACATTAATAACATTTAGATAATGTTTGGGGGGAAATTTTCATTGTGTCTACTGTCTACTATAGATAAATTAAACAACTGAATCAATATTTTCTAATACAGAGTTTATATGTTTGTAGCATTCTCATCATTAAAAACACAGTCAAGAATAAACAGTTCCCATAATTGAATCCATTGTCTAGTAGGTCTAAAAAATAAAGTATAACTTAGCATAACTTACATACATAAAGCATAACAGTACTTCTGTAGTAATAAGAAGAATCTCAGTGCTGTGCTTATAATACTAAAGTCGTGTATCTAAACAAAAATGATCGTGCCACTACTACTATAATCTAAAATAATTCTAATAGTTTTTATTTTGATGTCCCATTGAGAAATTTTGATAATTATTTCTTTTAAAGATTAATATCCTCTTCCTTAAATGTGACAAAAAATAATCCGTAGATATAAAATGGGGGTTACATAAAGAATTTAATGATATTCAGTAATTATTATTCAATCTCATTATTACAATTATGATTACAAACTACATATATGCCACATATGCTGAACATAAGCAATGAGTATGAGATGAATTTTTATAAAATGGAAAGTATACTCTATTTTGTAAATTTATTAACATAAAATTAAAATTACACAAGACATACTTTTATATTATATGAAAAATGACCAAGACCTGGTTTATATGAAAACTATAGAGAAAACCATTTAGTAAAATAAACATGATTCACAAAGAGTGACAATATTTGCTGGTACTCATTTCCTAATATTCACATTCCTTGGACAAGACAGAAAGCATATGATGGAGAATAAATCCAGACATCCCTTACTTGGAAACAAGTTGACAGTCATTGAAATGAATACTTTATCACCTACCAGAGCACCCTTTTCCCCAGACTGGCCTTCTTTTCCTGGATGACCCTATATTTAGCAAAGATATATACATTGATAAAAATACAATGATAATGACAGTAGCTATTAGTATGAATTTCTTCCTCTGATTTTTGTTCAAATCTATTGAGGTCATTGTTTAAACCTTTTCAGAAAATATTTTAAAAAATTGCTTCAGAGTTTCCAGCTCAAAATAATATTGGAAATTATTATATTTAGAAAGAAATACAGTAAGTCCAGATTTGGTTGGTATCTATTGCATTCAATAGGCGATGTTTTTTAGAGAGTTTGGATAAAAAGCACTTTCAAGTAAGATAATATGCATTCTTCATTTTCAATTCAATTATATTTCAGAAACATATGCAAAGTATTTTAATATGACATATTTTGCATATCAGGGAGAGCATGCATATCTTCAAAAGCAAGAAGCAGCATTTGGATGAGAAATGTAAACACATAGCAAGATCTAAAATACTGATAGCATTAATAATTGCATCAGTAAATCTACATAACTGCATTACAATTACACTCAACAAGCTGAAGGAGGATGAGGAATTTTGTATTGTGGCTCTCATAAATCTGACTACATAGAGTGAAGAGGGAAAAATGCACAACTAACAATTCTTTCAAAAACAAGGGCAAATGTTTGCATGATTGACTTCCGTGTGTGGGAAAAGGACAGATGCAGCTAAGTCTCACAGTCTGAAATACTTTTATGAAATTCATGTGACACATTTTATGAACCTGTACAGTTTCACCCAGGCCTAGCAAACAACAGAAAAGGAAAAGAGGATGAATAGATAAGTTAGTGAAAATACATAGAAAGAGAAAGGCATGGGCATCGAACACATGTTGAGAAAACTGTGAATGGGAACTAAACTGTGATTCCTTGTAATTCATGAGTCATGATGAAAAGAAAAATCAACAGGCTTCTGGAAGGTTCTATTGTGCCACACGAGGATAAGTTCATTTAAAAGTCATTGTAGTGGCCTTACTAAAATTTTAGCAATACAGATAGTATTTTAGAGAGATCAAGGTTGAGAAACTGTTACAATCTACTTCATGACTATCTACATATAATCATTACTAAAACCTACAAGAAATCTACTTTTGGAGACTCCAGATGAATATTCTCATGACCAGATAATCATTACTCACAGGAGGCCCATCAGCACCAGGAAGTCCAGCAAGTCCTGGTTTTCCTTGTGGTCCCTAATCAAATAGAAAAGGAGAATACTTTTATCTTTACAAAGAAAACAACAAAGAGCTTCACATTATGCTTAGGAATATATTACTACATATACTATTAAAAACATACTTAACTTGAGATAGTGGCTTTTATTTGAAAGTGATATATACATTATGTTTTAACAATTTATGTGTAAAGAAAGGCAATGTAAAGTTAAAATGAACACTGACTTTAATTTTGTCAAAAACATGCTAGGTTTTAGTCTGCTTATGCAGTCATTAATATGTCTCTTTAAAATGAACCTATTAATTTTAAAATCAACTAAAAATAAACAAGAAAATAAACCAGAAATCCATAGACTTAGAGTACATAGAGTTTAACACTGAATATGTAATAGGTTAATTAGAAACAATGTTAATATACACCAATTCAGATACAGCCATGAACTGTGTAGTCATGTTTCAGGAAAAGATGGACAACATATACAACTATGGATCCGTGGGAGAATTCCTATCCCTTAGTGAAATTACAGCCATTAAATTCAGTGGGATAACCAATTACCCAGGTATTTATGGTTATCTTTTACAAACAAACCATGTTTCCAGTTGTATAATAGTGCTGCATATATACTATGTATAATATAATTTTAGAGAAAGCTAATAACTATTCATTTGTATATTTACTGTACTATGAATTTTATAAATCCAGAGTACAATTGTACTTATTGAAAAGTTTACTGTGAAATACTGTGCCATATTATGCTGGCAACAACTTCACACATATCCATTTACTACATCTTTGTGTGTGTGTGTGTGTGTGTGTGTTTGTGTACTAGTACTTGAGCTTGAGCTCAGAGTCTTGTGCTCTCACTCTGTGTTACTGGCTCATGGCTACCATTTGAGCCATACTTCCAATTCAGCATTTTCCTAGTTAGTTAAAGACTTTTCTGCTTGGACTGGCACACAACCATGATCAGATCTCAGCATCCTGAGTAGTTAAGATTAAAGGTGTGAGACACTAGCACTAGGATACCAGATATCATGATTGAAATAAGAGGCTACAGAAGTAGTTGAACAATGTCTTCTTTTTGGGGGGGGAAGGGGGTCCGGTCATGGGGCCTGAACTCTGGGCCTGGGTGCTGTCCCTCGGCTCTTCAGCTCAAGGCTAGCCATAGCGCCACTTCTGGCTTTTTCCTTTTTGCTTATGTGGTGCTGGGGAATCGAACCCAGGGCCTCAGGCATGCAAGGCAAGCGCTCTACCACTGAGCCACCTTCCCAGCCCCAACAATGTCTTCTGTATGTGATATTCATACAATGACAAATGGCCGAATGCATCCTTTGTTAAGGAACATGTGATTATAATTCCAGTTGAAATTCCAGTTATCAAATTCCAGGTATTATTAAATTAATAGAAATTCCAGTAATTATTAATTTTTATATAGTACATTTACTATATAAAAATTATTTTGTAATAGTTACTTGTAGAATTCATTAATATATGCATTTATGTAAATTAGCATGATGTAATATGTAAATAACAAATAATAAAAAGTATTCATCATATTACCACCTTCTTAACCACAGAACCACTAAGTTCGGAACATGGTAAGAACTCCTATTGAAAGAAGAATACCCTCCCTTCATAGAAAAGTAGCTGTTTTGCTGACATTATTAATGTTATTTAGTTCTAGTCATTATTATTTACTGGCCAATTAATTATCCATGACTGAGAAATAATGGAAAAGGCAAGGAGCATAGTTTAGAGTTTTTCCTTTCTCAGAGAAGATTCAGAATTAGTAATGTATGCATGTATACTGCCATGCTTCCAAGTTGTAGAGAGGAGCACTAATTAAGTCACTACAGAGCACACACATTAAAAGTAAACTTCAAATTGGAGAGTTAGATTTTTGTAGCTGAAATTAACTGCCCCTCATTCAAAGGACTTCAGTTTTCCATCTCCTTCACCAGTCTGCAAATTCATACTCAAGTCAAGTAATTGAACATTGGGTGATTAATAATTATTGCCCAACACTAAGTTGTTCATGGCAGAATTTTGTTTGTCATGGAAATTAACTTTCACTTTCAAGACAATGGTCTTGTGTCTTCAAAACAAAATGATACTCAAATACAGGACTAGCTGTGGAATTCTTGTATGACATTGACTTGGTGACCGATAAATACTAAATGGACTTTTTTGGGTTGTTCTATATTTGAGGGTCATCTAGAAACATTAAAACTCTTGTACAATGATTTCTCAAAAAAAATTGAAATCAATCTATCTCTTGGAGAATGAGTTTTATGACAGCATACTGTTTTTGTCTGCTTTGAATCCCATGAAAGAACATCATCAATATGTGACAGAGTCCCAGTCTGAATGATTCCAGATCCACACCCTTGTCTCCTTTTAACAGGCATTTATTTTGTGTCTTGAAGTTTCACCCTAAACTCATACAGTGACCATTTATTGGACAAAAAGCACACTAATATATGAAGGATATGAGTTCTGAATCATAAATCACATCACATCACATCAAATACATCACATATCCCAATAATGTAAGAAAAAAATATAGTTGACTTATCCAGCTTACATCATTGACTTAATCTTTATGAGATATCTTACCATACATAAAATAGAATTCGAGCTGTAATAATGTCCAAACATACAAACATTTTAAGCTTGACATGTATGATATTGATCGTATTATATTTAAATGTTATATAACACTAAAAAACAGTTAAAAATACCTTTATCAATTTTTGAAAAACAAAATTTGACTCAGAATAAATAAATCAAAATATATGATAAGAAAAAATAACATTTATTTTTAATATAGATTTAATGAGAATAAAATATTTTCTCTCATATTTTTGAGCTCCTATTCTTTCTGACTGAATAAGATTGCTTTGAATTCATAAGCTGAATATATTCAGTCAGAAGCAGCACCTATGTAACACAACACTCTTGTTGACATGAGACATTCATGAATTAAACCCTGTATTTCACTAGTGGCCAGGGAAGGAAATTCACATATATCAATGTTCCCTAAAAGCAGATCTTCCTTTATCTGCAACCTGGGGTTTAAACTCAGAAACTAGGCACTCTCCCTAATTTATTTTTTTTCTTTTTGCATAAGATGAGCAGTCTACCACTTAACCTATAGTTCCACTTATGGATTTTTTAAATAGTTTATTGGATATAACAGTCTCATTGACTTTTTTCCTAGGTTGGCTTTGAACAATGATCCACAGATCTTAACATTCTGAATAGCTAGGATTATAGGTGTGAGACAAAGTACCTGGCTAGCAAATTCTTTATACTTAAGTATACGTTAGAAAAATCTCAGTACAAAATCTGAGTTAAGTGTTTTATGTTCAATTTTATACTGAATATAATATAAATATGAGTACATATGCTCGTGAGCTACAATTGACTCTAAATAATACTACTGGCCTAAAGTACACATTTAGGGTACATGTATTATATTAAATCTATATTCAAAAGTAAATTTAAGTAAGCAGCTCACTGTCACAGCATGTGCCTAAAAGGTTAAAATCATATTTAGAAACTAAGAACTACAATTATTAGAACATACTCCAATAATATATCTCAATTATAATGATACAGAAAACATTTGCCCCCAAAAGTTATTCAAAGACCAATTCAATAAATCTTTTAACTCCATAAAATAATATATAGCCTAATTAGAATATTATTCGCAGTCTGAATAGAAAGTGTAAGAGAAAAGTTATAGAAATGGCTATGACAAGCCAGGTGCCGGTAGCTCACACCTATAATCCTAGCTATTCAGGAGGCTAAGATGTGAGGATCACAGTTCAAAGCCAGCTCTGGCAGGAAAGTCCAAGAGACTTATCTCCAATAAACAACCAGAAAACCAGAAGTGGTGCTGTGGCTCAAGTGGTAAAGCACTCACTTGCCTTTAGCTGAAGAGCTGAGGGACAGTTCCAGGCCCAGAGTTCAAGCCCCATGACTGACCAAAAAAAAAAAAAAAAAGAAAGAAAGAAAAGAAGAAGAAGAAAGAAAGAAAGAAATAGCTATGACAAAGATACTCAAGATCACTAGAGATAAGGGAAATGCAAATTGAAAACACAGTGCAATCCCAGTTCACACTAAAAGAATTATCTTAAGGGAGACACTAAGAAGTATTAATGGGAGCAAGAAGAAACTACTTCTGTATTGCTGGTGGAAAAAGGACAACAATAGTGAAACCACTTAGGAAAACAATGTATATGCTTCTCAAAATGTTAATCATGAATTTTCTCTATAACTAGCACATCTAAGTACCTATCAAAAGAAATAAAATATGGCTATGAAAATACTTGCATGCAAATATTCACGGAAGTGCCATTTTCTGATTAATGGCTAAAAAGTATAAAGTACCTGTCTGGTATAACTGCTGAGCAAGTGAAAAGAGCTTTGAAAATGGTATATTTAAGCTAATAGGAAGTATTAAACATCAATAGATACTCCAAAGTAGGTAAACATAAAAAAATTATATCAAAAAGAAGGTTGTAAACATCCTGTTATATTTAATCATTGATTAAATTCATTGATTAAATCCACACCTATATTCACAGGAAATATGCAGAAATAATATATACAGACAGACTGCAAATTAGTTGTTGTCTTACTATAGGGCATGTAAACAGCAAATGGAAGCAAGGATTCCTTCTTTCTAAAGTGATGTAAATATTCCAAAAATTTACATGGTGAGAGGACTAGAAATATAGTGAAAATAATTTAAGAGAAGTGAAATCTTGTGGTTAATCAAGTATACTTCAACAAGGAGTTATCTGGGCGCCAGTGGCTCACACCTGTAATCCTAGCTACTCAGAAGGATGCGATCTGAGGATCACAGTTCAAAGCTAGCCCGGGCAGGAAAGTCCGAGAGACTCTTATCTCCAATAAACCACTCAGAAAACCAGAAGTGGAGCAGTGGCTCAAATGTTAGAGCACTAGTCTTGAGCTGAAGAGCTGAGGGGCAGCGCTCAGGCACAGAGTTCAAGCCCCATGGATGACAAAAACAAAACAAACAACAAAAAAAAACACAAGGAATTAATAATATAAAAAAATGAAACAAAATAAGATGGTATGCTCATAGATAACAACAAAGGCAAGAAAAAATAGCATTAGAGAAAGATGGGTACCAACTCTGTTTTAAAACCTAGACAGTAAATGCTAGTCCTGAAATATAGAATAGAACTCTGAGAAAAAGACATCTCTCTAATTAGAGAAGTATTCTTTTAATCCACATTATATTGCTAATAAGTACATCATCTGTCGTTTATACATAAGACATGATGACAATGAGAACTTCACAATTTCACCTCAATCAGATATTAGAATAAATTATTTGTTGTAAGTGAACATAGTCACACTTTTTTAACAAAAGGGGAAGAAGGGGGAAACAAAATATCCATTCATACCAGTTAATTTCTAAAATTAGTAGTCCTGAACATGTTACATTTGAAAGATTGCTGTGTTAACCCTGCAAAATTCTATCATTTGTAGGTTAAAGACATATGAATGAATTTTATCTACACCATATTCTCCTCAACTTCAGATTGGTGTTTTATGTGTCCTGCTATTTCGATATCTTAACAAGGACAGAAGACACCTGTCTGAGGCAGGTTGTCCTTATTTGTCCTCCAGTCATTATGATAATGATAAAGTAACTTACTTTTTCACCAGGAGGACCAATTGGACCTTGAGGACCAGGAAGACCCTGTTTTAACAGAATTTATTTAATGTTAGGAATCACATGACAAGAATATATTGTTAAGTTAATTGTTACACTGCTACTGAACATGAAAAGATTTATAAGTATGTGAGGATTCTGACTCAGAAATACACACACATACATACCCACAAACACACACCCACACCCACATCCATTGCTCTTTCCAGAGACGGTAGAATACCATGCATGTTACAGAAGCTACTCTATTTTGCAAAGGGACTGTAATGTGATTCTAGTCAAAGCCCTCTACAGGTGTGTCTATTCATCAAAGCATCTTGCATGACTCATTTTTCTCTTGGAAGAAAGGTACGGGTGGGGAGGGGTCCCTCTGAAAGTTGACTAAATGAAAGAAGAAGAAGAAAAAAGAAGGAATACAAAGTATCTTCCTTTATCCACAGTTGAAATAGTTTTATTTAGTCCTCCCCAGAAGCATTTGCAATTGTGCATTCTCCTGGAAACGATGCTTCTTCCCTCACCCGCCCATTGGAACTTACTTGAGGTCCTGGATTTCCTTGCTGGCCAGGAGGTCCTGGCTCTCCTTGGGGACCCTGCCATAGGAAAAATAGTCTTTATTCAGGTTTAATGTATTTTTTTTTCCTTGTTAACTGAAAAGTAACCTCCCAGACCAGATTTTGCTCAAGAGAATCTGGAAAATATTGCAAAAGATGAAGGCTAGGAGTAGCTAGTATATTTAACAAAATATAATCAGGAAAGTGTTTTTTTTTTTCTTTTACATTTAGCAACAAAACTATTTAGTTCTGAGATAGTTGAGATATTTATTTAAGGGTGCTTGCTACATACCATGTTACCTTTGGGTCCTGGGGGGCCATCTATGCCTGCAATACCCTGCAAAGAAGAAAACAATACACAGGGGTGTTTAAATTTTTTTTTTTTTTGTCGGTCATGGGGCTTGAACTCTGAGCCTGGGCGCTGTCCCTCAGCTCTTCAGCTCAAGGCGAGCGCTCTATCACTTGAGCTACAGCACCACTTCCGGTTTTCTGGTGGTTTATTGGAAATAGGAGTCTCACGTTCTCTCCTGCCCGGGCTGGCTTTGAACCGCGATGCTCAGATCTCAGCCTCCTGAGTAGCTAGGATTACAGGCATGAGCTACCAGCGCCCGGCTTGGTGTTTAAAATTTTTACATCCAAAATAACAAATGAAAAGGCTACTCTAATACCCAGCCACTCACTAGCGTAAGGTGACTAAATCATATTTTCAGGATTATAGGAATTAATGATTTAGGATTGCATAAAAATGAGGTCTATATTCTATTCATGTCTACATTACAAGGGATCTAGCATTGTTTTCCATTGTATGCTGGACATTTATCATGAAACCTGTAAGACAGAAATACTAAAGGAAAGAAAAACACAGAAAGAGAGGGAGAGAGAGGACAGGTTAGTCAGAGAGACACATTCTTAGCACTTAGAAGAAAGAGGAAGTTAACTCTTGGCCTTGTGCTGAGAGACACAATGGTCTCTCAGAAAACAGTTTGGCCATTAATTTCCTCTTAGAATACCAGACTCTTTCCAGCCATACATACAGGTTGCCCTGTAGGGCCTGGGGTTCCTCGTGGTCCCAGCAAACCTCGTGGGCCCTAAGAGGGAAAAGAAAAGAAAATGTTCTCAAAACAATGCCTCTCGCATTGCAAAACCATCTCATGTAACATTTAGAAGAAAAGTATTTGCTCATCTTCTCTTAAAATACCGTTTGGGGGTGTTTTTTTTTTCAAAAACATGAATACATAGTGTTTCTCCTGACCCAAAAGCCAAAATAAATAACATGAAGTCTTTAGTGCAGAAATTCAGATTTTGTACATTTACATATGAATCACCTGGGAATTTTTTTTAAATAAAATAGTTTAATACTTATAGTAAGGCACTTTGTATTATTTTCTGATCTGAAGGGCAAGCTGAAGCTTATTATGCAATTTGATGGACTGTACAGATATTAAGTGGGCCCTGCTTTTCATTTATTTTCCGTCTAGGTAAATCCCCTCTTGAGAGGATGCGGATTGAAGAACAGAAACAAGCATCTGGATGCTTACATATTTAGATTAGAAAAACCAGTTTCTTGGTAGATCATTTCTTAGATTGTTTCTCTTTAATCGCTTTACTCTCCTCCTCTTCTCCCCCGCCTTTATCGATTCACCTGTCTCCCGAAACTGGCAGACTATAGTGTAACTGATCATCTCTCTCACAGAGCAAATTATGACTGAAATTCAGAAGTCTTTTTGTTTGACAACCAAAAGTCTTTTTGGTTGTTTCTGTTGTCCCCTCGCTCTGAGTAAATATTCCTGGATCAGGTTTTTGTGTGTGTGTGTTTTCCTTTACTAATAGATGGTGGATTAAAAAGATATAATCTTAATATGTAGCATTTACTACATTGCTCATTCTTTCACTATTTCTGGTCCTAAGATTAATGTATTCAAATTTATTCAAATACTTCATGGTGTTGATGAAAAGAAATAAAGCAAATAAGAACAAAAACTAGACGGTGGTTTCCACTGCAAAATGTTACAGCCCTCATTTTTTTTCTCACGTATCTAATATTTTCTTATTTAACAAAAGAAGCCTATATAGGTTACTCTTTCTTTTGTTTCTTTTTTTTTTTCTGTGCTGGTCCTGGGACTTGATCCCTGGACCTCAGGGCTGTCCTAAGTTTTGTGCTCAAAGCTAGTGTTCTATTTTTGAGCCACAGCTCTACTTTCATGGTGCTTAACTGGAAATAAGAGTCTCACTGACTTTTCTGCCCAGGCTGGCTTTGAACCATGATCCTCAAATCTCTGTCTCCTGCGTAGCTGATATTACAGACAGGAGTCACTAGCACCTGGAAGTTATTCTATTTTTCACATGACAGTTAATTTAGTTTATCATTGCTTTTCTGTATGTAAGCTCAGTCACAAGTCCCCCCAAACAGGAATGTTATTATTTAAAAAGAAAGATAAAAATGCTTACAGCTTCACCTGGAAGACCACGTGGCCCTATTTCTCCATCTTCTCCCTGTCACCAAGCAGATGCAAGGGCAGTACAATTAGGTATCATTTTAAAACAGTTTTTTTACATTAATTTTTGTTGTAAAGGTGAGGTTCAGGGAGGCTTACAGTTTCATAAGTCAGGCATTAAGTACATATCTTTTTAAACAGTGACACGCCCTCCCTCATTTTCTCCCAGTTGTTTTATTCCTGTTCATTTTTAAACAAATTTATTTATTTATTAAAGGTGTCTTTTAAAGAAATGAAATATTACTATACCCTCATTCCATCATCGCCTGGAAGGCCTGGAGGGCCTTGGGGACCGCGTTCACCCTAACAGAAAAAGACAAATATAATTAGCACAGGAAATAAGTCTACCAGGCCGCCATCTCGTACAGGCATAGCAGGACACGTGGCCAGGAAAACTTAGGTTCTAGTTGCCTCTCTGGTACCTCAGACATAATTACAACTTTGCCATTCTCCCTAGCTTTACATATTACTATGCTAGGAAAAATGTAATCTTTGTTTAACACCAAACATTTAAGTAATATACGTCCCCAAAGCACTTCTCAAATGAGTTAAAGCATTAAGAAACTTACTTGCTACAGATTGTTAGGTAAGGATTTACTTTGTGTATGTGTATATAAATATGTTTTAGTTTTCAATCATTTACATTAATCAAGCATAATTCAAGAAGACTAAGTGAATTTCTTGTTTTAAGAGAAATTATAAAGGGAGTTGAACTAAAATAGTAGGTAGTGTTTATTATCTAGCAAGCTCTAGATTCTTTCAAGAGCTCTAAATCCAATCACCATTATCAAAAACAAAACAAACAACAGCTGTATATATGAACTCTCTCTGTTTAATATCCCACTGAAAATATCCACGGGAATGCTCTTCATAATGGTGGTTTGTTTAGCTTTGGCAAATTATGAGTTCTTGCATTGGAGAAAACCTCATGCCATCACAAAGTAATAACAAATTGGCAGTATGTTATTATACTCGTTATTATACTAATGGCAGACTGATCACAGATGTCTTTTAAGTGTATTTCCATGGACAAAAACTAAGAAAGAAATTTAGGAATTTTTAAGGAAGAAGGTACAAAATTAAATCATGTCTTTCTATTGACATCTTCTTTCCCCACGTCCACAAAACTAAACGTCTTATCTCAACTTAGTATAGATACTAGAGTCTCTTTATATGAAATGTCTGAAAACAATTTTAGAACTGATACTGTACAAGTGGTATTATCTGTGTTTCCCAGAACTAGATAGAATGACTGATAAATGGATTCACAAGTATTTGTTTTCTTCTGATTTCCTAAAGCCCCTTAGTGCTGGCATGTTTCATAGCATTCACATTATTCCAGGACAAAAACGTAACAGCAGAAGCTTACCCTGTGACCTTTGTCCCCTGGCAGACCAGGTAGGCCATCAAACCCTCGATCTCCCTGTAAAAATCACAATCATCGTCACCAAACAGTCCAAACATGCACTGCAATTCGAATGTCAAATTTCATTTTGCATCTTCCACTTTGGTGACAGCATATATAATTTCCCAGGGTAAAATGACAAACAAGAGGTGAAGATCCAAATCCCTGACCCAGGATGAACTGCTGACCTTTGACCCAGGTTCTCCAGGCATTCCTCTTCCTCCATCAGCACCTGGGCGTCCCTGGTGAAACCCAAGAATAGAATTCAGCCAAAGGGATACCTATCAAGAGGAAGCTACAGAAAACAAATTAACTGATCATGGCAATTTGAGCAAATTAACCATGAACACTTGGCCATACCCTTTTTCCGGGTTTTCCTGTCGGACCAGGTGGACCTTGAACACCTCGAGGACCCTAAATCAAACCATTGAAAGCAGAGGGTAGAGTTTTGGATTAGTAAGCACAATATCTCCAAGAGAAATGGCTTCAGAGATTGATGTCCTCTAGGAATTTACTTCTATATAAAATAGTCACATAAAACACAGAAGACAAGGGAACTAAATTTTTAGCAACAGCTTCTCATAAGAAAAGACATACTGCTATTTCAGTTTGTTGTGTAGACGTGATTGTGTAATAGCAAAAAAAAAACACAAAAAACACAGAGTATCATGATGAATTTCTAAAACTTGCAAATATCCCGAATTATGCATTTCTTCACAGGGGCTTCACATTTCCATTGACTGAAAGCCATCCATTCCTATTTTCTTCTCTTTTTAAACCTTCTTCACTTTTCCTCACATTTTTAAAATGTCTTCTAGTCATTCTCTTTCTCATTCCAGTTATGTTGAATAGTGATTACCATTTCCCATATTTGAATATTTCTATTAGATTATTAGCTACTAAAGTTTTCAAGTTTCTGTTTCAAATACTTTTTTTTGAAATTCCATTTCATTATTTTTTTCTATTTTTTTTTTATTGTAAATACATAGGGGTTACAATTCTATGAGCAAGGTAATGAGTACATTCTTTAACTTAGGACAACTCCTGTGATGTGTTTCTCCAATCATGTCCAGAATGCTGGAGAATTTCTTCTTCATTTCCCATGGGTTAGCTATGCATTTAGTAGCAATACATCCTAATGTTATCTTAACGCATATCTTATACCAGAATTGATAAGCATTTTTAAAATATATTACTACATAGCTAATACTAAATCAAGAGTATTGCCAGTACAAATATTATGTATGCCTCTATATTTATCCTTTTATACTCTTCGACATTAACATTAAATATTAGTATACACTGAATGCAATAGAAAATAAACATTTGAAATTATAAGTAACTTTACAATTACTGCAAAATGCACCTTCTTGAAATGCAATGATAAGATTAACTAGGGTCTCAAATAAATTATGGGCTAAGAACATAGCTTTAAGAATAACTTGCTGCCACATTTGTGAACTTTGCAAAATAATTATAGTCTGGCCCTTCATGTATTGAATGTTAATATCTTGATGCAGTTCTCAGGAAGTACAAATACCTTCCGTGCCTCTAGAGACATATTAATGAAGCTTGAGAACAAGGCAGCGTTATCTTGAGTTAGTCCAATAATTTCAGCAGTTTTCCCTGGATTTTTGTTTTTTCATTTTTGCCAAAAGCTGTGGTTCACATATACAAGGGAACGCTCCTCCTAGTAATAAACTCTTGGATCCTTAAACAGATTTGAGCTTATATGTTCACATTTTTCTCAATTTCCTCACCACTCTGAACGTTTGAGGCTGGTTGAGTTCTTTTAAATATATTAAATAACTTTTATGAGACATGGCGCTAAATTGACTCTCCACAGAAAACATGGGCAACTATAATTGTTCTGCCCCGCTCTACAGAATCTCTAGCTAATTGAGTATTCAGAAGGCTTATTTCTTTCAAGTCTGCTCCAATTACAATTGAAATATTGTTTAAGTTATCCAGATTATTGACCGCCAGTGGTCAACTATTTGATTTATCAATTAAGGAGAGGATGGGAGTTTTAAGGTAAATAGATTTCTTTACTTGCAAAAAGAGACAACAGATGTTTCATTAGTACTCATATGTAAAATGCAGTCAAGAATAATTGGGTGTGAGGAAGAATAGACTATTTGTTTGTTTTACCTGAGGACCTGGGTCACCACTCTCACCTTTGGCCCCCGCAGAACCAGGGCCCCCCTGTAGAGAAAAATTGAGAACATAACCCAGTTTAGCTATCACCTAAGCATTTTAACCATTTCCATTATTGAAATAAACTCACATATTTAGTCACATTGTTAAGATCTCATTAATTAATGCAATAAGTTTTCAAGTCTACTTCTTTTGTTTTGTTTTGTTTTTTGTCAGTCTTAGGACTTCAACTCTAGGCCATGGGCGCTGTCCCTCAGCCCATAAGCTCAAGGCTAGCCTAGCGCTCTACCACTTGAGCCACAGCACCACTTCCAGTTTTCTGAGTGGTTTTATTGGAGATAAGAGTCTCACAGACTTTCCTGCCCGGGCTGGCTTTGAACCACAACCCTCAGATCTCAGTCCCCCTGAGTAGCTAGGATTATAGACGTGAGCCACCAGCACACAGCTTCAAAGTCTACTTCTCAACATACAACTGATCTCAGTATATTAACTGAATGTCAGTGTGTGAACTATAAGCAAAAATATAGTTCACTCATTTCTATGAGAAGTTATTTCCATGAAATCAGAGCACTTTTTGCTCTGATTTTTACAACATTTGCGTTGATAAATAAAGCATTATTAAATCAATCTATACTGTGATATAGTACTGTGGCATATTTTAATGAATCATATTGAATTGAGTCCTTTTATATAATAAAAAATTTGGCAAAATTCTGCTCATTTTAAAGACAGGGATTTTTAGATGCTGAATGGCATAACAATAAAATTTCCCAGACAAATGTTATTGGTATAATTGTTCTGAAAAACATGTCAAAGCATTTGTTCCTAGCTGGCTTTTCTTTTCCTGATGAAAATAACTTAGAATAATTATTGGTTGCTATAAACATACATAATTTGAAAAGAGCTATGAAAATTTGGCTTGTTAGCAATATAAAAAATAAATTGCTTCATAAAGGAGTTGTAAGTTCAAAAAACATATACACTAGGCTAATCACACTCCCTAAAAGCATTGTAACATTAAAAATGAACACAGCAGTTATAGTAACTTCATGATGAAGACATATACTGTGTATGTTTCAGTAGTTTCTGATTCTTAAAATAATCAACACATATTCTATTGATTCAAGTATTGTATCAAACCACAATAAAAATGAGCATTATGAAAAAAAATCTATGAAAAGCTCTCTAGAGCCTCCTGGTGGTACTCAAGTAAAGTAACTATTACGATTATTCCCAAGAAATATAGGAAGTCAGGAAGCATAAGTTTTCTAATACTGAAAATTAAAATAATCATGACTTTCTACCTTCAAATAAAGGATTCTTGCAACTGACTTTCTGCAGGAGGAAGTACAGAGCTTTTCTTTAAATCTGATTATTAATCACTGAATAGAATATAGTTATTAAATGACCCGTTTATTCATAATTAATTAGTTGCATTATATAACCTGCTTATGAGCACTAATTAATCAACAGATTAGTTAGTACCTTGCCTAAGGACACACTTTAAAAATTGTCCCATAAAAACATAGGATCAAAATATGGGAAAAAAACAATCTATATATTCTGTGCATATTAAAAATAGCTAGACTAAAATAACTGCATAAAATATGCTTACATTAAGATAATGTATATATTATTTTGAAATATTGATATAGACTTTTTAAATTTAATGGATTTAATACATTGTACTCTAAAATCAGATATTTGAAACTGTAACAATGCGTTGCTAGAGAGTATAATAGAAATAATAATTAACCATTTTAAAGCAATAATGCTGAAAAGAAAATGAAAATGGTGAGTTATTTTCTCTCCATGTCTATGCTTTGACATTCTCTTTCATATATTTTTTTAAGTTTTTAATTTTTTTGTTGGTCAGGGCCTGAACTCTGGGCCTGGGCACTGTCCCTCAGCTCTTCCTCAGCTCAAGGTTAGTGTTCTACCACTTGAGCCACAGTGCCACTTCTGATTTTTTCAGCTTATGTGGTGCTGAGGAATCGAACCCAGGGTTTCATGCATTCAAGGCAAGCACTCTACTACTGAGCCACTTTCCCAGCTTTTTAATATTTTTAATCAGCATAAATTAAATATACAAGAAGGTGATACTCACCTAAATGCTTGTGGTGTACTTTGACAAAGTTAACCCCCTCTATATTAACTTTCTTCATATCTTTTTGAGTGTGCTAGTACTGGGTTTGAAAATATATTGACTTTTTTTTTTTTTACATTTTTGCTGCTATTACTAAGACCTTATAATTTTTTTCTTCCAGTCATAAGGCCTGAACGCTGTCCCTCAGCTCTTCAGCTCAAAGCTAGCACTCTACCACTTGAGCCACAGCACTACTTCTGCCTTTTCTGAGGAATCGAACCCAGGGCCTCCTGCATGCAAGGCAAGCACTCTACCACTGAGCCATCTTCCCAGCCTCAGGGCTTACAGTTCTATAGGTCAAGTTATGGGTATATAACTTGGTCAGTGTCACCCCTTCCTTCTTTCCTCCTCATGTTCCCTCTCCTATCCCTACCCTGAAGTGCCATAGGTCAGATTTTACATAATGTAGGCTGACTATAATGACATTTGCTACCCTTCCTCCCTCAATTTGTGTGCCCTCCCATTTGCTCACTCACCCCCCTCAAACATATCTCCATTTCCTGGTACTTTTTTAGATAAACAGTTCGTTAGTTGTTCAGAGGAGTTAGGCATTTGGATTCCTCCTCTAAGTATATCCTTAGTCAGTTTGTTTGGATGCTAATGCACTGAGAAAGTATGTTTTCTGTTTTCTTCTCCAAACTCCTTGTTGTGTTCTTAGTGATACTCCTTCCGTAACATATATGCTTCATCCTTTCCCTTTCTCCCTACCCCACTGGCTCACAGTCCCAGAAAGACAAATATTGCAGAATTTAGACTTAAAAATAAATTCTTTAATTACCTTTTTACTAGGACACTGATTAATAATGTTTATGTGGTTATAAACATCTTTTTTTTTTTTTTTTGTCGGTCATGGGTCTTGACCTCTGGGCCTGGGTGCTGGCCCTCAGCTCTTCAGCTCAAGGCGAGTGTTCTACCTCTTGAGCCACAGCACCACTTCCGGTTTTTTGTTGGTTAATTGCAGATAAAAGTCTCACGCATTTTCCTGCCTGGGCTGGCATTGAACCGCGATCCTCAGATCTCAGCTTTCTGAGTAGCTGGGCGTGAGCCACTAGCTCCTGACTCTTTGCCAAGGCAATCTGATACAACTCAATGACCCTTTCTAATTGGTGAAGGATCTAATATGGCCTGCGTCTCTTGGCTATAGTCAATCTCTACCCTTACTCTGCATAAGCAGTTATTTGTGATTGTCACCATGATTCAAAGTTCCTTTGTATAATTCACTTTTCAAGTTTCTAGAATGCAGCTTAGAGATGGTACAACAGATTTCCAAATATGTATGACCTTAAAAGTCAATCTAGGCATTCATGAAAATGCAGTTCATTAGGTCCAATTCTGAAAATATACAATCAGAGTCCTATGTTCTGGAACCAAAAAAAAAAAAAAAATTAAATATCAACGTAAGGCTTCATCCTCACAAAATTGTAAAACCCCAACATACTTTCTTTAGGTATGTAAATTTGAGTTTCTAACTAGCAACTAAAATGTTCACATTCATTATTTATTTTTAGGACCAATCTTACACATTACTTCATTAATAAAGAGGTATATTGGAGCTGAATGTATACCAGTAAGAACATTAGAGAAAAATTAATCACATCTTTATTAGGAACCTACCACAGGACCGGGCCTTCCAGTGAGACCCATTGGGCCTGGTGGACCTCTTAGTGCAATCTAGAAAACAAAACACGTCAAGTTCAGAAAAGTTTCAGAAAAGAGCATATTAAAACCCTGTAGCTATTTGCACAAGTACTATGGCTGTATATTACAAAGAATGAAATGAAAGTTTCTAGAATGAAAATGTCCAATGGAATTCTGAGCCATCTTTTACCATGCAGAAACTTATCATGGATGGCGTGTTAGGTTTTCATCATTAGTAAAAGTTAAAATTGATTTTAGAACAGCAAATTTAACCAGTGATAGTTTTCAACTATGAGGTATACTTGAAAATAAATATCTTTTTCCTCTTAAGTGTATGATATAATTCTTATTCAAAATTTTAATTATTTCAAATAAAATGTTTGATTTTTCTGGAATTTTTTTCCTGGAATTAAATCTTTTTCCTGGAATTATATTGGGAAAAATTATTTAAAGTCAAGCAGCACAAAACAAGACTGCGCCAGAAGTGTTAGGATGATATGATTTTAACATGCTTCAATTTATTATTATTTGCTATCTTTATCTTCTATAATAATAAGCATAGTAGACTTATTACACACTACTGTTTCACTGACTATTGAAATGTGAAATGATCATATTCAAAATGTAGGAAAACATACATTAGAAAGGAAAAAATACATTAGTATGATGTAGTGATATGATGTTTTGAACATTAGCTCGTCCAAAAGGCAAACCACAGTAAATAAAAATAATACTGTGATGGAACCATCATATTAGAATGTGTGTGAGATGTAAAGAATGAGAACTCCAACATTCCACTACTAACTCACCACAAGACTTTTTGACAATACACTTCTTAATCCTTGAGAGTAAATATCAGGAAAATTAGAATTATATGCTTGCTACCTATTTTTCAAGCAAGATAAGAATAAAATCAGGAATTCTATGGCCTTTAAACATGTGCATGCAAATAACCACCTTATACATTTAAAAATAATATCATTTATGTAAAAAGAACTCATTAGTAAATCATTATGGATATCTTTATGTTAATTACAAAAGATTTTTGCTACTTTTAAACATGATACAAATAGTGCTTTTTTAAGATTAATAAACTGGGAAGTACGTAACAAATGAGAGTGAGTTACAATTTCACTCATAGTTTGTGGTGTTCAACAATTTGAGGATAAAAGAGAATTGCTGACATAATGTGAAAATGGTTGCCATATTCATACCAATCATAAACTCTATATTTACTTTTTTCCTTCAAAAGAAATACAATAATATGAATGAAATATTAAGTAATTTATAATTCCTTCCTGATTTATTCTTTTGCTTATCACACACGTATCTAAATATGTTTTTAACTAAAATACAATTTAACTAAACAATATTTTAGTAAAAATAATTATGGTTCATAGATTACTGGCATATTTTAAATAACCTATAAGGATAAAATAAAGAACTGTCTTTCAGAGTGTAGTCTCTTAATTACATCAAACAATTAATCACTGATTCCTGCCTTCACAGGTGTGAAAGATGGCAAATACTAGATGTAAATCTAGCAATACTCTTCTGTGTATATATGCATATATATTCCTATATATACATATATATTATACATATATATTATACATATACATTTCCATTATTTTAAGAAGCTAAAAAAAGGAGTTGTCATTTAACAAAGCAGTCTGTAAAAACAATGCATCTTGATCAATATCATCCTTTCAAAAATCATCTTCTTAATTTTATTTTGTACACTGAATTATTTTTTAAAGAATTTTATTGTACAGAGGGGTTTTATTGTACAGAGGAGTTTTATTGTACATATGTAAGGTAATGAATACATTCTTGTATACTGAATTTTTGATGTCATTTGCCTCTTCTCTTTATTTGCCTACTACATTCTCCTTGATCTCACCCAACCCAACCCCTTTCAAGTACCTGGTTTCTGGTGTCTATTTTGTCTTTCTAGGAATTACACTATTTGAGTTTGCCTTTGAATCTACTGTATTTCAGTTAATACATCTGTGTATACTTGCATACCACCCAATGTATTTTCTTACAAGTTATAAGCCAATTCTAGCTTCTACACATAAGGGAAATCATGCTTCCCTTTGTCTCTCTCGTCCTGACTTACATAATTGTCATATCATTTTCCCAGATGTTTTCATTTCTGTACAAATGGTACAGCATCATTCTTTCTAATAGATAAGTAAAATATGAAAATTCATGTGTGTGGTAGGAGACTCTCAGAATTACAAGGGTCAGGTATTTATTAAGTAATGACTATGTATTGCTACAAAAAATGAATATAATTTTACCATTTTCTACCTATGCATGTATACTGTTCATAATGGTAGACTTTTCATGGGCAGGCATGTGTATTTGACATAGTGTAAGGTTTTGAGAATCAACATGATTTCTTACCCGAGCCTGCTGCAGAATGGCCTGGGCTTGTGCTTCCTGAGCAGAGATGGTTGGTCCTTTGGAACCATCACCACCATAACGGAACTAAGACAAGACAACATACAGAAAATCAAAGCTGAGCTTTCTTAAACTTGTTAAGTCAAGTACCTTAATCAACAGACAAAAACGACTTACCTGATGTGTTAAATTTTACAAACTCCAAACACACTCACAGTGGGAAATCATGGTGTTTAAATTCTATTAAAATTCTGCAGCTATCTCTTCTGGAAAAAGGCTCTTCTAGCATTTAATCATTTGTGAAAAAGATTAGAAAGTGTTTTCAAACTTTAAATTCTCTAACTTCAAATACTTTAGAAAAACCATCATGTTATTTCTAGCTACTGCAATTCTACTCATGCTACCAATTCGCTTGTAAAAATTCCTAATGAACTAACTCCAGAAATGGCTGATCTCAATGTTGACCAAAATTTCTGGCATCTTCACAAACACAGAGCTAATATTTTCCTTCTAGCATGATCATTTTGCTAATTCTTGAGCAATATACTAGAAAATAGATCTTCCCCACATCCCTTCATAAAATTTTAAAGATCTGATTTAATTTCAAGTTCAGTGAGAGTAATTTTCACTCTAAGTAATAATTTCTTTGAATTTTATTCCATTGAAAATAATCAATCAAAAGAGTTTTACAAAGGACTCATCCAGTGAAACCAATCAATTTTGGACAATGAAAAATAGCATAGTAGATATGACTTCTTAAAAGTCAATCAACTCTTGTCAATATAATCATATGATGTTCAATAACATCTGAAACATCTTTTTTGAGTACCACCAGTCAGTGTAAGGAACTACTTGACTAGAAACATTAAGAAAATCTTTGACAAAAGTGTGATCAACTGTTTTAACAGTTTCAGTGCAGAGATTCTGAGTGCTTACCAGAATTACATTAAAATTCCCCTAATTTCCAAAAGCTCTTTGATACCATATTTTTCTAACTCATGAAATGTGACAGTTTTTGTTTGGGGGGTTAATTTTGGTTTGTTTGTTTGTTTGTTTGTTGTTTTGGTCAATGGTATAGTTAAAAGTCTTTTTCAGATACAATATGACAACGCAATCATCTTCACAAAATTCACATACCGGTAACATCAGCATAGTACCAGGAGGGCCAGGCAGGCCATCAGCCCCTGGTAAGCCAGGGCGTCCGGGGGGGCCCTAGGAGAATAAACGAAACAAACAAGATTTGTCAGAAGTAAAATAATTTAGGACAACACAAGTCTACATTATGGAACTCTCAATTGCCTTCTTCAGGTTGGTAAATTAATAAAACTCCTTTTAGTTAATATATCTACAAAGGAACCTTGTTTCTTTGCACATGTTTCTGAGGGTTTTACTAATCCTTGGTTATTAATGTACAATGAAATCAATGTAAGGATTCTGTTCAAACTGCAGAAGTTAAAGTATTCCCACATACTGTGGGGACAATCCCTATGAGGAAAATTAGGGAAGCAAGTAACATTCTTACAATTCAAAACAAAACTTAAACTGGACATCAATGGCTCATGGCTATAATCCTATCTATTAAAGAGGCTGAGATCTGAGGATCATAGTCTGAAACCAGAATAGTCAGGGAAGTCTATAAAACTGATTTCCAATTAACCACAAAAAAAGCTGACACAACTTCCTGGAGCAAAAATACTAGGGTAGGCACCTATGCCCTGAGTTTAATCCCCAGGACCAGCAAAAAAACAACAGATAGAAAAGAAACTGATCCACCACCGGTGGCTCACTCCTATAATCCTAGCTGCTCAGGAGGCTGAGATCTGAGGACCACAGTTCAAAGCCAGCCCACCAGAAAACCAGAAGTGGCTCTGTGGCTCAAAGTGGTAGAGTGCTCACCTTGAGCTGAAGAGCTCAGGAGCAGCACTCAGGCCCAGAGTTCAAAACCCACAACCCACAAAAAAAAAAGAAAGAAAAGAAATAGAGAAAAATGAGGACAGGGGTTAGAAGTTTGACAAGAAATGTACTCACTACCTCACTTATGCAACTGTAATCCCTCTGTACACTACCTCGACAATCAAATTTAAAACAAAAAGAAAAGAAAATGAAAGAAACAAATTAATGTATGTGTAAGTATTCTTTAATAGTCTATTTAATAGACCACCTAGATATATTATGTTCATCTTCATGTTACATGACATGTCCTTTTTGAAATCAATATTTCATGAATAAAATCATTAATCTTAATATTAAGAATAACATGTTAAATTTAGTCAGAATCTCATTTTTAAAGTATACTTAGTGTGTGGATTTATGCAGGCAAACTTATGTATGCGTGGAAGCATTTATGCCAGTTAACAATAGCTATGTATATGATTATAAAGAATATCACATATAGGTATGTGGGTATATGCAGATGACTTGTATATAATTGTAAAACCCTTCACTCACCCTATCACCAGGGTCACCGGGGGGTCCAGAAGGACCCTGTAGGCCTGGGGGACCCATAAGGCCCTACAGAGGAGAAAACATAATAACAAGATGTCAGTAAGGACTCTCACTTCATTAGCATGCATGCACATTCAAGTTGCTAACATCAACAAGCACTTCACTTATACTTAATAAATACAGCCTTACCTTGGAAACACCTGTCATACTTAGCTTCCTGCAAGAAGACAACTTAGAGCAGCTACTGTTAGCATACCTGCTCCTTTAGGAGGCGGATCTCTGGTGAAGGCCAAGTTCACCAGATAAACCAGGACAGAGAACATGGTAGTGTACAGACCCAAGAGGAATGCTGGTTGCTAGTAATTTCTAAAGAAATGCTTTACACCTAACAGTAGACCTAAAAAATATGATAGAAACTTGAAAATGCAAGCCTTTACATATTTTTATCTAGGCATGTCAAACATTATTGCACCTATGATCCTAGTTACTCAGAAGGCTGAGATCTGAGGATCACAGTTTGAAGCCAGCCTGGGTAGGAAAGTCCATGAGATTCTCATCTCCAATAAACTACTTAGAAAAGCCAGAAGTGGCATGGTGACTCAAGTGGTAGACTGCTAACCTTGAGAAGATGAAGCTCAGGGATTGTGCCCAGTCCCTGAGTTCAAGCCCCAGGACTGGCAAAAAACAAAAACAAATAATAACAACAAAAACAGCTCCACTGTAATTAGAAATCTCAGTTCCAAGCAGAGACATAACTACATCTTCTTAATAAATAAAAGAATACCATTCTTTCTAATTTTATAATTTCCCTGATAATTGGTTAGAAAGTGTATACATATTTAAGGGACAAAAATCTTCAAAGTCAGCTCTAATTACGATGCTCCAAAGAAAGAGCAAATCAGAAGAGAGGGCAAATCTACCATGTCTTCTAAAATATTTGCCATTAGCATTTGATATTCTAATTTCTCTCAAATATACAAATCCAATAATAGAAGAATCTTATACATTCAATTGCTATAAACATCAGAAAAAAATATTCTTAGATGGTTTACATACTGCAGGTCCTGCTGGTCCAGGGGGTCCTTCAACAAGCATTCCCTATAGCAAGAAAAGACAGGCAATCTTTACCTAGAAACACCACTGTCAGTCTCTTAACTAAGTGACTATAACAGAACACTGTATCATTGCATTTTAAGTAAACAAACTGTTGTACGTTTATAATCTTTAGCTGCTCAGGAAGCAGAGAACCGGAGGATCGCAGTTCTAGGACAAGTGGGCAAGAGTGTTAGCAACACCACAAACTAATTACCCAAGTGGATGTGGTGCTGCACACCAGCTAAAAGTGTAGACATTTTACCATGTGTGTAGAATTACACCATGGTATAACCCCTGCTTTCACTATATATGATGTTGGTATATGTGGAGGGGAAGGGAAAAAACAAATTGTTAAAACAGGAATACAGGAGGACCCATTGCAACAATGAGATGTACAAGTCGTTATGTAGAAAAACGAACTTTACAACTTTGGTGGGGGGGACCGAGGTGGGGCGGGAGGATACGAAGGGATGGGAAGGGGAAACAAAGCAGGAGGCTACAATGCTTGATAAGAAATGTGCTCATTATCTTACCCATGTAATTGTAACCCCTCTGTACAGTATTTTCACAATAAAAATATATTAAAAATATAATTATACCATGGGCAAAATATAGACCTTGTCCAAGAAATAACTAAAGAATAATCTGGGGTTGTTGCTCAAGTGGTAGAATACTGGAAAGTGCTGTGGGTTCACACTCCATGTTGCCAAAAACAAAAGCTGACTTTTCTATTCCTAAAATTATAAAATTAGCTACAAACATGTTTGCTCAGGAAAAGGGAGAATTACAGAAAAAAAAAGAAATGGACATTTAACAGCACAAGTGTTAGCAAGAAAAAGATTTTGGACTGGGTTTTCCCTGGTGCTCAGGGAAATTCTATCACTAGATAAGAATTTGACAAATCTACATGTGTGAAGGAGTAAGCAGAAGTGCTAACCTGAGCACTTGTGTTCAGGAAAGTGGAGAAAAATCCAGTCCAGAGGAACATAGAGGACATATAAGATATACTCGAGGCAAGAAGAGGGTTATGGGAAATATTCATGATTGAAATGAAGTTGGAAATGATAATGTCTACTTAAAAATGTGTTGGTGAGGGGCTGGGAAGGTGGCTTAGTGGTAGTGTGCTTGCCTTGCATGCATGAGGTCCTTGCATGCATGAGGTCCTGGGTTCGATTCCTTAGCACCACATAAGCAAAAAGAAAAAAGCCAGAAGTGGTGCTGTGGCTCAAGTGGTAGAGTGCTAACCTTAGGCTGAAGAGCTGAGGGACAGCGCCCAGGACCAGAGTTCAGGCCCCACGACCGGACCCCCCCCCCCCAAAATATGAGTTGGTGATGTTTTATAACAGATAAATTTACTTTGAAAAAATCTCTAAGCCTGTCATAGATATGGACAGCCAAAGACCTCAAAACTTGTAACATTATTTTTTTAACTTTATCTCTGTTATTCTTTGTATTTTTAATATCTGTGTCCTTGCCATTTGTACAAAGACACCATGACTCTGAGTTAAACATGCTACTCCCAATGATAACGCGTTTACACCCTCAAGTGGTGGGCTTAGAAGAACAATAGTAAAATTACTTCTTAGCAAAATGTTCCTCATTGATACTGAGGGTAACAATAACAACTCAAATTTTAGAATTTTTACTTTGGAAGGAAATAGAGATTTATTTCATCATAGAAGTCAAAGAGGTGATTTAATATATATATATATATATATATATATATACACACACACACACATATATATATATATATAGTAGAACAAAATACAATTTGGATCTGAAAGAATTAAATGTGCTAACTAATACATTTCTAATACATTAAGGGAGAAATCATAAGGATTAAAAATTAGGGAAGCTAAAAATCATGTCCTATTTGACATTTGAAACTTCATTTTGGATGAGGGGGTTTTAGAAAGATACACATTAATTTAAAGTGTTTGAGCTGACCGAGTTCACATATACATTATAGGTATCCAGGATGTATGTATTCAGTCACACATATACTTTTTATTAATTTTTTAATCTGAGCTTCAAGAGGTTGTACTGAGGGTTCCCAATTTGACATGTCCAGTTAAGTGCTCACTGCTTCCTGAACAGTCACCCCTTCCATCTCTCCACCCCTCCCTGTTTCTTCTGTCCCCCAGACTCATTTCACATTCTCCATTTTCTCTATCACATATGTACACCGAGTATTCTGACTATATTTGTCCTCTGCTCCCTATTTTATTCATCCTACTACCCCCCACCTGCTACCCCGCCTAGGAAAATTATTTTAGACCATTTTGGTTCATTTGTGTTGCTGGCAAATGAGAGAATCAGACTGTTAAAAAAAAATCTCAGATACTTTCCAATTCCAAAATGGCATATCTGTATAACTTCTTGGTTTCACTGAAACCGCATTTCCCAGAAGGGACATTTATGACTTACTTATTAGTGGCAGATTGTTGACATCAGGCCACAAAATATTTTCACTGTCAATGCATGAACAGACACTTGTAATTAAGGATGATGGTGGTTTATAATATGAATTAAACAGTATCTCCAATGTATTGAAGCACAACTTACAGGTTCCACCACAGCCGGTTCACCCTTCTGTCCTTTTTCTCCATAGGCACCATGGCCATTTATCTGTTGGATGAAAATTTTCAAACAGCCAAAATGACTTTGATCCAATACATCCATTTTTCAAGGGTTGAAGAAAAATTTAATCACCTTAATGTATTTAAAACAATCATTAAGTATGTACTTTAAACAAGAGAAACTGACTACAGTCCAGTAGTGGAAATACACATTAATATTTAAGATGAGACAAAAGAGTAACTTCCTATCAGAGAAACATGACGATTTCAGTAACCTCATTTACTAGGTTACTTAATGATTAACAGATTTGATATCATTGGATTAAATTAAAAATAATAATCTAAAATGAAAAAATCAGGCTTACTAATGGTAGTAACAGTGGCTATATTTTAATTTTCTTAATGACAAGAAATGCTGGATTTAACTCTATTCAAGGTTATATAGTCAAAGGAAGATTCCAGCAAAGAGGACTGAGATGACCACCACCCCCTCCCCTCTTCCCCACCAAGAGGCTTAAGAGGCTAACTTTTTGTCATTGATATACAAACTCAACCTGCAATGTTAAACCTGAAAAGACATTGAGACAAAGATGAAAACAGACAAACCCACGAAGAAGACACATAAGGACACACAGCCTAATGCTGACTTACACTTGTCTCTGTGAAATCAGTTTCTGCTGGTACGCCTGGCCCAAATTCTTCAATAGAGGGGCTGGTTGGTTTATCTTCATAGTCATAAAAATCATATTCGCCTAAATCTCCATCTACCGGAAGGTCAGAGTCCCTGCCGTCTATTTCTTTGTTTTCATATAGTGTATCCTCGGAATTTTTCCTCTGAGGGTCATAATCCTCTCCAGTAAGATATTCTTCAGTAAAACCTTCTTCAACAGGATATGGCTATTCATGTAAGTTGTAAGGGATTGGAGAATATGACGTTTACTGTTAGTAAAGCAAGGTAAGCATGTGCGATTACAGCTTAATGGCATGTGACGAGAAAAAATTTTTATTACTACTCAAGTAAGACTGAAGGCCAGGAAAGCTTTCAGTCTCATTGGAAGAAATATATTTGTACATTTAGATGCACAAAGAAATATTGCTTTCCAAAAGCTTTCATAGAAAATAACTTGTTAGTTGACTTTAGTTTTTAAGATTTGAAAATTTTAATTATGCACACCAGTAAATTTTCAAATCTTACAGCATATCATTTTGAAATATAATGGCTATAAGCTTGATATTCAGTCCCTGAAATAAAATATCAGTGATCTATTATTGAGATGATTACTCAGAATATAGTATATGCAGAAAAGCATATACTTACTGGAAGTAAGTAAAATATGAATTACAGTTCTCACAATTTATTATAATAAGATAGAAAATATTAATAAATGATCCTATAAGGGATGAGTATTCGAGATCTGATAGTGCATAATCTCATAATCCCAGGTACTCTGGAGGCAAAGACTTGGAGATCTGTTGTTCAAGTTAACTTGAGAACAGCCCCAAGACAGTCTCAAAAATAAACATGGAGCTGGGCACCAGTGGCTCACACCTGTAATCCTAGCTACTCAAAAGGCTGAGATCTGAGGATTGTAGTTCAAAACCAGCCCAGGCAAAAATGTCTATGAGCCAGAAGTGGTGCTGTGGCTCAAGTGGTAGAGCACTGACTTTGAGCACAAAGAGGTTCAGGGACGGTGCCTAGGTCCTGAGTTCAAACCTAGGATGGGCAAAAATGAACAAATAAACTGGGTATGGTTGTGCATACCCTTAATTCTAGATACTCAGTTGGAAAGGCAAGAGAACAGTGGTCTGAGCCAACTTTGTACTAAAACACAGACCTTAAAAACACCAAAAACACCATTAAAAATGTAAGGACTAGAGGCATGACTCAAATGAGAGAGTGCTTATTTAGCAAACTCCATTACTGAAAAAAAGGAAAAAAAATAGGCCAAAACTATATATATATGTATATATATATAAATATATATCTTCCATATATATGCATATATAATATATATTATAGGTATATATATTATACTATATATATCTAAAACAAATGGTATAATTTTCTTTTCCTCATGATAATTTCTTATGGATAGCATAAATTCCACTATATATATATATATAAATATATATATAGTAAATTTTATGCCTTTTGTGTTTGATAAGGAAAAAAATAAATAACTTTTTGAATTTCACTTTTAAGTAGCATGTTTTCCAAGGTAACTGAATATAGATGGTAGAGTAATATTGAATAGATAAGCAATAGCATATTATGTGAATAAAAATATGTAGATATTTATTCACAACACCTTGATTGACTTAGAAATTGTTAACTAAAATAAAATGCCTAATAATCATAATATTTGTACTCTTAGATAAGGAATATGGATGATCAAAATATTAAATAATTATATCCCTGAATTAAAAGCTTTGCTTGAGTTTGAATAGATTAAAACTTAAAATTATCCATACTCAAAATATTATTCTAAAATATTTGCATGTTTTTTTGTCACAATGGGACAAATGTTTACAAATATACTAAATTACTCACAGACTCTTTAAATTCATTTTCTGATTTGAAGAACATATGTTAAAAAAGTAAACTGGATTGGAATTTGATCTTTTTCATGGTCAGATTCCATGTCCAGGCCAGGCAACTCCCACCTCCCATCCTAGCTGCTCAAAAAGCTGAGACCTAAGGATTGTGGCAGAAAAATTGGGGAGATTCTTATCTATAATGAACCAGTGCAGGTGTGGATCAAGTGGTAGAGCACCAGCATTGAGCACAGAATTTGAAGGGATAATCTGAGTTCAAGGCACAGTATTGGTACCAAAATAAAAAATAAAAAACTCATGTAAGATACAAAATTCAGGAAGGAAGATTTATATCAGTGTGCACTTAAATATTTTTCACAGAAAATTATGGAATGGTTAACATATACTATTCAAACATAATTGATCTTACATTCTTTACAAGTTTGAAAACAAAAATTGTTATCAAAATCCACTAAGAGTACATTCACTCAAAACTCTTGCTGATGTTAGAATTATGCGTGATTATGGCTCAGCTGAAATGAAATTCTAATTGTATCAGTGAATGATACAATTTTCACTTCAGAAGATTCTTCTCAGAACCATTGCGAGAATGTCACAGGAGCAACAGTGAAAATGGTATCATTGGCCAATTCAGTTTCACCAGTTTTCTCCTTGCATAAAGCAAAGAATTATGCAAATCCTGAATTGCCATTGTCTGTGAATGAACAGCTTATAGTAATAGTAACCCAATGCTATGGTTTCTCTGACCCTTCATGAAACTATAAATACATCCCATGTTTTAGAAATTATTAATTCTTCCAGAGTGAAGCACATCAAAATTTATTGAACATTAAAAAGAAAAACAGTCAATGCTGAGGTAAGGCTACTTATGTGTATTACCTCATTCGTGCCAGACACAGGAACAGGAGTTTCTGTCTGGTAACTTTCCATTGTTCCATAGTTATACTCTTGGAAATCCTCTACAATATTGGCCTAATGATAAAGGTAAAAGAAAAACAATTAGCAAACATATAAGGGAATCCCAAAGAGGTGAAAAAAATCATGAATTAATTGGGGTATAGTATTAGCTAAGTGATAATGTATCTAGTTGGGGTAAGTGTATGGCTCATCATCATAGATCTTCCAGCTTATCTAGGAGAGATCTTGATTGCTTTTTTTCTTGCTACCTTTACCCCTAGCTTGGCTTTTGCTGGTGCTTGATAACTTTTCTTCTTCTTGGATGCAAATTTTTCAGATTTGGGGGGTGTAAACTTTTTGGTTTTCTTTGAGGAAGTAGTCACTGTCCTTGTCTTCTTTTTGAAATTGGATTTCTTTTTCTGTAAAACGTGATGAAAGATGGGATGGACAACATAAATAAAGTGAGAAGAGAAATAAAGAACACGGCTGAAAGGAAAGATGAGCAAAAGTGAAAGGCGGATACTGTCTGCACTCCACCAGGAAAGCTATTGTTGAAAAATAAATCCTTGTTAGTATTTAACAAAAAAAAAGGATGAATGACAGGTTTGTGATAAGTCTGAAGAACAGTTGGCACAAAGAACCACAAGATGACGAACAGTGGGACACCATATACAGAGACACTACTTTGTGTTTACCTCCGTTTGTGCTACTGTCTCCTCTGTAACAGGGGGTCCCTCTGTTACAAGCTCAGTCTCTTTATATTCTGTTTCTCCATACTCATAGTCATATTCGAAAACATCCTCAGGTGCATACTACATTGCAGAGGAAAAAATACCAGGTGTTGTGGTTAGCGGCAAGTGATACAGTTAACAAAGTGAGAATCCTGTTCTTAACCTTTTACTTAGGGTAAAGGTAAAGAGACAGGGAAATACTGTTATTTCAAAGTTACATTGCAAAAGCAAGTATTATACTGACTTCTTTGGAGTATAATAACACAGGAATGAAAAAGCATGGTTTCTAAAAGCAAGGCAGACGTTATGATTGTGAGGAAAGTAAAGGGTTTGAATCCTGATTCAAATTCTCTAGTTATTGAATATTAACTTAAACATAGCATGTTCTTGGACATAGCTATTAAATATTCATGTTAGTTTTGAATGCAAAAAAGATAGGTAAAGTTCCACTGAAAGGATTTTGTCAAAATTTCAATAGGTATGTATTTTGTTAAACAATCTGTTTAACAATGAATACATGAAGAACAATTGTCTCTAAAAGGAAAAGATTATCATGCCTATTTTGCAGGAATGAGAAAAGGAGGGAAAGGAATACAAAGAATATGACCTGGACAACGAATATGTTCTAGAAATTATAACCAATAGAAAATTGAAATCTAAAATTTATTCAGAAGTCTCTGATTTCTTGTAGAATTACCTATTTCACAATGAACATGTAATACTTAGTCTGAAATTAGTGATTTTTCTCTCTATTGAAAAAAAAGATCATACCGTTGAGGCATCTTAAATTCTTTAAACTGAACTCCTATTGGAAAAATAGTAATTTATTCTAGATACTGTGTTTGAAGGGGAGGGGTAGAAGTGTGGGAGCGGGTAGGAGGGGGAGGGAAGGGATAGTGGGAAGTGGTAACAATGATAACAATGATCGACAAGTAATGTACTCATTGCTTTACTCATGTATCCATAACCCCTCTGTACAACACCTTAACAATAAAATAAAAAAAAAGAAATAATAACTTGTAGATAAAACTTTGAAATGACTTATGAATTGGTGGACCCAAATAAGTCATAGCTAAATATGTGGAATCTCAAATAAAAAAAATTAATTTGTGAAATGAAAGAACACCCTATTTGCTAAAAGAAGAAGGAAATAATGTCTTCACTTGTGATGCTAAGTATCTACATGAAAGCTTTAATTTTCCATCAAGCACACAAATGTTCAGAAACATGAATATTTTTTAATTCAAAATAACTATTAAAACACTAATGATATACACAGCATAAAGATTTTAGCAATAAGTTCAATAAGCTCAAACTAAATTATGTACATCCAAAAAATGCAAAAAAGAACCTATCTCTACTAGAATTTTCCTTGTGTTCCTTCTAATTTCTTTTAATCTTCCAGCAAGATAGCAGTGAGCTACAAGTATTTCCGGAAGTATCTTAGAAAGCCAGCTAACAGGCTCTATTAGAGACAGCAATGCAAATGCATGCAGACTTCACAGACATAATATGTCTAAATTGATCCCATAGACATTTTGCACATCTGAGCTCAGTGAAAATAAATCCACTAGAGTGAATGCTTCTAGATGATCCAGCTAAAGGCTTATGGAAAAATAAATAGAGCATTCCTTTGGTGCTCCTTAGGGTTGCCAAAACTCCAATTTGTTAAGATTAATAAACAAACTGAGATGTTTCCCTTTTAGTGCAAAGTTCATTTGCAATGAACATACAGGGGAAGCAATACAGCAGATTCTTATTAGAATTTCCCTACATTTGGTAAAATAGAAAAACACATGTAGAAAGTAAATTTTGGGGGTTTTCATTCATTTCAGGCAAAACACAGTGCCTCAAACTTCCAGGAAATGTAATCCAAATCATTATTGAGTAAATACCATGTTTAGCTACATATTAAGTAAATACTAATGGTGACTGAATAATATCCAATGAGTAATTTTCCTATAATTACAGTCATCCATGCAGGAAGAGAAAATGTTATGTTTCTGAAATTACTAGCTACCACTTTGAAATAAAACATGTGAAAATCTGTAAGTCCAGTATCAAGTCTCTAATCCCAGTACTCAAGAAACTGAGGAAGGACAGTAATAAATTTGAGGCAGAATGGTGGTAAGTTGGAGGCCAGCTGGGGCTACATAGTGAGACCATGCCAAACATACAAACAAACAAACAAGAAGAGAGGAGAGGGAAGACGGAAAAGTGAGGGAAGGAAGAGGAAGAGAGGGAAGGGGAAGAAATTGGAGAAAAGGGGAGGGGAAGAAAGAGGAGGGAAGATATTTCCAGCTTAAACTTTAGAGTTTTAAGTTTAAGTAGCCTTTTTAGAATGAATTATAAAGATCTAAAGCAGCAAAAGCATGGAAAAAGTTGTAGTTTTAAATCGATATCAGAGGAACTAACTTTATATTCTGCTTTTCTATCCAGAGAGGAAAATCTCTTCCAACCTTCCTAATCTCTTCTATTGGAAGCCTTGCAGAATGAAGAAATGTCAGCAAAGTTGTGAGGGAAATGGGGTATAGAAGACATACATTTCGTGGAGCAGTAGAGTAAAAACCATACTTCTTTTAGGGTTTATTTAGGAGTCAATAAACAAAAATCATTTTCCTTCTTCTTATTTCTTTATCTGACCAGCATCAATTTGGGGGGGGGGGGGCAGGGAAGGAATATTTAGTGTGCTTAGGTCATCTTTGGTGTACAAGAAGCTCTATAAGCTTTTGGGAATATGCTGCTCACTGTAGAATTCTGAGAATGGCTTGATGAATACATACAAGGAGGTGCATAGAGACAGAGACTGATTCCAACTCTGAGCTCTGACTCAGCTAGGAGATATCAGAATCTATGATGAGAAAAGATCTTCTGAAAATATTGTAAACTTTGTCCTCAGCTCGTTAGACAAACAGTGTCATCAGTAAAGTCCTGTGTATCTCTGAGAAGTGATTACAGTACTTATTCGGGGGAAGTCTGTCTTTATGAAAGATTTTCTTTCCTTGGCTTTATTTTCCTTTTATATTCTTTGTAGAAAAGAATATAAATTGCATGACATATGACATTAGATGTAGTGTGTGTAAGAAGAATGATTCATATAGAAATATAACATATAAATTCTTAATATAATAAGGAGATCATTTAGTTACTGTTGTAGTTAAGAGGTAGCGTGTAAGTTTAAGTAGGATTAAAATTGATGACATTATTGTAAAATTAAAAATCTATCAATAATATATATATCTCACTCCATGATGTGTCAAGCACATACACAGTTGCATGTGGACTAGAGTGAGTTAAATGGACTAGAGTGAGTTATACAAATATAGCAATGGACAAAATTACAACTTGGAAAAAGCATAGGTGAGTTAGTGTACAAAAATGTAATGCCATAAACTTAGTGATTGCCTATTTAAGAATGTAAAGTACAACTTTAATGATTATTATAATATGCAATTTATGTTCATTAATCACTGGCAAGTTATTGTTTTGCTGTTTTGCTTAGGTAAACTATCGATTATGAAAACATATACTGAAATGACATATTAAGGACACTGTACAAAATTAATATAAATATGTCTACTAAGCTATTAACTAGCATTTTAACTTCTAGTGTGGAATGTTTATTTTTGGAAATGACAATCGAATCTAGGCTTATAGAAGAAAACTAGAGCTAATTCTTCCTTTAGGAAAGTAACAAACATTTTATTGTAACCTATTCAACATATAAACTAGTAACAAATGTAATTTTCTATTGCATTAGTCAACCAATTTCTACTATAGCTGGGTGTAATTTTTTCATCAAATTCTTCTGGTAAAAACAAATTTGTGATCATAGTATCATGTTAAATATTCATTTAAACTAAAATAGAAACAAGGAAAGCTTACTTTTAAATAAATTTTACAAGCTGAACAAGAACTAAGCTAATTTGCAATAGTTCAGCAGAAGTGACATTACAGCAGTAAAAAAATGTGTGAACAAACCACTCAAAGGCAATGTATTAAAAGTGCATACCATCCTATTTCCAAAAGTCAGAGCCACCGCTGTAACTGAAAACAATAGGCATCATTTTCCATAAGAAAGTAGCAAAGTAGCCATGTGCTAGTGGTTCGTGCCTGTAATACAAGCTACTCAAGAAAGTGAGATCTGAGGATCACAGTTCAAAGCCAGCCTGTGCAGGAAGGACTGAAATTATTATCTCCAATTAGCCAACAAAGTGCTGGAAATGAACGTGTAGCTCAAGTGTTGAGTGGAAAAAGCTAAGCAAGAAAGGAAAGAAAAGGGAAGAGAAGGAAAAAGAGACAAGGGGAGAGGTGAGAGGTGAGGGAGTGGAAGAAAGAAAGAAAAAACAAGGAAGGAAGGAAGGAAGGAAGGAAGGAAGGAAGGAAGGAAGGAAGAAAGGAAGGAAGGAAGGCAGGCAGGCAGGCAGGCAGGCAGGCAGGCAGGCAGGCAGGAGAGAAAGGAAAATGTAAATCTATAAATCTTGTCCAGTAAATGCTATATATTTAAACTGAACCTTCACACGGCCCATGACAAACAAGAACCCAAATCAATAGGTATTCCACTGTTGTCCTGGAGTACATAGAAAAAACTATTCAGTGAATCTTGAGGAAATGAACAGAATGAAGTACTTGGGAATCATTAAGCAGTTGAACAAAGTATCCAAATATTTTTTCTTTGCTCTTTAATAATTTCCTTCCTGCTCGCTTCTTAAGACATTACCTGTTTTAGGAAAACATTGACATTTAATCATGGAATAAATGATTGCAAAAGAATTTTTCTCTCTTTAAAAATAAAATGCTAATGTCAAATATATACTTTCACAGCTTAATCATAAGATCAAAGTTGAATTCATATCATAAATAACAATAAATTTTAAAAGCACTATCATCAGCTATCTTAACTACATAAAACTCAGAAGATTGGAACTCATATTTTAAAGGGAATAAAAATAGTGTCTGAGCTATCTTTTAGAACAGTTTGAGTTCTAGGTCCATTCTAAAGCTGAAAACCTAATTTTATTTCTACCAAATAAAATCTCTTAGCCTTTGTTGTAGCCATTCTATGAGAAACAAAAGGAAAGAATAAAAGCAAACCTCTAAATTTTCATTCAAATAAACCTGGCAACATTACAGTAGTAATTGTCAAAGACTCTCAGAGACAATTTCCACCTCGAAAATATATTCCTTTTATCTCCAGTGTTTGTTAACTATTTAAATGTAAAGAATAGAAATACAGCTATAAGAAATTGCAATTCATACAAATACACCACACACACAAACACACACACACACACACACGTTTGTGGATATGCTCAAATGAAGTACCTCTATTTCTGATAAAAATGAAGTTACAAAGTATTTAAGAAACAAGAAAAAAAATACTAAATATCTTGGAGTCCCTTCTCACCGGAAATATGAAATGAGTATTAAATATAATGTACAGTTTAATTGAAATTAAGAGCCAAATAGTGCAGGATATGTCCAAGACCTTGATTGAAAGTTCCTCCCTCACCTCGTCGATCTGAGGCTCCTGAGCCTGCGCAGCTTTGGGTGCGGTGGAGTCACAGTCAGGACTGTAGTGCTCACAGTAGTCATATGCGGCCTTGGGATCGCTAGAGATCAGGAACTGCTGAATGTCACCCTGAAAACAGACACAGATATCATCAGCCTAGTTAAAGATGCATGACTATAGCAAGTTCTTCAGAAGTCAACGTGTCTTTTATTTGTCCTATATGAAGAAAATGTACACACTGCTACTTTTATATAAAGACTAATCGTGAGAAAAATGAGGGAGGGGGTAACAAGTTAGACAAGAAATCTGCTCACTGCCTTACTTAGGTAACTGTCACCCCTCTGTACATCACCTTGACAATAAAATTAAAATAAAAAATTAAAAACAACTAACCATGAAAGAAACACATTTATTTCAGAAACCAGCAACAATAGAAAACGGTTGTCCTATATTATTTACAAGTTGAGGAAATCTGTGGGGTGTTCCTTCATTCATTAAAATCCAATGCACTACATTCACAGTGAACTTTCCCTGGTGAAGGGCAAATGAAATGTTAGTAAAGTACTTTACTTCTAATATTAAAAAGAAGAATAAATGAGAAAAAAATCTAAGTAGCAAAGTATTACTTTTGGACATATTTATTATGAAAAAAAGTGGTTTTAAGCATATATGAAAAGTCACATATTAGAAATCTGTAATTTTCAAAAAATGACATATTAAAATAATTAGAGTTTTCAAGAGCTTTCTATTTTGTGTGTGTATGTGTGCACACCTTTACCGGTGCTTGAAGAGTCTGGTACTCTCCCTTAGCTGTTTCCACTCAAAATTATCCCCTCTAGCTTTCTGTTAGTTAAGTGGAGATAACAATTTCAATATTTTCCTGCCCCAGCTAGCTTCAGACTGTGATCCTCAGATCTCAACCTCCTGAGTAGCAATGGTAGCAAGCGTGAGCCACCAGAGCCTAGAAAGATTACAGAGGCTGGTATTTGTTGGTAAGGTTGTGTTCTTAGTTTTCTATGTATGGCCACTGTGCTCACTGCTTGATGAGGTTAGTGATCAGCAAAGGATTTGCATAAATTCTTAAGGATTTTGAACTGTCAGGTATTTCAAGAGGCTTTATGCATCAAGGCACATATAAATTCTGACTTTTTTCTACTCTGTCTTAGCCTCTGCTTCCTGCTGTGCAGAATCTCAACATCAGCAACATCTGACATACCAAGACCTATTTAATTAAGTCTTTTAGGTCTTATAGATATCCATAAGAGTACTGGAGCTTTGCAAAGTCTTTTATGAACATCTCATTCCAGACTTTTCATTTTAAGTCTTTCTTTCCTGGTTTTTGTTTTTTTGGTTTTTTTTTTTTTGTAAAAATGATATACAGAGGGGTTACAGTTACATAAGTAAGGAATGGAATACAATTCTTATTGAAAAGTGTTACTACATTTCTCATCTTTTGCTCCATATTCTGACTATTAAATTGACATTGCCAAATATTTGCTGAAAAATCTTCATCTACCAAGTCTCATTGTCACTAAAATGAAGAAATTGTAAAAGTAAAGCTGGAATGGGGCATGGGTGGCTCGCACCTGTAATCCTACCTACTTAGGAGGTTGAGATCTGAGGATTGCAGTTCAAAGCCAGCCTGAGCCAGAAACTCCAACTGATACAGAAAAAGCTGGAAATGGTGCTGTGGCTCAAAGTGGTAGAGCACTAACCTTGAGCAAAAGAGCTCAGGGACAGCATCTGGGCCCTGAGTTCAAGCCCCATGGCCTATTAAAAAAAAAACAAAATTATATCTGGTATGTTTCATGTCCACACTCCAAGCTACCCTAAGACTAGTCCTTAGATCTCAATGAACAACAATGAAAAATCAGACAGGGTCACGCATGCCTGTCTTCCTACTTACAGAGAAGCATTTGTAAAAGAATCACCTTCTAGACATACCTGCTGTCAGCTCCCCCCCCCCCCAAAAAAAAGTGTGAGACCCTACAGGAGCAATAACTAAAGTAAAAATGGCTATAAGTATGGCTCAAGTGGGAAACTGGCTAATGAGCCATGATAAGTCCTGCCACACACAAGAAAAGTAAAAAATACGCATGCACCAAAACAACCTCACTAATACACAAAATAGCTCTCAATATTTGAGTATTTTTTCGATAAGTTTTGTTAAGCTTAGAAATTTGTTGACTGAGTTCTCAATATCTGTTACTCATTCAAGTAATTTATTCATTTTTTCATTTATTTAAGGTATTCGTTAAATATATGTACACACGGGAGTATGTTTAGATGTACTCCCAATAAGGTAAAACATATGTTAATTTTCAGTGAAACATGAAGTAGAGCAAATTCAGTAAAACTCCACTCCAAAAATGTGTGAATTATAAGTCCGCTGATAGTAATATTGCCAACCTGAACATATTTACTTACATAAGTGATGAGCAATAGAGACAAATGACAACATTAGATTTCTGAGACATTTTTCCATAGGTTTTGTGAATATTATAGGTAAGCAATACTATTGATATCTATGAATTCTGAATCTGTTCACAGTAAATATATATATCTTCCTGAAATATATTGAGGATTCCTCTAACACCAGCCAATCAAATCCTGAGCAGCCAAACAGGATGGGAATAACCATATGAAACAAAAATAAATTTGGATATACAGTTCTTCACTCTGCTGTTTAAGAAATTAAAAATAAGACATCAGTTGGTACATTTATTATACCACTTGCGAATAGCATCACTGAAAGATTTCTGTTAGAAACTCTAATTCCTAAATTTTCTCATTAAGGACTTGCAACTGTGAATCTTCTACACTAACTGAAATGAATGCATTGAAAGACAATATTGAAGATCCTCCCTCCACACCAATTCTAGACCTCTTTACTTAGCTGCATAGAAATTACAATGAAGCAAGGCAAACTGTTGCTAGAATGCAAATATATACATGTGCAGAGATATAGTTGGTATTCTTACACTACTGCATTTTTCAGAGGAATGTCATTCTCCTATACTTATTATTCCATTTAAGCTATTTGACTTCATTAACGGGAAAGCTGCCAAGCTTTCCACTATAAATTCTTATTTCAGGTGTTTAATAGTTACCCATAAAATACACTCCTGGAAAGAAATTGGAAAATTCAGTTTAGAAAAATCAGTAGTGCTCTTTTTCCCCAGGAAGCATTTTACAGTGTTTTAATTATAGGTCATGTTGTGTGAGACAGTCTGTAAATAAGAGCATCATGACAGGTGGAATAAGTTCTAAATAGTTGGAGTTGATAATGTTATAAAAATTTCCACAGCTGGAAAAGGGTGAAGTTGCCATGTGAAACTGGCATCTACAACATGCAAGGCATGGAAAAACCATCTTGGTCCACTAATGATCTACAGAGCCAAGATTTAAGGTGGACTTGATACAATCGCCCAGGAGCTACATCTGTGTCAATAGATCTATGCCACAATCTTCTTCATAGACATCTGAATCTCAAGAACTTTGTACACAAATGAAGGTCATGTGCATTGCAAAAGAAATTCAGCGCACTTGTATTACTGCCAAGTAAATAAATAACAGTCTACAATATTTTCAAAGAGTACTGCATGTGTTAATAATTTTAAATTTCTCTGTACCCTTTGATTCACATGCATACACAAACACACGTATATGTCCTAAGTATTTGCAAGACTACTGCTCTGTATTTTCTATGCCAAAAGGGGATTCACATTCTTTAAAAACACAAATCAAATATTGACTTTATGAGTGCATGTGTGAGCAAAAACCCCATATTTATTGACTGATTGACTGTGTTATGGAACACTCATCTAATAGGTGTCAATGTTCAGCATGTGGATTTTCAGATTCAGCTCTCATCCTTTTTTTTTTAATAAGTTTTTATTGTGAAAATACCGTACAGAGGGGTTACAATTACATGAGCATGGTAATGAGTACATTTCTTATCAAGCATTGTTGCCTCCTCCTTTTTTTCCCCTACCATCCCTTCCCTCCCGTCTCCACAACTACACCCTCCCCCCTCGCCTAAATTGTAAAGTTCGTTTTCTGACATAGTGTCTTGTACATCTCATTGTTGCAATGGGTCCACCTGTCTCCCTATTTCAACAATTTATTTTTTCCCTTCTCCTCCCCCAAATTATACCAACTCAAATACAGTGAAAACAGGGGTTATATCGTGGGGGAGGTACATACAAAGCAACAAAAAAATCATGTGGTACCTTATAAATATGTTACAAACAATAGCAAGAAAGAAAAACCACTTGTGTCCTTATCTTGGGGTTCATTTCGCTTAACATCATCTTATCTGACCTTTTCTGCTTGTCTCAGACATATACTAGTTACTGCAAATTAGGGAAACCATGGGCCTGGCTTACTTCTCTTAATATACTTGATTTACTTCAGCTCCTAGTCTGAATACCCACTAAACTGGAAAGCATAGGAGTTTATTGTTGAATAAGCAATGAAGATCACAGCTCCAATAAATTGTCCTATTCAACTCATCTGATTGAACTGTATGACCTATAAACAGAAACAGACTTGGGACATAGTCCTACCACAAGAAAGGCTGATGATATGCAGGAAAATTTACATAGATAATACAGATGGTGGATCATTGTTCAAACTATAACTGAAGTATAATGGTCCATTCTGACTGTCAAGCTAGCAAATATTGACTGCATTTCCCATAGACTATCAATTCCACTCTGAATCATGGAAGATCTGAAATTTTACTATTAAAACCTGGACAAGCCAGATATCTGTGGCTCATGCTTGTTATTCTAGCTACTCAGGAGGCTGAGATCAAAGGATCATGGTTTGAAGACTCTTTTCTTCCATTAACCAGAAAATGCCAGAAATAGATTGTTTCTGTCAAACTCTAGCTCACACTGACCTCCTGCCACAGTTTCCCGTATTCAATGTTATCAAAAAGCCTATTCATAAAAGACTGGTACCTAGGACTTAGGATTTAGAAAGGGATTCAGGGACCCAACCCTCTTTCTTTCCTTACTTTGGCTTACCTCGTGATTGTTCTTCCTATACATGTTTCCATCTTGGGATGCTGCCCTCAGCTGCCCTCAACAAGTGCCAAACCAAGCAGTCACCTGAGTTAAGAG